CCATCTTTTTAAGAACTTGCCACAATTTGTTGTGATCCACACAATGAAAGGCTTTAGCATAGCCAATGAAACAGAAGTAGATGTTTTTCTGGAACTCCCTAGCTTTCTTCATGATCCAGCATATGTTGGCAATTTGATCTCTAGTTCCTCTCCCTCTTCGAAATCCTGCCTGTGCTTCTGGTAGTTGTCAGTCCACATACTGCTGGAGCCTAGCTTGGAGGATTTTGAGCATAACTTTGTTAGCTTGTGAAATGAGTGCAATGGTGCAGTAGTTTGAACATTCTTTGGCATTGCCCTTCTTTGGGATCGGAATGTAAACTGACCTTTTCCAATCCTATGGCCACTGCTGAGTTTCCCAAATTTGCTGGCATATTGAGTGTAGCACTTTTACTGCATCGTCTTTTAGGATTTTGAATGGCTCAGCTGGAATATTGTCACCTCCACTAGCTTTGTTGTTGCTCAGACTTCCTAAGGCCCATTTGACTTCACATTCCAGGATGTCTGGCTCAAGGTCACTGACCACCCCATCATGATTATTGGGGACGTTAAGCTCTTTCTTGTATAGGTCTTCTGTGTATTCTTGCCACCTGTTCTTAATCTCTTCTTAAACAGATCTCTAGTCTTCCCTATTGTTTTCTTCTATTTCTTTGCACTGTTCATTTAAGAAGGCATTTTTATCTCTTCTAGCTATTCTCTGGAATTCTGCATTCAATTGGGTGTATCTTTCTCTTTCTCCCTTGCCTTTCGCTTCCCTTCTTTGCTCAGCTATTTGTAAAGCTTCCTCAGACAGCCATTTTGCTTTCTTGCATTTTTTTTTCTTTGGGATGGTTTTAGTTGCTACCTTTTGTACAATGTCGCTAACCTCCGTCCATAGTTCTTCAGGCACTCTGTCTATCAGATCTAATTCCTTAAATCTATTTGTCACCTGTACTGTATATTCATCAGGAATATGATTTAGGTCATACCTGAGTGGCCTAGTGCTCCCTACTTTTTTCAATTTAAGCCTAAATTTTGCAACGAGAAGCTCATGATTTGAGCCACAGTCAGTTCCTGGTCTAGTTTTTACTGACTGTATAGAGCTTCTCCATCTTTGGCTGCAGAGCACATAGTCAATCTGATTTCTGTGTTGACCGTCTGGTGATGTCTATGTGTACAGTCATCTCTTGGGTTGTTGGAAAAGAGTGTTTGCTATGACCATCATATTCTTTTGACAAAATTCTACCAGCCTGTGCCCTGCTTCATTTTGTGCTCCAAGGCCGAGCTTTCCTGTTATTCCAGTTATCTTTTGGCTTCCTACTTTAGCATTCCAATCCCCCATGATGATAAGGACATCATTTTTGGGTGTTAATTCTAGAAGGTGTTGTAGGCCTTCATAGATCCTGTCAGCCTCTTCAGCACCAGTGGTTGGGGCATAGACTTGGACTATTGTGATGTTGGTTTTCCTTGGATTCGAACGAGATCATTCTGTCATTTTGGAGATTGTATCCCAGTACTGCTTTTCCTACTCTTTTATTGACTATGAAGGCTACTGTGTTATGTGGATTTCATTATAAATGGTACCCAGGTGGTGGCAGTTTTGCATCGAAGCCCCTTATGGTAAGGAATAATTGCCCTGGGCCCCACTGACAGGAGTACACTCAGATTGAGGGGAAAAGGTTAATAAGAGTACAGTGAGAAGGAAGAAGCTTATTTGATGTTCTGGAATATCAACCTGCTGGCCTTTCTATGGTCCTTGTTAATCAGTATCAGCACACCAAAATAGCTCTGCCTGGACCTCTCTCTGATGTCAGAAGACTTTGGATTTGGAACCATTGCAATATTTCCTGTATTTTGAAGTGGCACAATACCATGCCATTCCCCTTTCTTTTGAAGCTCCCTGTGAACCCTCAAAAAACTCTGGAGCTGTTCTTGGAGTTTACAGGAGGCTGCAGGGAAAGAAGTCCCCTTGTGCAAGTAGACTTGTGCAACAGTGGATTCTTCCCATTGAGACCTCAAAGTGCTAAACTTTCCTTAGCTCATGACATAGGTTTTGGGAAGGTTGTTAGTTTCCATGTTGATTATAAATGCTAATTAACAGGCTGGTTTTAATAATTAAGGCAGCTTCTTAAAGTATATTGTCATTTTTTTTTTAGGTTCGAATAATCCCCTTGCAGCTACAACGCTTGTTTGCCCAACTTTTGCTCTTAGATCAACAAGCTGCATCCACAGCAGACCTCACTGATAGCTTTGGATGGAAGAGTAATGAGGTATAATATATATTCAATGCTAGTTAGTATATAGCATTGCTGAGAATGTGTTTTTCCTGTGTTTGGTTTTCTTTGAGGAAAAGAAAATTGCCGACTTGACCCCATTGTGTTTTTTATAAACATTTCCTTTATACTTTCAAAATATGGTTCAGTAAAGATCTGCGTAGGAAAAGATGAGGACTATGATACTTGCTTCTCCCATGATCTGTGTGCAGACCGGCAGGGATCTGTATGGCTTGATCCAGTCTGTCTTTTCACCCTTCTTCATTATTTCCTAAATAAAAGCCCTGTGATTGGCAAGCATCTGTTACATTACCAAGTGACCAAAGCCAGCAAGTCAGTTACATTCAAATGAACCCTTTTCCCAGAGGCAGTTCTTCGTTTTGAAAACAACCTGCTCACTTTGCTGTGTTGCAGATTTTAGTTCTGCAAAATATGTTACCTTTGTTTGAAAATGAAGAGGCAAATACTGCATTTTCAAACATTTCCAACTTTTCTAAAGTGTTAAATGCAGCTTTTTTTCTCATATTTTTTCAGGAAATGAGACAACATGATGTTCAGGAGTTGAATCGGATTCTATTCAGTGCTTTAGAAACCTCACTTGTGGGTACTTCTGGCCACAACCTAATAAACCAGCTGTACCGTGGAACTGTTGTTAATCAGGTTGTCTGTAAAGAGTGCAAGAATGTCAGTGAGAGACAGGTAAATCCATAGGCAAGTTCTAGATCTGTGTTTCTTTATGATACAAACTGAGAAATAATGACTGCTTGAATATACAATGCTGCACCTTTTCATTTAATTAAACGTGATTTGCCTACCATCAAAGAATTTCAAAGATCTAATCTAAGCCAGTCCCAGTAGTTGTTCTATCAGAATGAGGCAACTTTCGGGACATAGCATCAATAGATTCTTGAATATTTCAAAAGTATTGATTGGTTTGTTCACTTGTGGGACTGTTATGAAGAATACCGGACTATATTTTCTAAGGTTTTACCATGCTTAGAGTTCTGCCACTGGAAGATCTTTTTAATGCAGGTCAAGTGTCAGCACATTTGGGAATTTAAGAAACTGCTGTGGGCACCACCACAAAGCACCCAAACAATGCACTGGGGTCTTCCTGTCATGTCTATGAAACTTAGGTTGTGCTTTTTTAGAAAATAAGCATTTCTTATCTATTGGACACTTCAGTGTCTCTTTAGTATAGGATTGATCACCTGAGCTCATTTGTGACTGTACGATAGAGCTAAGCTACTTTTCAACACCCGTGTGGGCAGTGTGCAGTAGTTACTTGTTCAGATGTCATTACATAGTGTTTGCACTGGGAAAGTCTTTAATATTCACCAGTGTATCCATTTTGTTATATTATTTACCTGCTTCCTGGAAAATAACAAATGGAAATAGAAATGGCTTCTCTTCAACCCTGTGGCAGCTGAAAGAAAGGCATTACAAAACCGGAAGGATGACTGCTCACCTCTTACAACGCAGTGCACTGGAGGATCTGACCCTTCAGTATTTGAACAGGTGGCATATAGATGCCAGCTCCACACTGATATTTGGTCTGCTTTTGCTGAAGGCTATAGCTGCGAGAGAGTTGTAAGCACACAAATTGATGGGTGTATATAAAAAAAGAAAATGTAGAAAAATAAGGATATGCATGGTCTTCACATTGGGGATCCCGAAAAAACATCAAAGGCACAAAGGCAGCTTTGTGGTTCACAAAGGCAGCTAAATCTTTGAGACTGCAGCGTAAGTCAGCCTACGTGTAGCCTTCCAGTTGTCACTTTAATGGGCTAAAGAACAGCTTAACTTGGGCATCAAGCTTTTTTGTATTCTTAAATTTCTTGATGCTGCAGGCTGTTCTTGGGGGCTGAGAAAAATTCTGTGACCTATTCACCTCTAGAATTAAGCTGTTAGAAATTATTAATCTGTCTAACTCTGGAAAATCTGTTGCATTTGTTTAAAAGATTTTCTCCCCACAGTCCTAGGAAGCATCTGGGGTGCCATAAAATCTTGCAGATCTCCATGCTCACAGCCAGTTCTACAAGCATGGAGATAGCAGCATTGTGATGCTTCTCCCCCCTGCCACAGGAAGCTACTCTTGTAACATTGTAGTAGGAGGCACTGGAGAGGGAGAAAGGGCTTCAGTGGGAAAGCAGTGGCTGAGAAAAGTAGTGTCAAGCAGTTGTACAGCGCCCGCATGGAGAAATGAATGCAAATGGCCACCAGCCTGCACTTGCTGCGCCTGACTCTTGCCGCAGGTCAAGGACATGTTTGACAGGATGTAACTCCTAAATAATTGTTTCAGTTACGGGTGCTTGAGCATAGTGACCACACAACTGTCTGGGAATCTCAATCATAGATATATCATACAAAACTAGAGCTGGAAGGGGCAATGAAGGCCATCGGGTCCAAGCCCCTGCGGTTGCAGGACACCAAGTTACACCATCCCACTCGGATGGCCATCCAGCCTCTTTCTGAACGTCTCTAGTGTGGGAGAGCCCACCACTCCTCTAGGCAGCTCTGACAGTGTGGAAGCTTCTCCTGATGTTGTCGCAACTTGAATTGAGTATTGTGTGTCCTACACTCTGGCAAGAAGAGATCTTGGCCTTCCTCTTTGTGACAGCCTTTGAGGTACTTATACAGAGATGTCATGTCCCCCCTCAGTCTTCTCTTCTCAAGGCTGAACATGCCCAGTTCTGGAGGGGCGTGGCTTGCTGCCGTGAAGATGGCTGCATAGGAGACCTACTCCACTCCAGTCCAGCCTATTATGCAATAATTAAACGTATTTTCAAATAAAAGAGATTAGAAATAATTGTGAAGAAGCATAAATATGGGTAAGTCAAAAAGATTGCAAGGAAAAACACTGGATGCATCCTCTGATGAGGAAGATCAAAGCAATTCTGTGGAGTTGTTACTGGAAAATACTGATAGTGAGAAACATGGTAAGATAAAAGGGAGGGGGTAGAAAACAAAGGAAACTAAAATAGTTCTTTACCAGAAAGGAAATACAAAGCTGCTTTTGCAACAATTAAGGAAGGATTTGCAAACGGATATGAAAACTTTTGTTGCTCTTCTAAAGGAAACGTTGTCTGAAGTTAAGACTAATATTGAGAAAATTGAAAAGTTAGCTAAACAGACGTTTGAACTTTCACAAGAGCGAAGAGAAAGGATTGATAGTTTGGAGAATGAATTAAAATGTCAAGATAAGGTTGAGGATCAAGAGAAGCACAACCGTCCACTAGAATATACATCTGAGAAATTTTAAGGAAGGTGAAAGAAGAGAAGAGCTAAAAGGTATAATCTTAAAATGGATTAAAGACCTTTGCCCTGACTTAGAGAAAACAGAAAATCATTTGAAATGTGTTCATAGAGTTCCTGGGAGGGGGGACTATGACCGACGGAGAGACATTATTGTAAGATTTGCCCTTTATACAACAAAAGTGGCAGTTTACCGTGCTCTAAACAATAAAGGGGATTTAACATACAAAGGAGAAAAAAATGAGCTTTATCAAGATTTGGCTCCAGAAACAATTCAATTATGGAGAGGATGGAAATTGTACACAGAGGAGCTTCGGAACCAAAAAAACAAGATACATTTGGGGATTTCCATTTCAGCTGATTATCTGGCATGGTCACAGTCCAAGAGCTGTAACAGAAATAACAGGATTTTCAAAAATGACAGGATTTTCTTAAGGAAATACAAGATACAGGTTCCAGAGATGGCAGGAGAGAAGATTGAACATGCTCAGAACAAACAAACATATCAAAGGCAACTTCGATGGAACAGAGCTGGAAAACAATCTGTTAAAAAAATAGAGTTCTTGCTTGAGCATTACCTGAGTTTTTTCAAGGACATGTTGGACTGTTTTTTCTGTTGAGAAAGAAAATTAAAAAGAAAATTGTGAGGGCAAGGCTGTAACTTAGCAGCTGTGTTTCTCGGCTGCCTGCCAGGTGGAAAGTAATAAGGAGATACGAATATAACTGGCAAAATTGTGGGTGAAAAAATTAGGAATGTAGTGTTATAAATAAGTTATAATAATAGTTTATACACATTTGTTTGGATATTTTGTGATGTTGGAAGGCAGGATTAGGGGTGGGGGAGGTTTTGCCTCAGGAGGGAAACTCTTGACCCTTCAACTGAACCCACATGGAACCATTCAGATTAGTGAACCAGAGGCCACTGTGCCTTACTATCAATTGTAGGGTTTGGGGGTGGTGGGGAGAGATGGAAGAGGAGGGAGGAGAAAAAGGGAGGGGGTGGTGGAGGGGGAGGAGAGAGAGAACAATGAAAAGAAATTATATAGACAATTTGGTTTGACAAAGTTGCAGAACAAGCAAGTAGTAATTTCCAATATAACTTATAGGAGGATTAATAATATAAGAATTAAGAGAAAAACATAATGTTAGATTTAAATAAAATGTCATTTAATACTAATGGGTTGGCTATACCAGCAAAATGTTATAGAGTAATGAAGACCCTACAAAAGTTGGGTGCTGATGTTGTAAGAAATGCATCATAAAAAACAAATACATCTTTGGGGAAACAGTATAGTGTGAGCGGGACCAGCAAAGCAGGAGGTGTGGCTATGGAGGGAGCAAGAGTAAAAAAAGAGAGAAACAAACTACAAGAACAATTTGAAGTTAAAATAAAGAGACTGACAAAAGAACATTAAAAAACAGGATCAAAGAATAGCTTTATAGAACTTAAAAGGACCAAAGCAGAATTAGAAGTATTAGATACAAGTAAAACATATTCAGCAATGAGGTATTTAAAGAGGAGCTACTATGAATATGGAAATAAAAACTAAATTATTATCCCAGGCAGTTAAAAGGAAAGGTAGTAAGGAGACAGTCTTTATTTCCCCTTAATTCCCCCTCCCCTGCGCACGGTGGCACAAACAATGTCCCAAGGAGACTCCGCAGTGGTGGCCTGCAGCCACTGCCACTGCTGCACACTAGTAGCCCTGATACAGGACAAGGCGCGAGCACTGGAACGAGTGTCCCCCCTCCGGACAATAAAAGAAAATGAAGGGTTTCTAGACAGAGCGGCGACATGTAAGTGTAGTCCAGAAGCACGGAAAGCATCAGCAAGCTGAGGCAGCAGAAGGGCACCCTGAGGGAACAGAAAATGAGGAAACTCGCTGGACCAGGGTGACAGACACGGAAGACCTAGAAAACACTCTGCACCTGTGGAAGCGGTGGAACTTGCAAACCGCTTCAAGTTACTTGAAGGAAGGGGTATTTGTCAGTGGGTTGTATGAGTTTTGTGAACTTGCTGGTTATATCTTTAACTTTGGCGCCAGGGAGACAGCACACTTGGCGATTCTCTGGGTCATCATGACATGCATATTTTTCCATCCTGCACAAGGGAGAATTTCCCACAACTAGCACTCTTCTCCTTTAGTTGCAAACTTTGCTATCCTTTTCCTTGCTTGATTGGCCTTTTGTCTCTGAAAAAGAGTTATTCAGTGTGTTGTATAGCTCTTTTACAGCGGGTTTTTCACAAGTCTCTTCCCCAAGCAACTCAAAGCGGTTCAAGAGTTCCACTGCTTCCACAAGTACTGAGTATTTTCTAGGTCTTCTGTGTCCAACTGTCACCCTTTTCCAGTGAGTTTCCTTACCCTGAGCACTTAATTTACTCATTTAGGACATTTATAGGCCGTCCATCACTGTCGTCTCTGGACGGCTTACAAGCTCTTCAGGGTACTCTTCTGCTGCCTCGGCTCGTTGATGCTCTTCATGCTTCTGGACTACACCTACGTGTTGCAGTTCCTCCACTCTGTCCAGAAACTCTTCGTTTTCTTTTATTGTCTGGAGGGTGGACACTCGCTGCTCCAGTGCTCTCACTTTCTAGCATACTGTAATGTGCTGTTTTAATCTTTTCGGTTATTGTGAAAGGAATATTTGAAAACTTTATAGAGAAGGAGCTTTCTAAAAAATGAGCCATTCCTCACTTCCACTTGAGACCTGTACCTGTGGAAGACTCAGGCTTATGGTACTGAAACAAAATATTCGGTCACTGCATATCCTCTGGCTGGCATTTTCTTAACATTGGCAATGTTTTCATGAGCCATATGTCTGCACATAATATTTCTGTGTTGGCTTCAAAATCTGTTTTAAGTGACATTTCCTGTACTCTACTGCTTTGCAGGAAGATTTCTTGGACCTAACAGTTGCTGTCAAAGGTGTATCAGGCTTGGAGGAAGCCTTGTGGAACATGTTTGTGGAAGAAGAACATTTTGAGGGAGAGAACCTGTATCGATGTGGCACATGTGATAAATTGGTTGAAGCCAGAAAGGTACTGTTCTGCGTGTCATGTCCACAAGTCTGCTTTACAGTAGACCCTCTTAAAATAAGATGCATAATTCATTTAAGTACTAGATCTCTTAATCATGTCACAGGATCAGGCTATTGTTTACTATATGGTTGAAGCTCACCTTTCCCATAATGGAAAAAAATACCACAAGGCAACTAGCAAAACTTAGTGGTAGAGTTTTGTTTGTTTTGTGGAAACTATTGAGGTATGTAGTCTGAGGTATTTCCCCTCACCAGTGTAAAACAACTTTTACCTTAATTTTCTGAAGCTATGTTTCTAAGAAAAAAAAACTCCTAAGCATATGCATCTGGGAGTAGCATTCCCTCCACCCCCACCACTCAATCTCTCTCTTCAGTGGAGGGTGTGGGGAGAGTATGTATTTAGTCCTCAGAATGGAAGCACTGTCTGTTCCTTTGCCTGATCTTTCCTACCCTTATATAAATCAGTGCTGCTGCTTCTGCTTTCTTTTGTTCAAGAAAGCAGGGCTCCAAATTTTTTTTCCCTAAAATGTTCATGCCCTTTAGGAAACTAGCTTCTGTCTCTGGAAAAGTATTTCCATGTCCCGAGCAATGCCCTGTAGCTGTCATGTGCTGAGCCATACAACCTCCTCCCAGATTGCATACAGCTTATGGGAAAAGCTAGGGCTGCAGAGCACTTATCCTAATATTTGCAGATGCTTAAAGGGGCTGCATGAGGTGAAGTATAAGAGAACAATAATTCCTCTGCAGACTTTTTAGCAGCATAACACAAGCTCTTGGCCTGCTTATAGCTCTTATTCTCAATAAGGACTTTATTTTTAAAGGGGGGTTACCCACCACAGCGGAGTTTGTGGGTGCCAACAGCGGGGAGCTGGAAGGAAGGCTTAGCAGCTGCCTTTCACAATCTTAAAACAAACAGAAAATGAAGATAAGCCATGTGGCAAGTTGAACATGGCTGGTAGTCACCGTGGGGAGAAGGGGAAAGCTTGTGCTCTTGCCGTGTCCCTGGGATACCTGTAGGAAGTCAAAGTGTGGAAGGGTGGGGAGGAGGTGGCTCAGGATGCCTGTTGCGCCCAATTGTCAATCTGGGGCTCCAAACTAAAAAGCTGCATAGGATGGCTTAGAAGCTATGAGGTTCAAACCAGCTTAAAAGTGCAGCATGGAAAGAGATATCTACAGATACTCAAATTAGGCTCAACTGGTTGCCCCAATTACGTTGTGATAAAGGTTTGCAGCAGGGCAGGGTGGATCTCATATCCTCCATTTAGCAGAATATAGTCTTGCTACTCTTGAAAGCAAATGGTTTTTGTTTGTTTTTTTGCTGTTTTTGTCTGGTGGATCTATTAACAAAGCAGGAGATGATTCTTGGTCTGTTCTAGGCAATAAAAGTTAATTTCTACATGTAGAAAAAGAAATGTATATTTGTATCTTTAAAATATGAACACCTTTTAAAAATCTTGATTATTTTCTAGTCTGCTAAACTGCGCAAGTTGCCTCCATTTCTCACGGTCTCCCTCTTGAGATTTAACTTCGATTATGAGAAGTGTGAAAGATACAAGGAAACAAGTCACTACACTTTTCCAATCCGGATAAACCTCCAGCCTTTTTGTGAGCAGGTTGAACTTTTTTGTGTGTGTCTTAACCTTTCCTGCAACTGTCTACAAATTGTATTGTGCTGTATTGTTAATGCTTGTTTCTACGGGATAACCTCTGGGGAATTGCACAGTGTGTGTGCTAGTACAATTCTAATCCTATGTCCTGGACTGATTTAGGAGTTCATAAAATTTTAGTTCAAAGGTTAAAATGGGTACTTATCTTACTACAATATCCCTTAGAGTTCTATGACTGATTATTTTATGAAGCTGTTAATCTTGACTATTGGTTGATCCCTTCTTTTAACCTCCGATAATTTTTTCTAGTTCATATCTTTCATCCTTATGTTAACTGTGTATGCAAATATGCAAGTATGTGTATATATTCATACTGAAATCAACAAGGCTTGCATCTGGTTATCACAAGCTTAATTGTCCTGAACTTTTTAGCAGGATTGGAACCTGATTAAATGAGCACTACTGGGCAATCCCTAGACATTGTCCAAGGGGCCATAGGATTTTTCCAATTTTCAGCTCCAAAAATGGGGGCAATGCTCCAACCTTGGAGTTGGAAACTGAATCATTATCCCCACCTCTGCCCCCCTCACAGTTGGCACAGAAACCAGCACACTCAAGATCAGCAAAGCAACCTCAGAGAGGAGTTTAACAGGGCATTTCGGGTGGTGGGGAGGGAAGGAAGGAAATGATATGATCTCCGTCAGCCTCCTTCAAGCCTGGCTAGCAAAAGGCAAAGGAAGAGAACAGTGCGTTCTGCCCATAAACAGGTTACGGGTGTCCTGATAAGACTGAGCCCTAAATTTATACTGTTCCCTAAACAGTATTTTTGAATGAAGAAACATACATTGAATAAAAATTATTCTTTAACAGATGGTTTAGTCATAGGAATAATGTTGATCATTTAAAGTGAATTATTAAAAGCCTTTCTTGCATGATTGAAAAGAAGTTTGAAAATTTGAAACAAAGGTCTGACAGAATAATACTATACACCAGTTATGCAAGGGGTAGACATATGCCATTGCTACCCCAGTAGAAGGGCTACTGTATACTAGACCAGCTCAGCTTAGCCAAGGAGGGGATAAGCAGGAAGTGACAGGGCCCACAGCCAGGATGTGGACTTCCAAGGACAAGACAAGACACAAGCGACAAAGGCACCAGAACCAGGGCAGCAGAACTTAAGGCAAGACCAAGCCAAAGGCAGGGTTTCACGGAAAGTCCAAGTCATGGTCATGGTGCGGGCCAAGGTCAGGACCAGAAGGATGCACAAGAGCAGGCTGAGGACAAGGGTCAAGACCCAGAAAATCAGACAGATATGCAGGTACCTAGGACAGGATAGTAGGGTGGGAGACATAGCACATCAAGAACCAGCTGCAGCAAAGGTCAGGTGAGTTGCAGGAGCTGAACCACAGCTCACAGGCAGCCCTGCATCACTGAGGCAACATGGTGAGGCAGGGCGTAGCTCTGGCAAGAAGCAGGCCCAACCTGTTGCTGAAGCCAGCTCTCATGGGAACAGTTTGCTGTTATATAGCTCTTCCTGCAGGACTCGCAGCTCGTGCTTGTCAGTAGAACGAGAGCCCCAGCAAGCCTTGGAGCTGATCCTGCAAACACAGTGGCAGACGTTGTTCTGCTTCTGGCCACCAGAACAGCCCGGATCCCAACAGAAAGCAGGATATACATTTAATAGATGGAAGAATGTGTGTGTATTAATGGCTGTGGCATATCTGATATTCCATTGGGATGGTGAGGCTTTCACCAAAGTATAGGGTTGTTCTGTAAATTTTTGTTCTTGAGTTACAATCCTTCTTTTTGATTTGTGTTGTTTTTTTAATATAAACAATGGTGTGTCAGAGTTAAAGTGCAAGGTGTGCATTACTAGCCAAAATAATTTACATTTAACTAAAATAATCACTTTAAAACATCCGTTTAAAACTGATAGGCTAAACAAGTACACAGATCATCATTACAGCATGATAGGGGAAAAAGGAATTTAAAACCATTTCTCACAGTAACATGGTAAATCTTTTCAGAAAATGCATCTCTAAGTGGTCCTTTAGGGACTGTGTATAAACTTTAAAGATGCATTTAAATAACCTCTGGAGGGAGTTCCACAAATATTGGCCAAAAAACATCTCTCGTGCCTTTGAATGTAATAGATTTAATAGAAGGCCTGCAAGCAGGACCTTCAAAGTTGTTCTCAGTGTATAGGCAGGTTTGCATGGTTGGAGACATTCTTTTTGATAACCTGGCTCCAAGGATTTTAGAGCTCCAAAGAACTCATGGCTGCCCATAGTTCTCTATGGAGGTTGATCTGGTTTCCTGTTTTTTCTTATCTACCCTAGCTGTTAGCCACAAAACAGGGCCCTAGTGGTTTTCATGTTTAGGAAGTTCTCAAAGACAGTCTTGGTACACTCAGCTGTGCCTCTCCCCCAATCATATTAGGGGTAGTGCTTGACTACTTTTAAAGCAATATATTCTGTTTTTCTTTCTCAACCCAAGTGCATACTTTCTTTGTTCTGATGCCATTTGACTATATGCACATTTTTACTGTTGTTATTTTTAGACTCAGTTGGATGACTTGGAATATATGTATGAGCTCTTTTCAGTTATAATACACAAAGGTGGCTGCTATGGAGGACATTATCATGTTTATATCAGAGATATAGATGAACTCGGAAACTGGAAGGTGCAAGTAAGTCTGGTTGATTTCCATCTACTACCATCTGATTTTTGTTTCCTTATGAGTATAGTTTGTTAAATGTGGACACACATTGGAATGAAGTATCTGTTTTGTGTGTGTTTGCATGCATGCACGCATCCACACATGTCTGTATATGCATACACACACGCGCTAAGCAGGTATAACTTCCCCTCACGTTGCTCAGGGCATCATATGTGGGGCTCTCCTAGTGTACCCCTGTATCTATACTATCAATGAGAAGAGAACTGCCAGATGTATGTCCTGTCATGGTGTCTGTGTGTGGGTTTCCCCTTGCTATTTTTTCAGGTAGGCAGTGTATGTGGAGAGACTAGCCCAAACCAAGTTTCCAGTTTGCCTCCAAACTGAAGTCAAGATTTGATGTTGGATTTTTTTTTAAATTTGCTCCCCACACATCGCTTCTGTGAGTTTATTTAAATAAGTAGATCCTTTTAATAGGATACAGAAGTTCTGAATAATAAGATCTGTGGATATATCCACTGAGCTAGTGGTATCTGTATGACTGCAGAATGGGCATTGCAAGGCAGAACTGATTCTGCCCGCAGTTCCTGCATGCCCCCAGATCTGTGGAGAGGGCAGGGGAAGGAGAGAAGGAGAAGGCCTGCTCAAATGATGATGTATATAGACCATAATGCATATTTTGCTCCCACCCCAGCACATTCAGGGCTGCCTGACTATCCTGACAGTTAAACTCACCTGCAACCCATTTGTTCGTGATTAAAAACATCATCCTTAGTGAAACTCAGCTTAAGCAACAAACTTAAACAAACAAACCCAACTTAACAATCTTAAATACAAGATTGATACTTAATAACTGAAGTTGATGCAAAGATGAGCTGGATAGGTGAGATAAAGTGGATGGATCATGTGAAAAAAACAATGCAAGGCCAGGCCTCCAGGATGCCGTCTGGAGCACCAGCAGAGAATGAAGGCTGAGGGAGGTTTCTTCTGAATGGAGGAAGAGTGGCTACAAACTAGACAGGATTAACTAGTCACATAGCATCAAGGTCTGATCAGTTATGGATGAGACATAATGAATGAACTAGAGCAATGTTAGTACAAGGCTTAGGGGGCAACTTAGGAAAATAACAGCCTGCCTTTAAGACTCCAGTGTTCCTAATCATTGGCCATGCTGACTGTGGCTGATGGAGGTTATGTAAAAATTATCTATCTAAAATAACCTGAGAGCACTAAGCTGGAAAAGGTTGTTGTTATTTGTGCCCAATTCTTTTTCTTTCAGTCTGTTGGAAGATAGCTGGGCAAATATGTATATGCTAGTCATTCTGTAATGTAGGACAGCCAACATGTGGCTCTTCAAATATCTTGATCTACAGCTTCCACCAGTCACAATCAGCATAACTGATGGTGAGGGGTAGGGTTGTAGGCAGCTGTAGGCCTAAACTGCCGGAAGGCCATAAGTTGCCCACCAAGATTTAGTGTAACAGAATGTATTCATCTGTCTTTGCACCTTTTAAATAAGGTTTGTTTGTTTGTTTGTTTGCTTGTTTTCTTCAAGGAGGAGGGCATGACTGAAGAAGAAGAAAAGAACTTGAAAGACAATGAGAAGGACAATCCATTTACAATATTGCAAAACATCTTATCAGAGGTAGAGTATGCCAGAATATATTCAATGCTGCTTCACAATATTTTTACCTGATATATATATATTCAACAATACAATTTAAGTGCAGAAATGCAGCTCACATGCAGAACATCTGATTTTTGTTTCTAAAATGTTTCTATAAAATGTCAAGGTTTACTGACATCATTATGTAAATCATTGCATCATTATGAACGTTCACTGAAATAAATTAACAAAACCAAAGATTCTGCCAGTTCTTCTACTGTTGATTTTCTCACAAGAGTTAAGATACAGCACTAAGTCAGCAATTGAGGGGCATAAAGATGTGACTCTGGCAAAGCTGCTTTCGCTGTTCATCCTGGCGAGAGGCAAGAGCAAGCTCAAGAACTGCATGTGGCCTAGAATGAATGACAGACAGGCATAATAAAGGGAGATAAACACTTAGGACCAGACTGAGCCCCTGGGCTGCCATTTGCCTGTCTCATTTTTGGATAATGATCCTGTTATTTCCTTTGGTTTGTAATTGCCTGATCTTGTAGGAAGAATCTAAGGAACTTGCTGTGGATCAGTTGGCACAGAAATTTTTGGAGAAAAGGGGTGTGTCCTGGAATAAGAGATACCGTAAGCAATATGGACCAATACGGAAGGTATTACCTGAAGTGACTCAGATGTTATTTCTTCTTGTTTTTTTCCTTATGAGCTGTGCAGTGTTTCACACAGTTCAGCATGCAAAAGGCAATTCAGTGCCCTTGCCCTTTCTTCCATACTACTTGAGTTGCCAGTGCTTTTCTCCTGACATGAGCAGCCCGTTTTATTCTGGGTTATTCTAATATTTGCACATTCGACATACATTTGCCAGTTGTTGGGGATAGTATTGGTAAAAGAGGAATTCTAAGAAAAATGACAAAATGCTCTAATGCGTAAACAGATGACAAGTGCTGCTAATTCTATTCAGCTGCAGAATTATTTGTAATTGTTGGTAGTCACATATCTGTTATTGCTAGAAAATTGAAATGAAAGTAATATAGTACAATGCTATCTACCTTCCACTGTACCTTCTAAATCCTAGAAAGGAGTGAAGAATGGCATAATAAATTATGGTGTTTATGAACAAATATCTTTCATTTCAGGCAATGCTTTAATGGGATCAGGTGGGGTGTTTAAGGAGCAGTAAGCCATATTGTTAAGATTAGCTGTATTGTTAAGATTTCATGAATGATATTGTTAAGATTTTCTTAGGGTCCTAAAGTAAGGCTTCAGTGAGGTTTGTCACAATGAAAGCAGAAACTTCTGAATTCCAATTTACAGATAAACCAGTGGAGGAAGATCATCCTGCTAATTCTAATGTTTTAGCATTTGTGTGACACATACACAATCCGAAAAAGACCCTTCATATGAAAAGGAAGTATAACAAATGGAAGTTAGTTTCATAATTTAAAGTGAACTTAAAGCATTTACTTGGCTTGTCCACCCCATTTCCCTTTTGTCCTCTAGTATTTGCAGAATCATTCCCAAGCATTTCTTCTAAGTTCTGATGAAAGCAAGGTTCAGCTGAATAACCAAAGCCATGAATATAATTTTGGATCCATATCAGGAAGCCACATTCAGAAAGATAATGTGACCATATCATTGGAACAAGTATCAACAGGCTTAGAGGAATATTCTTCTGAATCCCACTGGTTTGATTTGAATGACTCCAAAGTTCAGCCAACCAAAGAAAGAGACATTGAAAAACAGTTTCAGGGTAATGAAAGTGCCTACATGTTGTTCTACCGACAATCCCAAATGACAAGACCTTCTGAAGGTAGGGAAAGTATACTGTGTATTGTGTGGGATCTGCATATTTTTCCTTTTAGGTTTGTATTAATCAGTCATGGAGCACCTGTTTGCATTGTTTAAAAAGAAACAATGTAGGAGACATTTGTTAAAATAATTTGCATCAGAGGAGCCTAAGCTTCTCAGTGAGTTTTATAAGGACTACAGCCTTAATAAAACAGTCATTCTGATCTGAAAAAGGAAATGATTTCCTTAACCCTCAAGCATCTATTTCAAAGAACAGTGGCTACTAGAAAGTGCATGAACTGCCTTTAGTGTATAGCTTGTTACCCAAGAGAAAGTTTCCCTTATGACATCACAAAGATATTCAAGTTCAAGGCCTCAGCACTTCCCACTTCTTTTTAAAGAATTGTTTATTGTTAATGCTCAGTTAATCAGCTTCTTCTGAATTCAGCTCGAGGAAATCCAAGATATCGAGTACCAAACCACCTTTTGAATGAAATGGATGCTACTAATATCAAACTGCAGAAGAAGAGGTGAGTTAAGTTCAGCTCAGTATGCATATAGTTTTAGTAAAGCAGAATGCAAAGTTCATACAACCATCCTGCGGATTTGAGCACTGGGTATTTCACAACTAGCAGTTTGTTTGTTTGTTTGTTTGTTTGTTTATTTAAGGCTTTTATAGACTGTCCATCTACTGGTGTCTCAGGACAGTTTACAACAAAGTAGCAGATAAAATAGGCCACAACATCTAGTAATTCAAAAAAATAAAACCACATTAAACCTGATTAAATATTAAAACAATGGGAATATAAAAAGGGTTTTACCTGGTGCCGAAAAGAAAAAAAAGTGTGGGCGCCAGGCAAACCTCTCTGGGGAGCATATTCCATAATCGGGGTGCCACTGCAGAGAAGGCCATTGCCTTTCACCCTTCACCCCTACTAAATGGTGACTTGCAGCTGAACTTCAGTGGTAAAGCATGCTGTCAAAATTCCTTTTGTATAGCACTACTGTTGCACTGGTTTACACAAGAAAAGGGGACAGCAACCACTTTTGGTCCACTTTACACTCCCAGGCTGGATCATTTTCAAGGAGGTGAGGGCCTCCCCAGCTGAGAAATGCTTATCCTCTCATGGCAATCCCTTTCCCTGCAGGGAATGGGGCCTGGGGAGGCAGGAGGCTGGGCCCACAGAGGGTGCTTTGTTGGATGGCTTAGCCCCCAGGTTCCCAGAGAAGTTCCTGCTCTAAGGCAACATCATTAACAGTGCACACTTCCAAGCACTCTGGCATGTAGAGTGCTGCGTTTCTCTCTTCATATGTGTAAGAAGGAGCACCAGATCCATTCGTAAGTTTTAAGATTGTCCTATGTTTATGTGTGAAAAAACAAAGCCATATGCAATATGAAAGTAAGTGAAATATGAATATAAAGATATATAACATTCCTTATTAAAAGCCTGCAAAATAAACTGTATGCTAGTATTCAAAAATAAAAGGCTTGAACAATGTTTCCTGAAATAAAGTGCACAATTCTGCTGTGAGAAGTTTGTGAAGATAAGATGTCTGCTAAGAGAAATTTAAGTTGTTAAAATATGCTCTGTCTTTATACTTAAGATAGTTTTCTCTTATACTGTTTAAAGGGCAGAATACGACTTGGCAAAAAATACTATTAATTTGCATCTCCATATACATTCTCACTATACTTTTTGCAACGGGGCTCTGCACCCATTAGTTTCCCAGAAGGAAAATATTCTGTATCTTTCCATTGATAAGAGAAAAACCCTAAGAAATCTTCGACAATCAGCATTCCAGGTATTTGGTATTACAGTTTCTAAACCTGTTGGGCTTGCATCCTCCCCCACTCTTTTCTGGTGTGGCTGCAAGAAGGTGTTTGGAAGTTTCCTCTGAACCACAACCAGTCATGTATGAACCAACAGCTGGCTAATGTTGAATATAGGTGTGTTTAAAAGAAGCCAGCTTGTTTCAGCAACATGCTTACTGTGTCATTAAACAAAATGGGGGAATTGTACCACCAATAGCTATGTTGGTTAACATTCCAAACCAAGAATCAAACTTCTAGCTGCAAATAAAGAATGTCAGTAACTTTTAATTAGCATGAAAATAGTCATATATGCACTTTTGAAAGATTTCAACTTTTTATGAATAGATGTTGGAATTTTGGGAAGGAGATCTGGTTCTCAGCCTTGCAAAATCTCTTCCAGCTGGACTGCATATATACCAAGTACTTGAGGGTAAGAGAACTCTAAAACAAGGCTTTAAAACTTGGTTTGTTTCATAGAATATCATCTGATAAGCCTAATCAAGTAATATCTGTAGGAGAAATAGGGATTTTTGGGTTCTGTGGGAGTGACCTTTTTTTAAAAGCTCTTTAAGCGTCAAGGAACATCTTGATTGTGATGGTAGCCATCTCCACTGATGTCAGCAACTGTAGAGCTTAACCTACAACCTTCTATTTGATGTATTTCCGATATTCATTATTAACTAGACCTCTTACATCAAGTATTACAATATACTGGTGAAAGTATGCATTAGTAAAGGATCAAGGCACATTTCAGATGAACAGCAGGTAAGGTATGGGACAGTATCCAAGACTGAAGGACCTCATTGGAGCACTTGCAGACTCTATTTCTGCAGCACTCATTATGGCTAATTTCTATTGTGCTATTAAGCACTAGCTTCCTGATGAGCTAGCAGCCATTCTTGCTAACTTTGAGGGCAATGTTGGATAATGCCCATGATAATTGTTTAGATTAGATTATGTGTAAAGTGGTTATTAGTGTTTGAATTATTTTTGATGACTAAATGGCCATATTGGTGATGTGATGTGCCTTGAATGCCGAACCACAATAAATGAACAGCAGTCATATGACTGAGATTTCACAAGATGTTGTTTCAGTGTTCCTGGGGCAGTACAAGCAACATGAGCCTTGGCATTGCAACAGTCAAAGGTCTCTTGGGCTTCCCATACAAACCTATCACAGTGTTTAAAAAGACAGTCACACTGTTAATAGTACCTACAATTGGGGATGGGCCAGCAATGGCCATAAGAGGACAGTGAAAAGATGTTCCTAATGCCTCATTAAAAATAACAAGAAAAACCCGGAGATAGCAGATTATTGTAGATGTGAAGGAAACCAGTGTGGAAGAGTAGTTTTAACAAGGAGATATTGTTTTATTGACTGTAAATAAATTAAATTTATAAACTATCATCATAAAAGCCTCAGTGGCGGGAGTGATTGTGAGAGTGTTGGACTAAGATGGCGATTATACTGGAAAACATTTGGGAAAAAGAGTTTTGAAACTTAAAGCTAATTAAAGAGACTTCGGTTGAGAGCTTAAAAAAGTTTCAATTAAACTTAATTGGATTGGGCACAGTTCCAGTACAAGATGATATCATAAACAATACTAATAGGACTGTCTTGTGATTTGTGAGAAATTGAAAGCTTCATTTTCAATTGATTGAAGTGCTCAGTGAAATTGATTTTTAAAACAAGTAAAATATAAAGTCTCACATGGATAGTTGAAAAGCTATAAACAACAAAGATTGTTTACATTCCTGAGTATTGGATGAGAACTGTTGTATCTGGAGAGAAGTAAACAATAACAAAGAAGCCATTGAGAGCTTCCTCTGCTGTATGAAGGATGTATAATGGTTCTAACTTGGTGAAATAAACTCAGTAGCTGGATAAGGATTCAGAGCTCCATCTGCTGGAAGAATATTGAATGGATTTTTAGTCTGGTGGAATAAAGCTTAAAGAATAAGCAATTTAATTGGCTTTTGAATAGTGGCTTGTGGGTTCTATATTGTTGATGCCACGAAAGACAGCCACAATGCAAAACTCACTCTGGCTGGATACGTGAAACAGGAAGACCATCACATCCGAGCCTAACTATGGCTTCTAGATTAACACAAACAGAGAATGAAGAAAAGATAGAGGGAGCCTCAGAAGTTATGGTTGAAGACAAGACCCTTCACAGATTTAATACTTAATCTTGGATTGAAGTATGAAGAAATGGAAAAAAAGATCATTTTCAGGAAATGAAACAGATGAGAGAGCACAGTTAAAAGAGAATATTAAATAAAAATTGAAAATGAGAATTTTCATTTCCAAAATTGATGAATCAGTTGAAGGTCCTGGAAAAGAAATGTGAGTAAACAGTGGTAGTGGCTAAAGCTAATAAATTGGATATAGTTGTCCATTCTGAAAGAATTACTGAGTTGAAGAAAAAGGTGATTGATTTGGAGGGCAGAGATCATAGAAGGAATTTATGATAAAGAAATATATCAGAATGATTATCACAGGAAAAAAAGCAACTCAGAAGTGATGTGCTTGCATGGTTTAAAGAACTTATGCCGGATGAAAAATGGGAAGAAGACAATACAGAGAAAATACATTGTGTGGGCTTCAATGCTGAGCTAGATTAACTCTGAGAGATATATTGATAAGATTTTCTAATTATGATAAGAAGGAGCAGCTGATGAGAATGCGGAGAGAAAACTTGGTTAATTAAAAGATAAGTATCGGCTTATAAGAAAGATAGGATAGAATATTAACTCTGAATAAGCTAAATATAATATTAGAGGAATTTTGAATATGCAAAGTACGTATATGGGGAAAGATAATATTGAAAATTCAAAGAATTTTTAAAAAATGAAAATATTTAGAGGACGGGTTAAGGTAATAGGGGTATAGAGGCAATGGGTAGTGGATATTTGAAGTTGGCCGGGCCGGTGGTTTCTCCCCCAGTGCTTTTCTGCAAAGGTGGAGACAGTGCCTAGAATGGTAGTGTTCTGAGGGAAAAAGGGGAAGGTAGTTTTCTATGTAAGGATGTGCTTTTGTGGGGTAGGGTTAAGATAATTTTTTTCTTTCTTTTTGCTAGGTTTTTTTGTTTAAGTGTATTTTGTGCGTGTGCACAAAGGACCAACAAGGATATGTGTTTTAAATTTGAAATGGTTAGAATTGTAAGAGTATTATCTTTGACTGTTAAAGGCTTGGGGAATGTAATTAAAAGGGGAAAAATGAAGCCTTAATAAATAAAGATAAAGCAGATATTATATTTTTGTAAGAGACACATCAAAGAAAAGAGGGGGTTAATGAGCTAAAGGTATTGAGCTAAAGGTATCATGGTCAAACATTTATGAGAAAGCGTATGGGAGTTTATTTGGAACATTTATATGCTGCCCCATTTGCAAAAAGCCTCAGGGAGTTCTAGGTCAAGGGGCGTAGCAAGTATATCTAAAAAAAACTGAATTTAAAATAAATAAAATTTTAAAAGATGAAACAGTTAGATTTTTGATATTACAGGAAAAGTTGAGAGGAGAGAATTATACATTAATGTTTATTCACCAAATGAAAATCAGATGGTTTTGTTTTGTTTTTCAAAAAAGTGTTTAAAGAGGTAGAAGAAACAAGAAAGGGATTTGTAATAATGGCTGGGGATTTTAATATACTAGTGGATAATGGGAAAGATAAATCAAACTCTAGTAATGAGGAAAGAAGATATAGTACTACAATGTTTACTAAAATGGTAAACAAAACTGATTTGAAAGATGTATAGAGAGAGTTAAAAGGGCAATGAAAAAAGATATACATTTTACTCTTTGGTTTGTAAGACTTATTTGAGGATAGATTATATATTTGTGTCTAATGATTTGTTATCCAGAATGTGTAAACATGGATATAGGTCTGATAAAAGTGACATCTCATCCTGTGGTAAACATGGATCTTAAATGTGATTATAAAAAAAGGTAAAAGGTGGAAAATAGATGTAAATATTTTGCAATATAAAGATAGAATGGAAAAAAAACATAAGCAAGATATGGGAGATTAATGATAGAGAAGGTAATCAAGAAAACTTGATTTGGGATACAATGAAGGCAGCAAGAGGGCTAGCATTACCATTAAAGAAACATATAATTTAAGAAGACAAAGGTGTGGAAATTTTAGAAGGACAAATAAAAGAATTGGAGAAAAAAATATATAGAAAATAGGATCATAAATATTTTAATTGAAGCTAAAAAGAAAAGAGTTGCAAAATACTGAAACTGAAAAAATACAAAGGAATTTAATATACTTAAAAGAGAATATCTTGCATTTAGTAATAAGAATTCAAGATTGCTGACTAGACCTACGCAACAAAAGAAAGCTAAAAATTTAATTGGGTTAGTTAAAGATGAGAGTGGTAAACAGCGTAATTTAACAAAAGACAAATTAGGAATATTTAAAGATTTTTTCTAAGTGTTTTAAGTGATAAGGTGTCATTGAATAAAATCAGATCATATATAGAGAAGACTGTTGGGGAAAAATTATAACAAATGGACAGGGAGTTGATGGAACAATTAGTTAAAGAGGAGGAGATAAGTTAAAAGTAGGGAAAACTCCTGGGATAGATGGTTAGGTCCAGAATATTATAAAACTTTTAAGATGATGCTGATTCCGAAATTAAGATCTTTATTCAATAGTATATTGGAAGGAGGTGAGATGCCAGAGTATCTTGAAAATACTCTTCAGTAGTTTTAATTCCAACATCCAATAAGGATTTGATGAATCCTGGAGCTTATAGACATATCCCTGATTAATCAAGATGCAAAAAATTTTGCAATAATATTTGCAAAGAGGATGAGTAGGCTTTTGGTAATTATGTTAATGTTGGTCAAAGTCATTTTATAATAGGTAGGCAGATGGCAGATTTGATTAAAAGAGTATTAAACATAATTGAATATATGCACAAGAAAAAATTAAAAGCTGGTAGAATTGTATTAGATATTTTTAAAGCTTTTGATTGTGTGGAATGGCCAACAATAAAGATATTAATAGAACGAATGGGATTTGGTACATGATTTAGAAATATAATCAGCTATATTCAAGAAGCTTTGCAAAGGTAATAGTAAATGATTAACAATAAAGGAGCCAGTTAAGGTTATGGATTTGGAAAAATAATGGGTTTACAAGTAAATTGGGACAAATCAGAGATAATGTTATTTAATTGTAATAAAGGATGAGATTAAAAGCAAGTTAGAACTTAAAATATGTAATATTTAGGAGTTAATATTACAAAAATTGGCAATGTTTAAAAGATAATAATTTTGATGTTAAAATATGTTGTGAAAGAGAAGATGAATGATTTTAAGATTGGTCTATCATGGTTTGGTAGAATAACAACATTCAAAATGAAGATTTTACCTACGATTGATTTCTTGGTTATGATGTTAAGAATTAATTTTACAGAGAAAGATTTGAAATAATGCCAAAATATGATTACTAAATTTTGTTGTAATGGAGATAAAAAAGCAAGGATTAATTTAAAAAGATGATATATGCCCCAGGGAACAGGAGGTTTAGGCATGCCCAATGTGAAATTTTATTGTCTAGATAAACAATTGAAGCATGCACCAGACATTATACTGCAACCAGATAAGATAATATGGGGTAAATTAGAATATCAAGATGTAGAGGGATCCTTATTAAATAGTTTGCTTCAATAAGATAAGAATGTTATTAAAAAGATAGGAAAACCTTTTTTTAAGAATATGTTTAAAATTTAGAATAAATATAGGGATATGTTTATCCCATCAATTTAGCTGTTATACCCAGTTATGTAATAGCAAGATTCCCAGTAAATCTGTGGACTAATTTGATGGAAGTACTGAAGAGTAAGCATGTTATTAGGTTGAAAGATTGGTGAGAGAAAATTAAGAGTAAAGAAATGATATAAGCAACACTGGGACAGGGTAAAATAAATTGGTACAATATACACCAGTTAGATTATTGGACTAAGAATTGGTTGAAGAAAAATGGTAAATGCAGAGAATATACTAAATTTGAAGATACAATTTTACAGAATGAAAAAAAGACAATATGTGGATGAGAGGAATGATAAGTAAAATTTACGAGGGGCATTCAATGTATTCTTGGTATCAGCATGAAGAAAAAGGAATAGTAAGTTGAAATAGTGTTTATTTTTCAATGTAATCCCCCATAACTTCAATACACTTATTACATCTAGAAATTAACTTTTCAATTCCCTGTAAAAAATACCCTTCCTCCTTGTCTAAAAAATGTGCGTTAATTGCCGCTTTGAGCTCTTCATTGCTGGAAAATCGCTTTCCATCAAGATCTTTTTTTAAATTTGGGAATAGTTAGTAGTTACTGGGGGGCAGGTCCGGGCTATAGGATGGGTGGTTTATTTCTTCGAAACCACGGTCTTGCACAGCAGTCTTCGAAACACGCGCCGTGTGAACAAGCGCGTTGTCGTGAAGAGGCAACACCTGTGGTCAGTTTTCCCCACCTTTTTTCTTTAATTTCTTCTCTTAAATTATGCAGAGTGGTTGCATAAGATGCTGCATTTATGGTTTCACCTTTTTTCATGTACTTGGTCAATAAAATTCCCTTTGAGTCCCAAAACACTGTGGCCATGATTTTTCCGGCCGATGGAGTGACTTTGAATTTCTTTGGAGGGTCAGCACCTTTTTTATGCCACTGCATGGACTCCTGCTTACTTTCAGGGTCATAGTGATGAACCCAAGTTTCATCTCCAGTAACAATTTGGTCGAAAATACTCTATGGATCTTCACCACAGAGCTCTAAAAACTCCCTACAGCACTCGACTCGCACTTGTTTTTGAGGCGTCATGAGCATTCGCGGCACCCATCTTGCACAGACCATTGAAAGGTTAAGATGGTCATGAAAAATAGTAAATATGGTACCAACAGATAGGTTTGTCATCTCTGCTAACATTTTGATTTTTGTTCGGGCATCTTCCAATACAAGTTTCTCTATTTTTTTCACATTTTCTTTCGTAGTGGCAGTAACCAGGCCACCCGAGCGAGGGTTGTCTTCAATGCTTTCTCTGCCCCTTTTAAATTCACTTGACCACTTCTGAACAGTAGATAATGAAGGTGCAGAGTCCTGGTAAATGGCCAACATCTCTTTGAGAATGATTTTTTGACTTTTTCCTTGTTTCGTAAGGAATTTAATCACAGCGCGGTGCTCGATTTTCTTCAACATTGTCGCGTCAGTCATCATGGTCGTCTTTCAGTGAGGATTACTAGGGAACTAATGATCACACTTATTTGAAATTTTGCATGTATACCCTCAGACAGTGTCATTAGCTAATGAAATAATTAAATTACCCACATCAATAGCAAATCAACCTGATACCGAGAATACATTGAACTCCCCTCGTACATTACCAGAAGAGGGGGATTGCTATGTTACTCTTAAAGAGTCTTGGGAAATAGATTTAAAAAGACATATTAGTGCTGAGGAATGGAATGATAAATGGAATCAAAAATTAAAATTTATTTCAATAAGAATTAAAGAAATTTTATAAACTGGTTTGGAAATGGTGTTTAACTCCAGTTAAATTGAGTTACATGAATAATGAATATTCCAGCATGTGTTGGAGATGAAACAAAGAAGTGGGTATGTGGTGGAATTGTAAATATATAAATGAGTTTTGGGAAAGGATCTTTAAAGAATGTGGTAAGATCCCAGTAAATCTGATGCGTGTGATGATTGATATGTGTAGTTTTAGTTTAAAATCTTAATAAAAATTTAAAAAAAAGAATGTGGTAAGATATTGAATTTAAATATTGAAGTCGATCCTGAATTAGCATTATTGTCATTATTTAGAGAACGGATGGGACAAAATGCTAAAGAACTGATGATAAATTTATTAACAGCAGTAAGATTAATAATAGCAAGGGATTGGATAACAAAAGGTGAATATCATATAGTTGACTGGTATAAAGAACTCTGGAACATAGCTATTAATGATAAGTTAACTTGTGATATTAAATGCAAAAACGGTTTGATAAGTGAAAATGAATTTGAAAATATTTGGAGACCTTTTACTGAATATGATTTAATGAAAGGGGTGTGAACCACCACGAGTGTCAGTGCAGGGAAGCGGGCCAACATGAATGAATAAATGATCTTACACTAAGTAACTAGCGTTGTTGGTCCTGCTGGAGGTAGCACTGATATTAATGTATTGTTTAATTGTGTTAACCAGTAATGTTTATAACTAATTGTATTGCAAGTTATAAACATTGTATTGTATAATTTTATTGTTTTTAAAATAGAAAATATTTAAAAAACATTACCTACAATCATTAAACTTTTGCCAGTTTTGCTGCTGTTTGTTTTGATTGCTCAGAGCAATTGTGAATATTCCAGCAGCTTTCTGAACTGTATTCTTTACAATCTGTCCTTTCAACAGCACAGATTTGCATTCAACAGTGGGCCTCTTTTCATAGGTTTTCTCTATCACTTTGGTTCTGACACTTGCAGATCCTTAGTTCAGCATCTAAGGATCAAGCTAGCTATCTACATTTATCTGTTCCTGTGGTAATCCTATACTTTTCATCCTATTTATTGCATCAAAAATTTTATCTGCTTCTATTGCTGCGTTTTATTATTGTGTCACCCAGAACTTTTGTAATGCAGATTTTCCCTGATGCAGAGGAGAAACACTTGTTTGAGTTGAAAGATCCCACTGCATTCACATGTTCACTCATAGATGAGTTTTCTTCCTTCTCTTTCTGCGATCCTGCTTTGCTCTCAAAATGTTGCTGTGGAGGTTCTCCTGGTGGTGAGCAGGCAATTTTTGGGGGGCTGCAGGCAAGATAGGCTAACCTTGTTGTGTTGGCTCCAAGCTATTGAACAGATCGCAAAGGTAGTTCAGGCTTAGCCATGCAATTCCAATTTCCCTGTATTAGAAATTAAATCGAATGCCCATGAAGATTTGTATACTGTAATTGGCTGACAAGTTTTAAAGGGCCTTTTCACTTTTCAAGATACTTTTGTTTATGTTGGTTTTTCTTTTTTTCTTTTCATGTCAGGTGAAGAGTCTACATTGAGCAGCATTGGACTTTTTGATGGAGCTGATATATTTGTGTGGAATGGAAAGGAGGTGAATAAGCCATTCTTGTGAATGGGAAAAATGTATTTTTGTCAGGGTTTAAAAGTTTTAAGTTTTCTGGCAAATTATGCACCTACCCCAATTAATACCTCAAATCTAGTTAATCTTATGGAAGTCCTAGTTTCATTTTCTTCTAGCAGAATCTCATTGCTCTCTTCTGCCATTCCTGTGTTAGTTATTTTTCTTGGCAGAATAGGTGTTTGTAAAAACTATGCCCATTGAAACTATGCTCTTTCTGTTTTAAGCTCTCACTTAAAATTCCAACCACAGTAGCTTCCAAAATGGGCAACACCCACATCTCCACACCTGTACAGTGCAGTATGCCAGACCATCCAAGAAAATGGGAGGTGTCTTTGCTTCTGTACTCTTAATGCCACTTTCTCCTTCTTTGCCACTTTACTTGAAGTCTTGATCCTGAGTATCAGACCTCTTGATCCTGAGAGAGAGGGCTAGATTGGGATATAGTATAAGGCTCTCAGGGCCTTTCTCTACTCTAGGGGAGTAGAGAAAGAGAGAAGCAGGAATGTTCTGATGGGAAGGGTTTTGTCCTAAGTTACATTCCAAAAATGCTGATGGCCATTAATCACAATAAAGGAAAAGCATCATCATTCTTATACTCTCCTTAGATATTTATTTATTTATTTATTTATTTATTTATTTATTTATTTATTTAAACATTTTTATGCCGCCCCATTCGCCGAAGCCTCGGGGCGGCTTACAACAAAAAATTAAAATAACATTTTAAAATATATACAATAAAATACAAATATATAATATAAAACATACACTATAAAACAAGCCGCCCTGGCCAAATAAAATCAATAATATTAACATTTAAAATACTGCTTAAATAAAAAGGTCTTCGCCTGGCACCGAAAAACAAATAACGACGGCGCCAGGCGGACCTCTCTGGGGAGCGCATTCCATAACTTAGGCGCCACCGCTGAGAAAGCCCTCCTCCGAGTAACCACCCTCCTAACTTCTTCCATGGAGGGCTCCCGGAGAAGGGCCTCTCCCGCCGATCTCAGGGGGCGGCTGGGCATATAAGGATGTAAGCGCTCCTTCAGGTAACCAGGACCCAAGCCGTTTAGGGCTTTATAGGTCATTACCAACACCTTGAATTGGGCCCGGACTTCAATGGGAAGCCAGTGAAGCTGACGGAGAACTGGAGTCATGTGAACATAACGTCCAGTCCCCATCAGCAGCCTGGCAGCTCTATTTTGGACCAATTGAAGTATCCGGACCGTCTTCAAGGGTAGCCCCACGTAGAGCGCGTTACAGAAGTCCAGACGGGAAGTCACCAACGCATGTGTCACTGTCGCAAGGCAGTCATTCTCCAGATAGGGGCGCAGCTGATGAATTAGCCGAAGCTGGAGGAAAGCGCTCCTCGCCACTGCTGTTACCTGAGCTTCCAGTGAAAGCTCCGGGTCGAGGAGCACTCCCAAGCTGCGGACCTTGTCCCTAAGAGGGAGTGCAACCCCGTTCAGGACAAGGTTCAATTCACCCTCTCCGAAGCCCGATCTGCCAACCAACAGGACCTCCGTCTTGTCTGGATTGAGCTTCAGTTTATTGGCCCTCATCCAGCCCATTACCTCGGCCAGGCACCAGTTCAGCACAGCCACTGCCTCACCTGGATTGGTGGAAAACGAGAGGTAGAGCTGGGTATCATCAGCGTACTGATGGTTCCGCAGCCCACACCTCCTGATGACCTCTCCCAGCGGTTTCATGTATATGTTGAACAGCAAAGGGGACAAAATGGACCCCTGCGGTACTCCATGGCATAGCTGCCATGGCGCAGAGCCATAGTCCCCCAGCACCACCTTCTGGAACCGGCCATTGAGATAGGAGCGGAACCACTGCAAAGCAGTGCCTCCGACCCCCAATCCCGCAAGCCTATCCAGAAGGATACCATGGTCGATGGTATCGAAAGCCGCTGAGAGGTCCAGAAGAACCAACAGGGACGCACTCCCCCTGTCCTTCTCCCTGCACAGGTCATCGTACAGGGCAACCAAGGCAGATTCAGTACCGTACCCGGGTCTGAAGCCGGACTGCAATGGGTCCAGATAATCAGTTTCATCCAAGAGTGCTTGGAGTTGTCCCGCCACCACTCGTTCTAACACCTTGCCCAGAAATGGGATGTTGGCCACTGGTCTATAATTAGTGGCCATCTCTGGATCCAGTGACACCTTCTTCAGGACCGGTTGGACTACCGCCTCCTTTAAAGGGGCAGGCACCCGACCCTCCCTCAGAGAAGCGTTAACCACTTCCAAGATCCAGGTTCCAATCCCATGCTTGGAATCATTTATTAACCAAGACGGGCAAGGGTCCAAAAGGCAAGTGGTTGGACGTACTCGCCCAAGCACCTTGTCCACGTCATCGGGCCGCAGTAACTGAAATTCATCCAATAAATCTGGACCAGACGGCAGCGTTGGTGTCTCCTTTGAAACCTCTGAATCAATAGTGGTGTCCAGCTCGTGACGAATCTGAGCGATTTTCTCCCTGAAATGCCTGGCAAAGTCATCACAGCGGGCCTTTGAGGGTGGAATCAGGTCTTCCTTTGGACCTGGACGAACCAGGCCTTGCACCACTCGAAAGAGCTCCGCCGGATGGCATTGTGAGGAGGCAATGGAAGCGGAAAAGAATCTCTTTTTTGCCGCCCTCACCGCCACAGCATAGGCCCGATAGTGGGCTCTTAAGTGTGTTCGGTCAGATTCATCTCGTGATTTCCTCCACCTACACTCTAGTCGTCTCCCAACCTGCTTCATCGCCCTCAATTCAGGAGTATACCAAGGGGAAGAGCGGGCTCTGCCCGGTGGGAGAGGACGCTTAGGAGCGATCGTGTCTACAGCCCTGGTCATCTCCCCATTCCACAGTTCGACCAGAGCCTCGACAGGAGCACCCGTCTTGTCAGCCGGAAACTCCCCCAGGGCCTTCAGGAATCCTTCTGGATCCATCCGGCTCCGGGGGCGGACCCACATAATCGGGTCCGCACCCTTACAGAGGGAGAAGTCGCTCTCGAGCATAAACCTCACCAGGAAGTGATCTGACCATGACAGGGGAGTCAAGCATAAATTCCTCACCCTCAGACCACCCTCTTCCTGCCCCGTCGAGAAAACCAGGTCCAGAGTGTGTCCCCGTTCATGGGTCGGGCCGGTGACATGTTGAGACAGCCCCATGGCCGTCATTATAGGAATTTTATTTGTTAAAATATATAATATTTTTAAGATAATTATAGGAATTTTATTTGTTAAAATATATAATAATGATCCTTGTAAATATTTTACTCAACAGATTTGTATTTTTTCTGTTTCCTTTGTTATGTTTTCAAAATGATGTATAGACACCAACACTTGACTTGCAGATTTTGGGCTTCTCATGCTCTGTGAAATTTCCATTTAATGAAGAAAGTAAAACAAAATTGCCTTATTTTGCTAAAGTGAAATTGCTTAAAACATGAGGATTGTGTAATCTGAAATGTGACTTCTGTGGCTTTGAAATCATTTAACCCTTTTGACAGACAGACTTGTCAGTTGCTCACTGATTATGAATTCCTCATTTTACTGCCACCAAACAAATTTTCAGAATATTGATTAAAAATAATATGTTAGAAAACTGGATCATAGTATGCTCCATGCAGCACACAAGAAAGATACAGTTTACCAGTGACTGAGTCCTGCAGTGAAGTGTTAATTTCCTGAAATGTGCTCCCATTTTCAAATCATTCTGTTTTGTTCCCACAGGTTGATGGAGCAGAAGTTCTGGTTGGCATTGACCATGAACCTGTTCTCATAAATGTTCTTCGGTTAGCTGGACACAATGAAGGACAAAAAGGACAACAGTTTATGGAATCCCAGCATGTGTTTCCATGTAGTTCAAGCCTGGGAATGGTTCGGGAAGCTTTAACATCACCTGAAGGGATCATTTTAAAAAACCATTCAGGGTCTAATAAAGAAGCTGAGAACTGGGAAGTCATTCCTGAAGAAGATTTGAAAAAGACTCTGAAAAATGTCGGCCTGAGCAATGGAAGCTCAATACTGGTTCTAGATAGCCATGACCAAAGGTTAGTGCTGCAGCTTGCTCTCCTGTTAAATAGCTATTCTCCATTCTGTTTTTACTGTGTAATTTCACTTCTGAGAGAGAAAAGAGGAGATGGATTGACTCCATAGAGAAAGCCCCAGCCTCGAACTTAGAACAACTAAGCAGGTCTCTCATGGACACATTGGAGGAGTTAATTCACAGAAGTGCTTACGTCAGAAATGACTAGATGGCACATAACAAACCCTCCACCACAACAGTTCAGTTCTAAGAGGCTATTTGGCTATTCAGTTCCCATTCTTTTTGTGTGGATTTCTAAACTGATGAGATGCAGTTTAATCTTAACCTTGAAAATGCCTTGTGAGTCATCAGCCACCTATTCTCTGGCAGCAGATGTACACCATTCTTCACAGCTTATTATACTATAGCAAACATCAGATGATTCTGTCCAGGTGCTACTCAACATGTAAACAACCCACACATTCACGAGCAATAAAACTAAAGTCCTTTATTGCTACTTGTCTACAAGATTTACAACTCTATAGATAAGCTCTTCTGTTGAGGTCTTTGGAATGCAGATGTTAATCCTCTAACGGTGTTTCTCCACATGCCCACATGGGACTAGCCCTCCTGGTCACGGCTTTCTCCCCTCTGGCATAACAAGCTCTGCCTTTGCTCGTATCTTCTCAGAATTCTACGATTGGTCACTAGAGAAAAGTGTGTTATGCCTCCTGCGTCTCCTGTGTCATGTTCAGGAAGTTCAGCATCAGTAGGAGGAGAGACAGTCCACTATGACTCCTTCTGAGTAAAACTAATAGTGTCTTTTCTCTCCAGGCTCTCTTGCTTTGATGTGGGCTCAGGTGTTTGCTCAATGGGCAGGGAGTCAGGAGCAGCTATCTGCTCAGCCACCCCCAAGCTAGGTTGCAGGGTTGACATTTGGATACAGGTTCATAAGCACAAGACCTCCTCGTGAGGTGCTGTCTCTGTCGGGGCTTCAGGCACGACAGATTCCACCAGTTGCCTATGCAGGTTTATTTCAAACAGCCTCAGTCTACTAGAAATATTATGAGCAGTGGGTAGAAATAACTATAAAGACTTGACTGTGATGTACAATTCTGAACAAGGCTGAAATACATATTTGAGAATCTGGATTCCTGTTCCAACGTTTCTTTAACAATAGTGCTGAATTGCCCTTCCAAGACTGTTAAGCTGTTTCCCGTTTTTGCTGTTAATTTTTCTTCCACAGAGCTACTTCTGTGAGAGAACCTAGCTTTAATAATTCTCAGCCCCATTTTTATTTCCCAAACCATTTTTATGAAAGAGTACTTGTCTTACGTTTGCTACAGTTTCCTTTCTCTTGATGGTACAAATTGAGTGTGATATGGGAATGCATATCTTCAGTGTTGGAGCCTCTTAGTTGGCCCTTTTGCATTAGTATGCATATATATGATTTTTTAATTTTTTATTAATTACAAGTACATAGAAGAAAAAATACAGAACAAAAGAAAAACTAACATAAACAAAACAGACTAAAATGAACAAAATGAACAAAGTTGCCAAGGGAATTCCAAACACACACAGCCCATATGCTGCAGTCCCCAGAACCAACTCTCTTCATATCTTCCCACACTCTTTGAGAGTTTGCAAAGAAGAAAAAAGAATCATTACTCTATACATCAACAGATTTTCTAACCAGTTCAAATTCTAATGCTTTCCCTTTTCCCTTCCAGACTTCCCTGAGCTTCCATTAATCATGCTAAGCACCATAAAATTTCCATTTGCCATTAAATTCCTCTAATGGTCTTCTATTTACATAACTAGTTAGCTTTGCCATCACTGCATATCCTGCTAATCTGTTTCTCCATTCTTCAATGGGTGGGGGTTCTGGTGATTTCCATTTTGAAGCTATTGTGATTCTTGCTGCCATAGGCACATACTTCAGTAACTCTGACTTGTTTTTTAAAAGGGTGTCTGGAAGGATATTCAAAAGCATGTTCTTGGGACTCGTAGGAAACTTAATTTTAAATATTTTCTGTATTTTTCCATGTATCGATTCCCAGAATTGTCCCATATACCCTCTTACATTTCCAACATTTTGCACTATAATTCTTACCTATTTTCCCAATATCTTTTGGAGTAATGTACCACTGAGAAAACCTCTTATGCCAATTTTATCTTAATGCCTGACTAGCAGTGAATTTAATATATTCCTTCCAAAGACTTTTCACTGACCAGATGTTATTTCTTCACCAAGGTTCTTTCTCCAGATTGTCATGTGTTTATCTTGATGGCTTTCAGTAGCATAGTGTAATAACAGTTTGTAAAGTCTTCCCAGTAAGTGATCGTTCTGTTGTGTAATCAAATGTTTCAAAATCAGTCAGATCTCTTAAAATGCCTTTTCCTGGTTGTGTTTCCCCCTTCAGTCTTGAAATCAACTGATGGCAAACAAGCCATTGTATATTTTCCCTTCATCTTTCAGTTGTTGCCAAGATTTAATTCATCCTGCCTGGTCAATAACATCTCGATAAGTCATAAGATCATTATTTCTCCTTGAGTGTTTTTGATATGCTTCAGCTGGAGAGAGGGGGAGATTGGAGGACTAATATCAGGGGGGAGATTGGAGGACTAATTTTTTTCCTCATGGAATACCAAATTTTTATTAAACTACCTCTTAGCCCAAGGTTGTTATTTAAGATCAGGGCCTTCTTAACTGATGTTTTAGCCCATAAAAGATCATGTATAGCATCTATATAAATGATGATGGCTGGTTTTAGCTGAATTTGAGTCTGGGATCATGTGCAGTCATACTGGAAATTAAGTCACTTGAATGGGGTTTTTTGGAGTTGGTATTCATGGGATCTACTTTCAGATATAGATCTTGGCAACCATCCTAGTGTACAAACTAATGTGCACAGCTTGGGCTAATTTAAACAGCTGTGGGCTGAGTTTGTAATATGAATGCTGACATTTTATGCTGAAGAATGACACACATCTTCTTCTGACACAAAAGTCACAGAGAGACTTAAAGGAAAGGTACCATAGCTGAAGACAAAATAACTTCTTTAGAGTCACTCAAATGCTTGGATATGCCCATAGTTCCTCATATGAACATATCAAGAGGGAGTTCTTTCAGCCAGGTGCAGTGTTTTAAAAGCAAATTGGTACGCAGTAGGGCCGGAACTGGCAGCGCAGTGTTCAAGTGATTACAGAAAGTTCTTTGGGTCCTGACCTCTACAATGAAAGTGATGCATGAATTTGTCCTAAGAATATTTCATTTTTTAATCTAGAATATTCTTGGATTGGCTTGCCTCTGCACTCAATATACAGTAAACATTCAAAGGTTGAAGTACATAAAAATAAACATACATACAACAACCCTTTAATATATCATTTTCCTTGAAACATTAACTGTGAAGATTTCACAGTATCTGATTAATTAAGAATCAATTAAATAAGCAGAGGAAACATTCTGGTAAGAAATGATATTTAAAACTAGATTTAAAATTTGGTGTTGTCATTTGTGACACATGAATGCACAATTCTTGCCACAGCGTTGTCTTGAGTAACATGGCTGAAATATAAAATACTTTACTGATATTTGCGCAAAACTCTTGTCGTATAGCAATAAGATTCTGACTTATTGGACATTTAGTTATTTGGATAAGTGCAATTGTTCAGAACACTTTTTCCTGCAATCTGCCTACACAATTATCCCTTCTAAGCTTGTGTTGTTTGCAGCATGGTGAATGTGGCAGGCGGAAATTTGACTGCTTTTACGCATGATATCAGCTGGTTACAAGTAAAAAATTTTTGTAGTTTGGAGACTGAAGAGATGCAAGTTAAAATTACTGCAACTATTGAAACAGTAAGTAAAGGAACTGTGATTCTGCATGGCTGTGATGGCTGTCATATCCTGTGATTCATTTCTGTCCTTTTAGCCTAGCTTAGCTATGTTATGTTATTTTACTTTTTATTTCATTTTTAGAAAGTTGTGCCCTTTGTTTCTTTTTCTGCTTGTATATTTAGATGGTTATAGGGAAGTAGAAAATCACCAGAAATTTTGCATATGTCCTGCATATGTGTTCTGCGGATAGACATATGTGTTCCTGAGGCCTGATTTACACCACGATTTTTAAACTAGAATACAAAATTAATCCCTGTTCAGTGCTTAAAAATATAAGCACTGCTGTCTGTTCCACCTGGCAAGTGTGTATTGAAATGGCTGGGGCTCCCTGCAACACAACTCCATATTTACTTACTGAACTTGGCAGCAGCACAGTATTCAGGAAGGTTAGGTGCAGGTGCGTGTCCTATTTGCATAATACTGAGATGCACAGTACTGGGTATATCTTGGCAGCTTCCATACATACTGTGCATCCTTAGCCTGCGAGTTGGGAAATATGCTGCAGGAAGTAAGCTATTGTGTTGTATTGTATTTTAAAATACAGTTAAAATGATTAGGTAGCTATTGCTTGGCACAAAACATACTGAGTGAGTCAAAAATGCTTTCAACTATTTTTTCACTTACGGAGAAAATATGAAAGATTGTTTTCTGTAGTTGCACTTTTATGACTTGGGAAAACATGTACCTATGTATACTTTTGATATACCTAGCTTCCTATGCTATATACTGTGCATTTATTTAAAGAATTTTCATCCTGCTCCTCAGCCAAAAAGGCAGCTTACAAGTAATCAATAAGTGAACACATGTCCCTGCCCACAAGCCTACAAACTAAAAAGACACACAGAAAGAAGGAGAACATTAAGTAGGAGTAATGGAAGGACCCTACACCCCTTTCTGTCTCTCTTGGCTCAGCCTACTTTCCTTTGCTGTATCTTGTTTTGCTTTACATTATTATTTTTTTCTTTAAGGTGATGGCAGATATCAGAATTAAAGCAATAGAGGAAATGCAGTTAGATAAAGAACTAGGTAAATTAGTTTTACAAATTTAATTTTGCTCATTCAAATGTTGTTTGAAAGTTGTTGGAGGCTTTTAAGTAGTATAAAAGAGGGGGTGGGATAAAATTAAACGGTTTGAATTAAGAGAGGATTCAGAGATCAAGTAGACACTCCACCAGAGGTTGTCAGGAAGTATTTTATACCAATCCACTATTCTTCTTTCATCCACATTTTTCTTGAACAGCTTTCAGAGGGAAGGAGGGATTAGTGAAAGACACAGGAATCCAAAAACGATCTACTGCTCACATGCCTGAACACCATGATCATTATAAAGTCCAAGTTCGTCTCAAGCAACAGAGAATCTGTGCCACAGCTGAGCAGCCCACTGACTACATGTGGCACTTGACCACTCTCAGTGCAGCCTGTGCAGCTACGCATTCCCCCCACTGCTCAGCTGCTCAATCACCAGCTGGCTCACAGGGCGTAGACCAGTTTTCTGGAGCTGTAATTAGCAGGGCTCTTTCCTGGGGCAGTGCGAGCTATAATAGAGCTCCTCAGAGACTCTAATGCAGCTGATATCACTGTGGGTGGCAGGGGAGGCTATAACTTTGCCTCCTCGCCACTGGGATTGGATTACTGGGGAGAGACTGTGGGTGTTTGTGCACATACACTGAGTGTCTATGTGTTTATGTCTTCGGAGAGGTGGTGTGTATGAGTCAGCTTATTGCTGCAGAAAACAAAGGTTCATGCTAATGTTAAGGCAAATGAAACTTCATATAGCTGTGCTTATTCCATCTTGGCCCTTTTCTTATGTTTCAGTGAAAAATAGTTGCCTCAGGCCCATTAGCAACAATGGAAAACTTCTCTGTCCAGGTAAGGTCATGTAGTTATCCAAACAGAGACTCTCTGCAGGAAAATAGGGCAGCTCTTAATTGGTGTATTGCAGCCCTTGCAATTTTCCTGTTGAAAGTACATAGTTTAAAGAGCAGGTGGATGTAGCACTGGATTGTTGCCTTGCAGAAAAATGTGAGTTAAGAAAATTCCTTTTAAAAGGACCCCAAAGCGATCCATAGAACCACAAATTAAACTACCCAGCAAACACATCACATCTTTCTCCTTAATCCTTTTAATCCCACTTCAAGTGGTGAGGCACTGCGGAATAAGTATATTTGAGGATTGCTACCTTTCCATAGAATTAGGGAGGGAAGATGAATTATATACATTATGGGAATGGAGGGAGCACTCCAGAGGAAGATCACCAAGCTGGGAGTGGTGGTATTTTAACGTTGAGCATATCTATTGATTCACCCTGCTAATGCCCTGCCTCCAGATTATGGTCTGCAAACAATAAGATTGGGAGGATGGGGCATTTGTAGGAAGGGCAAGATAATGGTAAAGCACACCCTGCTTTCACACCTGTGCCTCCTCTTACCCACATGCACAGATGAGGAAACACAAAAGTAGGATCCCACATTTCCTTAATAGCACGTGGTCCTGCCCAGTCACAAACAGACTGGGCATTGACAGCATTGGTTCCCCTCCCACCAAGATGTCCCTACATTGGTGTGGGTATCTGGTGGGAGGAAGCATGTGTATGTGTGTGCAGTCTCCCACTCTGTAGAGAGAATGAAAGTGGAAGCTTTACTGCCTGGTATTTACTGTTTGTTTCTCAGTATTGCTTATATCTGAAAGTCTTTTACACATTTTGGCTTAGTACTGGGATGCAGCATCAATATCACCTTCATCCCCTTTATTTCTGATGTCCAGTTGTGAATACAGATACTTATGTAGCCAAAAGACAACTAACCACAGACAAGGGGGAGGTATCAGCAGGTTTAAGGGGAATCCAGCATTTGCATACATGAAGAAAAGCTATAGCACCCTCAAGTATAAGTAGAAAAATGTGCTGGTTTATTTAATATAGAGAAAATGGATGCAAGAAGAAATAGGAAAACTCCAAAATAGTGCTAAATAGCTTGTGGTGCCTAGACAACAGAAGAAATGCAATGTAGGTTTACAATCTTGGAATGGCCTGTAGAAAAGCATATATCCAACACAAAAAAACCTGTAGGCCTTGTAAGCTTTAATTAACAATAAAGTGTCCAGTGAACAAATCTTTCTAATAGATGTTTGTTGCAGTGCGTGTTAGAAATTCATGCTTAGCGTTCTGGAGATTTTCTGCTTAACATTACGGCCTTAATGAAAAAAACTTTGTGTGCTACTGTTTTGGAATCCTGAAGTGCCTGAGGATTATACTGTTAAAGAAGCAGAGCTGAAAATGGGAAGCTTGCTAGGACTGTGCTTGGGAAAAGCTCCAACAGCCACTCAGGTAAAATAAGCAGTAATGAGGGCTTTGCCAAGTGCTATTTTAAACATTTGTAACTATTTGTATTTTTTTAAGTATTGAAAGTGACTGAATGGAATTAATGTTCCTTGGTTGAAATCTTTATCTTACTGAAGTCATGTTAAACATTTACTATATTATTTTTAATGTGCTTGGACTATGTTGTCTCACAGCTGGTAGGCGACTAATATCTTCCTTTTTGGATTTGCAAGTAACATGGTCTGTCATGTTATTATGATTTCTTTTAAGTCTCAGACCCCAACTTCACCACTTAGAAATCCCATTCTGAAATCTGAAATCGCATTGAAGTAAATCTGTTTAAGATAGTATAAGTTCTGTGGTCTGTCTTATATATAATTTAACAGTGTGGTATTTATTCATTGTTTAATAGTTCTTAGACTTAAGAATAAATGGAATTGCCTTTTATTGTTACTTTTGTAAACTCTGATGGGCACCAACTTCCCAATAATCTTGGGAAGAGACAATCCATTCCTAATCTACTGAAATCATTTAACTTGGGGGTGGGCAGCTTGAGGCCCTCCTGCTCTTTTGGCCTGCAGCTCTCATCAGCTCCCATCATTGGTTGTGCTGGATGGGGCTGATGGGAGTTGCAGACCAAAACAGTTGTGAGCCACCTATCCCTGCTTCAACTAAAGATACCAGAAAGGTAGCCTGAATCTTGGCACGCAAACCCTCTGCTCCACCACTGAGCTATCTGCAAAAATATAAGAGAAAGAAATTAAATTTGTTTCCAATTTTAAATCTTCATTCAGGGCATCTTAAAACAATTAAATTCAGTATTCATATTTCAGACATATAAATAGACCTTTCCTTAATCAGAGGTGGGTAAAATTCTTCCCCAAATAACCAGGCAAGCAAGCTTTTTTAACTGGAATACTGATTTTTTTGTTTGTTTCTTTTTTGTCCTGGGCCATTGAGACATCAAAAATAATAAACTTTACCAAGCAAGTTAGTTATTTTCTTGGATGTATTTGCAGGGCCATCTTAGTGCATGCTGAATTATTGGTTCATTAAAAAATTGAGCAAGCATATGCAGATGCAGAAAAATTAGAAAGGGTCAAGAGAAGGGCAACAAAAATGATCCAGGGTTTAGAAACACTGCCCTTTGAGGAGAGACTGAGAGAACTGGGCATGTTCAGCTTTGAGAATGGAAGACTGAGGGGGGACATGGTATCCCTCTATAAGTGCCTCAAAGGCTGTCACAAAAAGGAAGGTCAAGATATCTTCTTGCTGATACCAGAGTATGAGAAACAGAAGAACCAAGTTGCGAAAAACTGGATTCATGCTGGACATGAGGAAAAGCTTCCTCACTGTCAGAGCAATATGGCACTGGAACCAGCTGCCTAGAGAGCTGGTGGGTTTTCCCACACTAGAGACATTCAAAAAGAAACTGGACAGCCATCTGAGTGGGATGGTGTAAGTTGGTGTCTTGCAACAGCAGGGGATTGGACCCGATGGCCTTCATGGCCCCTTCCGACTCTACTATTCTATGTCTACTCAGAAGTATGTAGTGGGGTTCAGTGGAGCTTACTCCCCGGTAAGAATGTAAAGGATTTCACCCTTTATCTGCAAATATATGAGGGGTTACAATATGTGGTCTTCTAAATTTATTGGACTTCCAACTCCTATCATCCCTAAACATGCTAGCTGGGATGAATGGGAATTGGATCCCAATAATCAAGAAGGCCAGATGTTATAAAGCTTCCTTATGTTTTCAGATTATGGGTGCCATCCTGTATACAGTTCCCTGTCAGTAACCCCCACTGACCTCACCAGTCCTCCAACATTTAAAGCTAATTGAAATGTGTGCTGTCTTTCTCCTAGCTTTTCTTGCATTTTGTTGTGGGACCTGATCTTCAGGCTAGTCCAGAGATGGAGATAGTGGTGGAAGAGACAACTACTGTAAAAGAGGTAAATACAGGAGCTGTAAAATTCTGCTGTGTGAATATTTCAGAATTGTAGGAATGCCACTGTATAACGATGTTATGTTGCTCTGGAAGTGGTTTAAAATAGAATGTCCTGGTCTGGAGAAACAAATTATCCTTATAAAATAAGTTAGTTTTATCAGGACTACAAACTTCAATCTAATTGAAGAAAAGTTTCAGTTGATTGGGGAAAGAGATTTTAAGCCATGGGATAATTTTCCTATTTATTGCATTAATCATATTGCTTTATTCTGTATACTGTGTTGTGGGGACTTGGCCCTAACTTAACAAAGTAAAATGGGCCCATGAGTGAAGAACACACTCATTTGTCTTTTGAAGCTATCTCTTTCTGGTGTGGTGGTGTAGTCTGGTATGAAAAAGAAAATGCTAATCTGTGAGCAGAATCCAAACTTCACTTCCCACAAATAAGTTCCAAATCATATGAGGTTCCCCTCTATTCAACACTAGTTAGGCTTCATCTTGGGTACTGTGTTCAGTTCTGGGCACTGCACTTCAAGAAAGATACAGACAAACTGGAAAAAGTTCAGAGGAGGGCAACAAAGATGACAGGGGACTGGAAACAAAGTCTGTGGGGAGAGATTGAAAGAACTGAGCATGTTTAGCCTTAATAGAAGGCTAAGGGGATATATGATATCACTTTTCAAGTACATGAAAAGCTGCCACAAAGAGGGAGGACAGGATCTTTTCTCAACCATTCCAAAGTGAAGGAAACAGAATAATGGTCTTAAGTTACAAGAAGTCAGATTCAGTCTGGATAGCAGGAAAACCTCTGATGCTCCTGACTTAGAGTAGTGTAGCAAACCTTAGAGCAGTACAGCAATGGAACCAATGAGCTAGAGAGATCGTAGGCTCTCTCACAGTGGAGGTATCCAGAAGGCATTTGGACAGCCATCTGTCAGGAATGCTTTAACTTCAAGTCCTGCATTGAGCAGGGTGTTGGACTCGATGGCCTTGTAGGCGCCTTCCTACTCTACTCTTTTGTGATTCTGTGAAATGTATTTGAAAGTACTCCTTCCATCTGTGAAAGTCTTTTCATCCAGCGGAAGAAACCCATCAGCAGAAGGGGAGAAGAAACTTCTACCCATTTCCCCTGCTCCCTGTATAGCACATAGCTCCATTTCCCGTGTGATCTTAGAAGATGCCTCAACTCTCCAGAGCAGATTTTTTGGAGAGTTTGAGGGTATGTAGAAGGTATATGCAAGTTAGCTCATCCCTTCCACCAGTGGGACCAAGGGATTTTATTTACTTATTTGGCTTGTATGCCACTTCATTAGCCATAATCTCTGACCAGCTTACAGCATAATAAGCAACATTTTAACCACATTTTAAAAGCAGTACAATTCAATCATAACAATTGCAATATGAAACCAACCAACAGAAATAAAAAAATTAAAATAAGCAATACATTAAATCAAAATAATACCAAAATATGATAAAATGAGATAGAAAGGGTCATGAAAGTAAACAAGTAATACATAGTAAAATGAGCTTTTTATTTTTTTATTTTCCCAACATATATATTACATAGTTTTTCTTTTGTTCTGTATTTTTTCACTAACATAACAAAACAGACTAAAGTGAGCAAAATGAACAAAGTTGCCAAGGGAATTCCAAACACACACAGCCCATATGCTGCAGCCCCCAGAACCAACTCTCTTCATATCTTCCCACACTCTTTGAGAGTTTGCAAAGAAGAAAAAAGAATCATTACTCTATACATCAACAGATTTTCTAACCAGTTCAAATTCTAATGCTTTCCCTTTTCCCTTCCAGACTTCCCTGAGCTTCCATTAATCATACTAAGCACCATAAAATTTCCATTTGCCATTAAATTCCTCTAACGGTCTTCTGTTTACATAACTAGTTAGCTTTGCCATCACTGCATATTCTGCTAAACTGTTTATCCATTCTTCAATGGGTGGGAGCTCTGGTGATTTCCATTTTGAAGGTATTCTGATTCCTGCTGCCATAATCATATACTTAAATAACTGACATATTTTTTTTAAAGGGTCTCTGGAACGATATTCAAAACCATGTTCTTGGGACTCAAAGGAAACATAATTTTAAAGATTTTCTGTATTTCTGCATGTATCAATTCCCAGAATTTGTGTGTTATTTCACAAATTCTGGGCTACTAGGGTGGTATGTAAATGCAGATAATAAATAAATAATAAATGAATAAAGTCCACCACATATGATAGAAGGTCCCATCTACCCTGTTACATTTCCAACATTTTGCATTATAATTCTAATCATTTTTCCCCAATATCTTTTGGAGTAATGTACCACTGATAAAACCCCTTATACCAATTTTCTCTTAATGCTTGACTAGCAGTGAATTTAATATCTTTCTTCCAAAGAGCTTCCCACCGACCATATGATATTTCTTCACCAAGGTTCTTTTTCCAGATTGTCATGGGTTTATCTTGATGGCTTTCAGTAGCATAGCGTAATAGCAGTTTGTAAAGTCTTCCCAGTAAGTGATCGTTCTGCTGTGTAATCAAATGTTTCAAAATCAGTCAGATCTCTTAAAATGCCTTTTCCTGGTTGTGTTTCCCCCTTCAGTCTTGAAATCAATTGATGGCAAACAAGCCATTGTATATTTTCCCTTCATCTTTCAGTTGTTGCCAAGATTTAATTCATCCTGCCTCATCAATAACATCGCGATAAGTCATAAGATCATTATTTCTCCTTGAGTGTTTTTGATATGCTTCAACTGGAGACATCAGGGGGGAGATTGGAGGACTAATTTTTCCTCATGGAATATCAAATTTTTATTAAACTACCTCTTAGCCCATGGTTGTTATTTAAGATCAGAGCCTTCTTAACTGATGTTTTAGCCCATAAAAGATTATGTATTCCATTTTCAAGGTCAGTCAGGTCCAACTTCACTAGCCTTTAAAATCCAATCTGCAATGTAGACCAGGCCTGCTGCATAATAATATAATTTCTAATTAGGTACGGCAAGGCCTCCTTTCTCCTTTGCGTCCTGTAAAATTTTGAATCTGATCCTCAGTTTCTTGTCATTCCAAATAAAACTATTTTATTGTCTCTGCCAATCTTGAAATGCTTTTTCCAGAATCACAATTAGTATCATCTGGAAAAGAAAGTTCAGTTTAGAATTGAAATTTTCCCCGACCAAGATGTTTTTTGTTTAGTCCTTTTTTGTAAGTCCTTTTGAATCTTCATCCAAGTTGTTTGAAATTTGTCTGGAAAAAGTATGTCATTATGTCCTGCGATGTTTATCCCTAAGAATTTAGCTGGGTTTGAAGTGATTTCACATCTTGAGTTTTTTTGTTTTCTTCTTCTTGTTTTGTTATGTGCTTTAATATCATTTTTGTTTTTTTGTTATTGCTCTTATCTCCTGAATAAAGTCCAAATTTTTCAACTTGTGCCATTATATGTTGTATGATTTGATATGGATCCAAAATAGTCAAGACTATATCATCTGAGTATCATTTTATTTTATATTCTCCACCTGTTTTAAAGTCTTTAATTTTTGGATCCTGTCTTATCTTTTTTGCTAAGATTTCCAATACAAGATTAAATAAAAGAGGTGATAAAGAACATCCTTGACATGTTACCTGCTCCATTTGAAAGCTGTCAGTTAATACACCATTGGTTAGAATCTTCACATGTTGTCTAGCATAAATTGCCTGCATCCAATTCAAAAAGCTTGGGCCACAGTCCAAATGTTGAAGGGTTTGCATTAGAAAAGGCCAGGCCACATTATCAAAAGCTTTCTCTGTAGCTAGAAAAATAAATGCAGGGTTTTTTTCCTTTTCTTCTTAACCCATTCTATTACATCAATCACAAAACATATATTGTCTTTCAAATTTGTTTTATGAACAAATCCAGTTTGGTCTGTATGGATCTGTTTTTCTATACATTTTCTTAATCTTTCTGCCATTATTGAAGTGAAAAGTTTATAATCAACATTTAATAATGAAATAGGTCAATAAGAGTGTGATAACATAGGATCGTCGCCTTCTTTATGTATCAGTGATATATGAGCTTCTTGCTATGCTGGTGGCAGTAATCCTACTTCTTTAATTTCATTTGTTACTTGTTGTAGTGGCAGAAGTAGTTTTTCCTCTACACATTCATAGTACACAGCAGTAAATCCATCAGGATCAGATGCTTTATCTTTTTCAATTTGCTAATATCTTGTGATAGTAATAGTATCATTCAGTATATTCCCCTGCTCTGGTGTAAATTTCTGAAGTCCTGTTTCTGCGATATACTTCTCCATCCCATCTTCTGGGGTTGATTTTTATATAGCTTTGAAAAAAAGTTAATAAATTGCTCATGAATTTCCTTTTCCACATATATTATGCCATTATCCTTCTTCAGTGCTATTGTAGATCTTTCCACTTCCTTCTTAAGACAGTACATTAAATATCTTTCAGATTTATTTCCATGCTCAAAATGTCTCTGTTTTAAAAAATCTCAGCTTCATTTGTTTCTCCTCTGTCTCTAACATATCTAACTGATTTCTTAATTGTCTGAGTTCAGTTAAAATTAGTTTATCTTGATTTTTACATGTTGATCCTCTAGTATTTGAATTTGCTCCAAAAGTCTTTGTGTGTGTGTGTGTGCACTGACTTCTCTCTTTTCTTTAAACATTGTTTTTATAAAGTATCATATAAGCTTTACTGGCTTCCCAAATTGTAACTGTGGAAACTTCATTGGTATTATTTAATCTGAAGAATTCTTCCAGTACTTTTTCTGACTTTGTCAAAATGTCTTCTTGTAGCAAAAGATTACCATTAAGTCTCCATCTTCTTCCTCCAACCTGTTCTTCCCGCCATATTATCTCCAATGGTTTATGATCAGAAAATAACTTGGGTAAGATCTTTACTGCCTCTAAATTCATAATTAAATTTTTAGATAGCCAGTACATGTCAGTCCTTGAATATGTCTGATGTCTGTCAGAAAAAAAAGGTACAATCCCTAACTGCAGAATTTTTGAGTCCCCGCACATCTTCTAACTGCAGCATTTCCATGTAGTTAAAAACATTTTAAAGTAATTTACCACCTCTAGCTTTGTTTGACTTGTCGATATTTGGATCTCTAAGTCCATTCATATCACCAATAATCAGAACTTTTCCTTCTTGAAATCCAATATCAATTGAAAGAATTTTTCATAATGTTTTTCTTTTGCATCATTTGGTGCATAAATCACTGCCAATGTGTTATTTTAGTTCGTTTAGAAGGGGAGTTAATCCCAGTGACACAAATTGATAAAATCTTCATTTTGTCTCTATTGCCCATTAAAAAAACTCAAACAATTATCCTTCAACAAATCTAGCATATAATTCCGCTTCTACTTTGAAGTTAATATTTCTCTTCTCCCTTCCCCTCCTCCTCCTCCACATCAAACTTCCACATTGCTTTATTGCCATAAATAATCTTACAATTCAACAAAGCTCCTAAAGCATTATAGAATTTAAAAAAAATAATAATAAAAAAATAAAAATGAAGGGAAGACCAAAGAGGTGGGGGGGGGGGCAAAGAGAGACAGAGAATGAGAGAGAGAACAAAATAGTGCAAAAAAGCAAAATTAAGTAAAATCAGTTAATCAGTCTTCTATGATATACTTTACAGTGATATTCTATCTCTATTCAAACATTAGTTAACATTAGATTGTTGAAAGAAACATTATTCAAAGAAGACTTCCATATAAAGGAACTCTGACATCTACTTATTCCAGAAGACCTTCAAATCAGTCTGTGGTTGCATAAGTTCTTTTGTTAAATAGAAACATTGTTCAAGCTTTGCTTTAACAGCACGTGGCCTCAGCCTTCCCTTCTCTCAAGGTTCAGTCGGTGACGCTGAGTTCCAGCTCACTTTGTCCCAGCCTCAGAACTGTATTCTCTCCATAAAGCCATAAGCAAAGGAGATCAGAGATTGGAAATATCCAGAGGATCGCACCTCCCCTCCCATCTCAGATCAGAGCCCTAGGGAGATACAGATGCCTTTTAAAACAAGTCAAATCAGCAATAGTGACAAAGAATCTCTCAACTCACGTAGGCAGCCACTCCTCAGAAAATGACGAAGGTGAAAACAAGAGATCATCTCCTCCAACACACTGAAATCTCAGTCACGGCCAGTTGGTAATGTCCATAGTTAATTTCTTGAATAATATCAAACAATTTTCAAAATACTGTCTTATTACAAGTCAAACCAGGTATTGGAAAATATCTGTTTCAAAGGCATTTCCAAGCATACTTGTACAAACAGGAATGCCTTGAGAAAGAATCTCAACCTCAAGCCCAAGCTGTCAAATGGAGAAGGGAACATGTCAATTAAAAAGCCACAGAATAAACGTAAAAATACTCCCAGCTTGTATTCTCATGCCGAGGTCTGCACTTCTCAATTCTTAGTTCTGAAACAGAAACTTTAAACAGCCTGCGTGTAAAATATCGTTAATCATCCATTTGCCCATTCCAGAGTCCCTTTAAAGTTTGCAAACAGAAAATGCCTTAAAAATCCAAACTGCAGCAAAATAAAGTGTTCCTTAAAGTGTTCCTTAAAGTGTTAAAGTGTTCCCAAATTAAAGTGTTTTTTCCTTTGGCAAAAACAGAAAAACCAGACAAAATAGAATAATAAAAAGAAAAAGGAAAAAGAGAGAAGAAAAGCAAAAGAGAAAGTACATGTGGGGGTGGACTCTGATCTCATTCAAATTAATCTTATTTTGCCTTCTCATTATTATCAGAGCATTGGACAAAATCTTTATGCTCACCTGTCAATTTGAGAGGCCGAAATACCTCTTGGGAGGCAATTTAATACCTTCTTGAACAAGATAAGAAAAGGCATGGCATCAAGCCGCTGCCATTCAAGTCGCCATTTCCCCAGAAGTTCATAAAATGACCTTAATAAAGGTAAATAAAAACTACACAATTTTAAAAATCTGGCATTAAATTAAGAGTGTGGCAGCAGCAAAACATGACAAACATTAAAACATTAAACCAAACAGCTCACCCAACAAATTGATTAAGAAAGAGATAAGTTTTTAGTTGGTATCTCAAGGAATAAAGAGTTGATGCCAACTGAGTCTCAGATGGAAATGTTTCCCATAGTTTATTTATTCATTTATTTTTCGATTTATATTCTGCCTTTTTCTACAAAGGGCTCAAGGCAGCTTACATCTCCTCCTCCATCCTATCCCCACAACAACAACCCTGTGAGGTAGGTTGGGCTGAGAGTCTGTGACTGGCCCAATGTCACCCAGTTGGCTCCATGGCCGAGCAGGGACTAGAACCCAGATCCCATGCGCTTAACCACTACACCACACTGGCTCTCAGTTGGGATGCTATTACGCAGGAGGCCTTTCTCCTTGCCATCTCTCCTTTTGTTTCACTGAGGGGAGGAGGAATACGCAGAAGGGCCTCTGATGACAACCTCAGTGATAAAGTTGGTACATATGAGAGAGGCATTCTCTCAGAGACCCTGGGCCCAAGCTATTTTTGGCTTTACATTTTACTGTGAGCACGTCGAATTGGGCCTGGATGGCAGCAGGCAGCCAATGTAGCCTGCACAGGACTGGTGTGATGTGTTTGAAAGGTAGAGCTGAGTGTTATCAGTGTATTGGTGACACTGCAGCTCAAACCTTTTGATGAGCCCTCCCAGCAGTTTCATTTAGACATTAAAAAGCATTGGGGACAAAATAGAGTCCTGCAGGACTCCACGGGGCAAAGGCTACGGCACAGGACAAAAGTCGCCCAGCACCACCATCTGGAGATAGTCAGCCAGAGAGGAGCAGAGCCACTGCAGAGTGGAGCCACCAACTCCCAACCCAGCTAACCTTTCCAGAAGGATTTTATGGCTTATGACATGGGTCCTCAAACTACGGCCCGCAGGCTGGATCCAGCCCGCCATGCTGATTTATCCGGCCCACCTCAGAGCTTTGGACTCACTAAAGGAAAACGATCTCCAAACAAGTCCGAAAGTTCTGAGCTGGCGCAGGCATACTCAGTGGGGAGATGGCCGCAATCGTGGTTGCACTCATGCAGAGAAGACGGGCGCGATCGCGGTCATGCTGGGGGCGGGGGGAGATGGCTGCAATCGCACCCGCCTTCCCTGCACGAGGGCGACTGTAATGACGCCCATCTTTCCTGCACGATCATGTCCTTCTTCCCCCCCCCCCCCCCCCAGCACAATCGCGGACATTGTAGCTACGTCCCTTGAATGTGGACATGTTCTTTCCCACCTCATCTTGGGCTTCTGCTGTAGCCCAAGCGAGCAGAGCAAACATTTTTAAATTTTTAATTAATTTTAGTTTTAATTACATTTTTAATGTGCAGTGTGCATAGGAATTTGTTCATATTCTTTTCAAACTATAGTCTCCCCCCCAACAGTCTGAGGGACAGTGAACTGGCCCCCTGTTTAAAAAGTTTGAGGACCTCTGATTTATGGTATTGAAAGGTGCTGAGAAGTTCAGAAGAATCAATAAGGTTGTGCTCCTCCTGTCTTTCCTGGCCGAGGTCATCCCACAGGGTGACCAAGGCAGTCTTCATTTCAAAATCAGACTTGAACCCCGATTGAATTGTATCTAGATAATTCGCTTCCTCCAGGAGAGCCTGGAGCTGTCCAGCCACAACCTTGCCAAAATAATGGATGTTTGCAGTTGTTTCATAATTATTTACATAGGTTGGGTCCAGGGTAGGTTTCTTTGGAATTAGTGCAATCTCTTCAGTTTTTAAAGTGGGTGGCACCACTTCCTCCCTTAAACAGGCACTGACAACCGCCTGGACCCAGACTTGACTCCCCTCTTTAGATTTTTGATTCAACCAAGACGGGTAAGAATCAAGAGAGCAGGCTGGACAGAGCGAAGTACTCTGTCCACAACCTCAGGCCACAACAGCTGAAATTCATCCAATAGAATGGAACTAGATGGTGCTCTGGACACCTCCATTGATGGACCCATGGTGTTGTGGCTACCATGAAGTCTGGAGCCACTCCAGACAAGGCAGCCGCCTCATGGAAATTGAGATCCCCCAGGACTAACAACCTGGGTTTCTTCAACACCAGGTCCGAGACTACTCCTGTCAGCTCAGGCAGAGAGGTTGCCAGGCAGTGGGATGGGTGGCACACCATCAGTCTGCCTTCATTGCCCAACACAAAGGCCTGAACTTGAGTGGATAGGAAGCCTCAAGAGGGAGATGGGGTCATAATGAACTATGGCCACCCCCATCCCTGGCACTCAAAATGATGTTGATGCTGCACCAAGAATCCAGACGGACAAAGCTGAGAGAGGGTCAGTCCCCCATCCTCATCCACCCAGACTCAGTGATGCAGGTCAGGTCATCCCCTGATTAAACTGTGGATCAGAGAGGTTTTGTTATGAGCTGACCTGGCATTAAGCAACAGCAGCACTTGAGGCCAGTCTGGCATAGATTTCCAGGAATCATCTGACTGGGGAAGGACCAGAAGCAAGATGATATCTATCCTATAAAGATGCCTATGCTATAAAGGCATAGCCTTTATCATGCCCAAGCAGTAGAGTTTTCCAAAATTAATCTTATTGACTGACATATATGTAAAAAGGTACCTGTATTAGATTGTTGTTGTTGTTGTTATTGAAACCTGTTGCATTGTAATCAGTTAATTAAACAGTAGATCACTCTGTTAATCACCTTCCTGTGAAAAAATTCCTTTTAAACTTTTTTTTTTGGGGGGAAGGGTTTACAGGGCCACCAGGGATAGTAGTGGTAGTTGTTGTTTTGACAGGAACTTATACATCTGTATGTACATATTTCCTTATCAAACAAGCCTGAGTAGTCCCCTCAGGAACCCGCTTATAAAAGTAGGCCTGGGCTTTAAGAGCTGTTGAGGCTCCATACTCCTGTAGGAGAAAGCACTGTACTAACTTCATGTGATGGGTTTTCTGTTTGTTTTTGCAGTGCCTAAACTTAATGCTAGTGAAATCTGGCTTGGCAGGTTAGTATAAGAAAAGTCATATTACTGTGTTTGTTTGCTGTTTGCTGTTTTGTTTTGCTTTGCTAATCTCCATCCATGCATTGAGAATTCACATCCATCACTTTTACTCAGGGAAAGATTGGAGACATTTGACGAAGAATAATTATGACCTTCAGGTTTCTCCAAAGTTTATAAGAATTTTGAGTATTTACAGTGAGACGTCAGAAATTTGCAGTTCATAATTTATTTGCAAACTTCATGTTATTAAAGGTGAACAAACTGAAAATTCAAAAGTAAACAATAACCATTGTGTTATACTCAGAATTTTATATAGAAAAATGGCAGTGGTTTTTGTAGAGGGTGCTGCCAATCTCTACTCTTGGCAAGTATCCCAATGTCAGCAGGACTGGGATTCTTCTGAAGAATAGGATCTGAGGCAGCCAAGATGGGAGCTTTGAGAGACATGGCACAGTCCTTTGAAGTACCTTGAAGGTTGCTGCCCCCAGGTTCCCAGGCTGTCCAGGATAATGGGAATGTTTTGGAAAGAGTGGGAGGGGTTGGAGAAGAAGAGGAAGAGCTGTTGTCTTGCTTGATTTGGGAAGAAGTTCCTAGTTTGTGTTCAACAGTCATTCTTATTATACACAGTAGCTTGTCTTCCAACGTAAGGTGCCTAGAGCATTACTTTGGCTTGCACTTGTGAAGTACCAATAAACAGCCTGTTTTACAAAGAGATTGTCTGGTGTTTGGGGTAAGAAGGGGGAGAACTGTGCTCACAACAGTTTTAGCAGACACTGGCAGAAATCTGGAAGTAATATGTTCCTAAATCCCTCACATCTCTTTCTACTTTGCATATAGAACTTGTTATCAGAAACAGACAACAAAAGCAATCTCAGACCTTCTGACTATTGTATTTAATAAACTGAAGTTCATAAAGTAATAAACTATGTTCATAAAGTGACTTCACATTTTCTGCTTTTTTTGCAGGGGACAACTGGCATTTGAGAAAGATGGACTGGTGCTATGAAGCTGGGGAAGCATTAAATGAGGAAGTAAAAATGCTAACTTTATTAGTATTATGTTTAAAGTATTTGATAAACAATGAAATCATGTAAACAACATTTGTGTTGGGCCAAAATATACAAAGTGGCTGCAGCATATTTCTGTAAAATCGTTACTACTTCTGTTCACCATAAATTTAGTGTTGTTTACAAATAGGGAATATGCTGTTGGAGGTTTTGCTAAGTAGACAGGTTCTTTGGTTCTAATGCTTTGATATTTTTTCCAGAATTAGCTTGTTTTTCACTGGTTAGGTATATGGTTTGTTTGATTAGGTATACCATTGTTTCTTCAGGATGCCACACTGAAGGAACTTAATATCTGCAGTGGAGAAACATTGAATGTTGCTGAAGGGAAGCTTCCACCAAAGGTAAATAATAATTTTTGTGTTAAAGCTGTTCCCTTGGATTTGGTTCTAGCATAGCCATGATGCTACCTTGTGAATAGAAAGTAACCACTTTTCCCCAAAGAAGTACTGAATATGTAGAAATATACTTATCTTCACTTATGCCACTGTGAGCCAGTTTAGATGTGATTCCTGGTTCAATTAACTAACCAATTAAACATTAATTAAGCCAGGAGTGAACATAAAGCTTGTATACTTGCCCATTCTTCAGTTTCTCCCACACACCTGCTTTGATGCTTTAATCTTGGTTGCTTTAAACCTCAGTTCCCTGTATTTCCAAACAAGCTTATTAACCAAGTTTAAAATCCTGCTTAATAAACTTATTTAAAATGAGAATTCCTCATTTCAAGCAAAGCAAGGTTTAAAGAGACCAGGGTCAAGATGTCGGTGTTCAAAGGGAGGCTTAATAAACTGGTTTATTAAATGAAAGTGGTTCAGGCTTAGCACAAAGCTCGTTTATCACAGAAGGATGGCTGAATAGTAGAATTCTGATCACTGTGACAATGACCTGGTTTGCTTGACATGAAAACTCATCATGGGTAAGTAGCCATGATGTATTGTCATGTGTGAACATGCACATGTCATGAGCAGAGCTGGCTGGAGCTGGGAATCAGACTAGATGGCCTGGGGGACCCCTTTTGACTTGCTCAGTTTCTATGTGAACCCAGCCCAGTTCCCATAAGTTGGCTTGTTGTTTTTCCCAGTGAGCCACCCTGAGAATGGGCTTCTGCAGAGGTTGTTCAACCTATGATGGGTGGTTGTGTTTTCCAGACCTGGGTGACTGATTCTATCATAGGGAGCGGCAAGCAAGGTACTGAGCAAGAGGGGCAAACAATATTTGCTGCTCTTGTGAGGCTTGCCTGGTCTACTGGTGGCAGTAGCCTTCTCACAAGTATATACTTCCATGACCAAACTATCCCGTCTAGCTTTTCCAAATCCCTGTTTTAAGAGGAACCCTTACCTTTGGAGGTTGTCAAAACCATGCATCAGTGAAAGGGGATTGCACTTCCTGAGGTTTGGAGTGGCCGGAAAAGTTGGGAGTACTGGGACCTATGGTAGGAACATTCAAAATACTGAGGATATTTCTGTGAAGTCAGTGGGTGAGGGGGATGTCACTTATCCTGTTTTGCAAGGAAATATCACTTGCAGCTTTGTTTTGACTTGACAAGTAACCTTTTGACAGCTGCCACCTCAAAGCAAACCATCAGTTGCTTTGGAACCTTGCTGGGGCGATGTCCAGGGATGATAACCTGCTGTACTGTGACAGCAAGCACCACCCACCCCCTCGCACCCATGACTTTCCATTTTCATACCCACGGTCCTGCACATTCACGCAGTTGCAGCAGTCTGGCTTTAAAATAAATAAACATCATAAAAATGTTTGCACACACTCAGGTGCCAATTACTCACAGCCCCTCCAATGTGCTACTTGGGCTCTTTGGAGATGTTGTCAATTTGGAGAGCACGGCTTATTGCCAGAGCGGCTTAGTGTGACAGGCGAACCCACCCGATGGTACAGTGTGCTGCAAAAACAACAGAAAAGGCAGAACAAAGGTGAGGCCGTGTTGATGATAACCCTGCTAACTTATGACCTGGAAGGGGGGTTTGCTTGTTAAATCATAAGTCACTTATTCATTTGTCACCTAGTAGGTGACAAATTTACATCAAGGTGAAAAGTAAGAATGTATAATTAGAGAAGAACAGGCAAGGATAGAAGACATTGAAGCAAACCAAGGAGCTCAACAAGGACGCACACTATGGATAAAAGAGGCAGAGACAGAGAAAAAATTTGGGATGTCTCAAAGGAATCAGAAAAAGGAAAGTGGCTCAGTAAATGAACCTGTTAAACATGACCTATATAGTTTTAAAAAAATCAGCTATGTTACAGTTAACATATGTCCTAAAGCTAGTATGTTTTGATAGCTCTTGACAGTGCATTATGTAACACTATTAATTAATTTCCAAAGGGATTCTTGAAAGTGCCTGTCTGGTGGTACCAGCCCTTCTCTCAGCTCAGGTGCAGAAGGAATGTTCTAGATCAAGGGGATTGCATTATCAAAAAAGCAGGGGCTCTGGGACTCTCTGTATCAGAAGGTAAGCTATGTATAATGATGCATAAAGGGAATAGTATTGTGAGAATTTTTCAGCACTGGAAATAGCTATCTAATTCTTCCAGTACCACCTTGGCAGCAAAGTTTTTATTTGAATAGCTTTTGGAAGTCAGTATCATTGCCTAGACTAAACGAGCACTTTTTGGTTCATAAGATATTGATTACATCTGAATGACATACTAAACCATTGTTCAGTACAACATACATGAACTGCAGCAAGCCTGAAGTTTGTTCACTCGTCTTCATCTTCCTGAACAGCCAAGGAGGAGGAGTTTGAAAACTTTTGCCTTCTAAATTAGTTAAACATGGCTTATTGTGTTATCTGGACCAATGAACATTTGTTAATGATTAGTTAACACTAAACTAACACTGAACTATGATTAGTTGGACCAAGGAACTATGATTAGCACATGATTAGTTTCAGAGAGACCAAATTCAAATGGTGGAAGCTGGTTTGTTAAAACTAATGCTTGTTAAGGTTAAATGTTCCAGTCTAGGCAACATAGGAATTGGTATTAACTAAATTGGAAGTGAAAGTTTATGCAGTCTTCATGCAGGAGGATGGAAGGAGCACATGAGATCAGGAAGAATCTTGTTTAAACTACCCCTTAGCACATTGGCCCCAGCCATCATAGCCAGTGGTCAGAAATGCTGGAACTTTTAGACCAAAACATTTGGAGGACTCCAGGTCAGGGAAGGCTGGGTTAGCCTGGCATTCTAAGCAGCTGTTCTGTTGTTCAGAAACAGATATGCTTTCTTTCACACACTTGCCTCTTCCACTTTTACTCAGCTAGCTATAGTCTGTCTACTTGTATATTGCTGAGTGTGAAGTGTAAACCTGAAGTTTTGAGTTGTTTGGGGGCTAAATAATCATACTCAGTTAATTCATGGTTTGTTGTTGGGTTAACTCTAGTTTGCTTAGCTCCTAAACAACCTAGCTCTCCAGGCTCAGCTATCATGCTCAGCAACCTACAAAAAATCCAATCATTTGTTGATTCAAAGTGGAAATGCCCAAGTGCCTGATTTCCTCATTCCTAACAGTCCACAAGCTATTTAATTCGTGGGTTGTCATTACAAGTAAATTAACCTGTGGTCTCACATGTGTTTCTACTACCTTCACTTTTCTCCCTTCCTTTCCTCCTGCAGGTGTGAAGATGCAAAGCTCCTCCTTTCTTATTTCAGTAAAACGTAGTTTCACATTATATATGAAATTGAAAAATTGGTTTTAAAAACAACTGGAATCCAGCTAACATTTGGTAGCAAATGTCAGAGTGTGTTTGTTGTTATTTATGAATCAGGCTACTATCAGGAAAAGTGATGACAACCTTATTTTGAATTATTTTTGGCTCTACTTGTAATGGAAATTTACTTGGAGGATTGAGGAAAGAGCATTGTTGTTTCTTAGAGATTTGAGGACCCCATCAGAACTTGTTTTAACAGTAAACCAACTGAAACAATTCAATAACTGATCAATAAATTCATGATTTGCTGATAATGTGAGTTAAGAATTCAGGGTTTCTTTAAATTGTGACCTTTGATCTTTAAAGATCTGCCAACTTTTCTACAAAGTGAAGTTGATCTATGCTATGTGGGTGATATAGAAATCTCAGAAGAAGCTTTCCTGGAAGACCTGAAGATGCAGGTTAGATGTTATCTTTTGTTAATCATTGCTGCCATCTTTTCTTTATATAAGAATGATTATGCATTTAATTTCCTTTCCCCTGGGTCTATACGGCATTTGCTTTTATGCCATTTTCAGTGCTAATTATAAAGAGAGACCTTTGAGACTGCAGCTGAGACATGGCCTAATAGAGACTTGGCTGTGTGGCACCGTTCCTTTTGTGAGCTCTTGGCTGAAAGAATCATGTTGCACTTCCATTAGAAAAGTTTCTTTGGGATTTCATGATTTCTTCACTTTGTTATACACAAAAATAATACTGTTAATCTTCAAAAGAACCATTTTGCATGTTTAGATTGTTCCTTTATTAAGGGGAAGGCATGTCTTTCATATATGGGATATAAGGGGTTGGTGATATTTGTGAAGACTTTAAAGTGAGAGTCAAAAAACCACTTTCTGTTATAAATAGGAAGATGTCTTATACTGAATCAGCATTGATCCATGGTAATGGAATGAACAATAAAGCCTCTTTGGAAGATCTCATATCAATCAATTCCTTATTTGGTCATTGACCAGCCAATAAATAAAACACAAAATTACAGTTAGTTAAAAATAAGAAAAATACAGTACTACAGTACAGTACTAAAATTACAATAATTAAGATAAAGAAAATAAAAGCATTCTGGTAGAACCTAACAACATTTAGGATTAATTGTGCTGTGGACTGTACAGACTACCAAACAGTATTTGGCTGTAGTCAAGGAGATAAAATTGGATTGATTGGATAAAAGTATCTTAAGATAAAAAGAACTGGAGTAACCAGAATATTTAGAAAAGAGTGGGAGTAACAGTTCCTGGTGAGCACCTATATAGAGAGGGCAGCAAAGAATAACATGCTCCAGCGATTCAATTATTCCCCCCCCCCCCCATGGACACAGTCTCTGTTCAAGGGGAGGGCATTGAATCTAGCCAGAGATAATCCCTGATCCCCAAATTCAGAAGGGCTTTATGTTACTGAGTTACCTAGCTGGTTGAAGAAGATACACAGAATGATTCAGGAAGGTATTTCTGGAGAGAATTGGATAATCTACTTGTAGCTCTAAATCAATGGCCTGCTGTTTAAGTTCTGCTAGTGCCCATTCATAGTCCATCTAGGAGATAGCTGGCCATGAATAACCATATAATTGCAATTTGGCCTGCATCGCCTGGCTGCAAGAGCTCTGAAGGCTGTCAGTCATTGTTAAAGGGACCAAGCCAGTTGGAAAGAAGCGGAGCTTGAACCAGTAAGAAAGGATGTAAATTCAGACTGAAGTTTCAATTTTAGAAAGGCCAGCTTCTTGGCAAAGGACTATGTTCAAAACGCAGATCAGTTCTCAGATCAATTCATTATATGTAGAGGAAGGTGGTCTGCTAATTATCCTTATCCTGCGTTCTTTAGAGATTTGGTCACCAAACCTGGAACATACTGATGTAGCTAATAGACATCAGTGCAGTTCTTTTAATATAGGTGTAATTTGTGCGTAGCTCAGTGCTGCAGTGAGCATCCTGACTGCTTCATTCTGCAACAGTTGCAGCTTCCAAATCAAGCTCAAGGGCCACTCTACATACAATGCATTACAGCCTAATCATGCAGTCACCAGTGCATAGGTCACTGTGGCTCACCTTTCCCTATTCTGGAACAGACGCACTTGGCGCATCAGCTGAAGTTGATAATGGATACACTGGGCCTCTGAGATCACCTGAGCTTCCAGTGACAAAGTTGGATCCAAGAGTACCCCCAAAATATGTACCTGCAGCCCCAATGCTCAGACCTGGGAACTACCTACTCGTAGGGTCTCTGTCTTGCCAGGATTCAGCTTCAGTATCAGCTCTCATTCCACCCAATGCTGCTTCCAGGTACCAGTTCAGATGTCAAAGAAATAAGCTGGGTGTCATTGGCATACCAGGTCATCTTGTTCAGATCTCCTAGTAACCACTCCCAACAGCTTCATAAAGAGAGTAAATGAAGTTGGCTATGGGAATGAGACAGAGTCACCTAGTGCTTTCTCAGGAATCAATCCCATATATAAAACGTTAGGCTCTATACATGGTAATACTTGAGACCAGCTATATACCTAAAACCTGTTCCAAGGTTTTTGCATTGCATGTAGTTTGCTTCCATTGCATATAGACTGCAGTAAGGGAAGAAAGTATTTTTTTAAAAAGCCCAAGGATAGATACATTTTTCAGATAGTGAAAAAACTAACAATACTTTATTTGATTCTCGGGTATATGTTTTGTTACAGAATGTTGGGAAAATGCTTATTTATTTAAAGATATGTGATGTAGAGAGGTGGTTAAAATAACACATTTGTGTTTCTGTAAATGAGAAAATACATTTCAAACATGGATCGTATTCTTCAGCTTTTTAGCTATTATTTATTCAAAAATAGCTAGCAAAGCACTTTCCTTTTCAGGTGATGACTTTGCCATCCTTTCAAGAATTTAGTATTCCAGCACCAGAGTTTCTCCGAGTTTGGACAATGGAAAATAAACGACCAAGCAAACTTCTACGAAACAACAAGGAACAACTCTAGTAGGTTCCTAAGTACAACATTAAAGCTGCAATCCCATACTCACTTACTTGGGAGTAAGCCCCAGTGAACACAGTGGGACTTAACTTCTGAGTAGGCATGTAGGATTACATTGAAAGTTTACCTAAAATGTCAGTGCAACGTATTTTTAATATAATTTTTAAAATTAAGTTTAATTTCAGTTTTATCACAAGTTTGCTTGATAATGTTTTTTAAAGTTTCATTGTTGGCTGCATAGGCCATTTTTTATTTTTTTTTTTACATGTCAGGAAATTTGTCTGTAGAAGTTCTTGCTCTTAAACTCTATCCAGGCATTTGTTTTGACAACACTTAATGCTGACAGTATGTGATTTTAAAATATCCAGCATTCATTTATTTAGTTACTTTATTTTATACTAATTATATCCCACCATAATGGTAAAATATTCAGCACTGAATTTAAATTATCTATTTTTTCCAGTAAATTCAAACTAGGAAGCAGAGTGGAAATTTGTGTAGAACCTTTACATAAGGAAGATAATCTTGGGTAAGATACACAATCACTATACATCCAAACAGATTTTAAAATAAAATATCAAAAATTATTGGGTGAAATATATGTATGCATGTATTTTGAGAATACTTATTGCGTTGTGTGTCCTTCTGAACACAGACTGAAGGATATGCTCCTGCGGGTGATGATGCACATACCAGGGAAGAGAGATTATTACCACCCTGTGGATTTGGTGTGGGATATTTCAAAAGCATGTACAGCATCTGCCTTGAGACAAAGAATTGCTGAATATTTTTCCTTACCATTGGAGAAAATTGAAATTGCTAAATATTCACCTGGGAAATTTGAGTGGATGCCAATATGTAGTTGGGTAAGCTAAGAGATAAGAGTGGAAATATGTTTATGGAAAATTATATTGTCTATAATTATTTCATTGAAAGAATATTTTCCATTACCTGAATGAAATATTATGAATACAAGACCTGAGCCAAATGTTCATTAATTAAAAGTCTGAGGGTAAAGGGCAAGGACACAGAAGTGGGAGAAGTTTCATGACCTCCCATTAACATGGATGCCGGTAGGATTATTTTTGAGGTGAAGAAGAGTGGAATGAACACACATGCACACGGGCATGCGCACACACAGAGGACAATGTTAAATGGGCAGGACAATTCTAAAAGAAAATGTGTAGCAAAAGCTGCTTGAGTGTATCTATACATTTTCCTTGTGCATGTGCACATATTGGTCACATTCACAACCTTGTAAATAAGCTACTCAAGGTGGATTGTTTGTGGAACGATCAGCAGTGTACCCAGTGTGATTGTTCCTGCCCCTTCCCCTATACCCATCCTCCCACAGGTATCTCAAAGCACAGCAGAAGACTATCTTGCCTTCCCTCCCTTTTGCACCTGTCAGTTTTTCCCTCTTTTAATCTTTTTTTCTTTTAATCTTTGTGATCTCCAGAGTGACAGCACTTTCAAAGTGCCCAAGTAGCACATAGTCATGGCTGTCACTGTTTTTCCCCCTGAGATGTGTGCAAATGCTTTTCTAAATCCTAAAAGACGATGCAGTTAAAGTGCTACACTCAATATGCCAGCAACTTTGGAAAACTCAGCAGTGGCCGCAGGATTGGAAAAGATCAGTTTACATTCCGATCCCAAAGAAGGGCAATGCCAAAGAATGTTCAAACCACTGCACCATTGCACTCATTTCACATGCTAGCAAAGTTATGCTCAAAATCCTACAAGCTAGGCACCAGCAGTATGTGGACCGAGAACTAGCAGAAGTACAGGCAGGATTTCGAAGAGGAAGAGGAACTAGAGATCAAATTGCCAACATACGCTGGATCATGGAGAAAGCTAGGGAGTTCCAGAAAAACATCTACTTCTGCTTCATTGACTATGCTAAAGCCTTTGATTGTGTGGATCAGAACAAATTGTGGCAAGTTCTTAAAGAGATGGGAGTACCAGGCCATCTTATTTGTCTCTTGAGAAACCTATATGCGGGCCAAGAAGCAACAGTGAGAACTGGACATGGAACCACTGATTGGTTCAACATTGAGAAAGGAGTTTGGCAAGGCTGTATACTGTCGCCCTGCCTATTTAACTTATATGCAGAGCACATCATGAGAAAGGAGGGGCTAGATGAATCACAAGTTGGAATTAAGATTACCAGGAGGAATATCAACAACCTCAGAGGGAAGAGTAACTAAAGAGCCTCTTGATGCAGGTGAAAGAAGAGAGTGCAAAAGTTGGTTTGAAATGCAACATTAAAAAAAACTAAGATCATGGCATCTGGTCCTATCACTTCCTGCCAAATAGATGGGGAAGAAATGGAGATAGTGTCAGATTTTATTTTCCTGGGCTCCAAGATCACCCCAGATGGTGACTGCAGCCAAGAAATTAAAAGACACTTGCTCCTTGCGAGGAAAGCTATGGCAAATCTAGACAGCATACTAAAAAGCAGGGACCTCACCCTGCCGACAAAAGTTCATATAGTCAAGGCTATGGTTTTCCCTGTTGCAATGTATGCCTGTGAAAGTTGGACCATAAAGAAGGCTGAGCACCAAAGAATTGAGGCCTTTGAATTGTGGCACTGGAGAAGACTCCTGAGAGTCCCTTGGACTGCAAAGATATCAAATCAGACAATCTTAAAGGAAATCAACCCTGACTGCTCTTTAGAAGGCCAGGTACTGAAGATGAAACTCAAATAGCTTGGCTACCTTATGAGAAGGAACAACTCATTGGAGAAGACCTTGATGCTGGAAACGATTGACGGCAAAAGGAGAAGGGGACAGCAGAGGATGAGGTGGCTAGATGGAATCACTGGAGCAGTGGTTGTGAGCTTGGGTGGACTCCGAGGGATTGTGGAGGACAGGAAGGCCTGGAGGAATGTTGTCCATGGGGTCGTGATGGGTCGGGCACAACTTTGCAATTAAAACAAATTTTTACATACATATATTTATTTCATGGAATTTTGTTGACATGATAGATCTGAAAATGGCTGTATCTAGAGATCCAACATGGTGAAGACTTAGCATTTGGAATTACTAAATTCTATGTTCAACAGAAACGTGCTGTAGCCTTTTTGGGCAAGTCCATATAATTTAGGTTGAATTGTAAGGGCTACCCTCAATAATATAATTTTTTATAAGCTTTTATGTTTAAAATCAGTAATGACCATTCGAGCATAAAATATATATTTTCAATTTGGGACTGTAAATTACTCCATTCTCATTCTTTGTAGAAGTATATTTACTGGGTTATGGTAGTTTTGTCATATCGGTTCATTCTTTGTTCAGACACAGCAAATTTCGAGGAAGAAAAAGAAGAAAAGTGACAGCTTACAACTGAGTCCCTACAGCCTAAGAGATGGAGATATAATTGGTGTGCAGGTAATTAAGTAACAGCTGTATTAGCTGCTAGCATTTGCTATTAACCTCCAGTAGAAATGTGAATGGGATCAGAACAAAACCTACAGTGAGTAGAGGGAATCGGTTTTGCAAGTGCTGGAGGACAGTAAATGACAGGATGAAATGGGAGCAGGAGTGCAATGTAAAGTTGGAGAGGAAGAGGGGTCAGCTGGATGAGTTTCTTGATCTGTTCTGAGCTTATGATATAAATTAAAGAAAAATCCTAGACACACAAACTTTCAAGTAAGTTCCATTTACTTCAGTGGGACATGTTTACAGGGAAGTGGGCATAGGATTGTGGCTTAACAGAACAGTTCTTGGGTCTTTCATATGCTCTCTAGGAGACCATAGCATTCTCCAGGTTCCTGGATCTGAGGTCAGAAAAGAACTCCCAACTTAGAACATGGCATCTGTCCTTGGATCCCTGTCTCTGTCCTCACATTCGGCATGAAAAGAACCATATGGCCTGCTTCTCCAAGACTGCCAGACCAACTTCACTGAAGTGATAAAGGAGTTTCAGGGAGAGGGGAAGAGGCAGGTCACCAGGATATACAATTCTCTTGGCACTGCAGCCATCTTGCATTGTGCCACAGCTGTAAAGCTAAAATTAGTCATCTAGCTGGCTTGCAGGGTGAGAAGAGCAAGTAGGTCAAGATTGTTTTCAGGTTTCTCCAAGCATATTTAGGATGTCTGTGATCCTCCAGTTTCCGAAGATTGCAGGCATCCTCATTGGACTGTACCATAAATCACCTACACATGTAGGATATTCATTTTCAAAGCATATATTGTGGTCCATTTGTTTTTACTACTTTTTCTGCTTGGTTTATATATCTGTGCTAAAAAAAACTCAAAAATCTAATAAGCTGGGTTATGAAATCAATCATATTTGTATCTGTAAAATTGCAATCATTTGGTTGGTTGGTTGCTTTTCTCTGTGTGTGTTACTGTAATTAATGAGGCCACATTGCTTTAACAAACTCTTGCTTATGTTTTGCTTGAATTATGATAGGAGATTCCTTTGTTGGCAATCAGATCCTCTTCTCTCCCCTCACCTCCTTTAACTAGTGTGGCTGTTTGCTATGCTATTTGTACTTCTTTTCTTAGCTGTTAAAGGCTTTGGTCTGATTTTAAAATTTTAAATGTTTAAAATAAATCCCGTAATACAACATCACTCTTGAATCCCAGTTCTGTATTGGGCAGAGAACTTAACCCAATTTTTTGCCAGGCTTGAATGACTGAGGACTGCATATTCCTAAATATATAAATATAAAAGGTAGAAAATAAAATTCAACTGCATTAATGCATCCAAAAGAGTATGATTAGTAGAAATAGTAAATTACTTTTGTTAATAAAATTTTTAATACCATTACTAAATTTTCAAATGTAAAATGTATCCCCTTAATCAGTTCATTACTGTTGGAAATTGTTTTCATAATCATTTCCATTCTTCTGGCAACAGAATCTTCTGCTTGATGATAGTAAGGACTTCAGTACCATAAAAGATGACATTGGAAAACAAATGCAGAAGCAATTTGCTGTGGAAAAAACAAGGTAAATAAAATTTATTTATAGAATTTATATCACACCTTTCCCTCATCAAGAAACCTATGGCACAATTAAGTAGAAACAGCAGTAAAATGAATCTCACTGTGTCCTCAAATGTAAGTATATTCTAGTTACTGAGAGGAGTTGCATTTATTCATGTTTGTTGTCCTGCCATTTTTCCTTTCAATGAACTCAAGGTGGCTTACATAATTCTCCTTCTCCTCTCAGTTTTATTCTCACATCAACCCTGTGAGGTAGGTTAGGCTGAGAGTCTGGAAGTCACCCAGCAAGCATCTTGGCTGAGTGGGGACTAGAACCTGACTCTGTTGGATTCCCAGGCCAGCATTCCAACCACCACACCACACTCGTATTGTGTGTATGCATTCATATGTGCATGTGTTAGTGTTTAGGGTGTTCCACTTTTCAAAGAAGCACCATTGCTGTCATTCCAATTCAATACAGGTCTACTTAGATGTAAGTTCCATTTGATTTCAGTGGAACTCATTCTCAAGTAAGTGCATAGGATTGCATCCTAAAAGCCTTAAAATCTGTAACAAAGCATTTGATAAGGAGACATGATGGTATTTATTAATACATGGGGCAGATATTCTGCCACTGAATACCAGTTGCTCTAGTCTTTTGACATTTACTCAATAAGCTTGTATCCTAAGTTCTTCCTTTCATAGATTTCTAATAAATCAGCTGACTAACTTAATAGTTAAAACAACAAAGCCTTCTGTCACCTTAAACAAACTTATTCTGGCATCAGCTTTTATGGACAGTGAAATTACTCAAATGCATAAAGTGTTAACCTCAGATTTCCGTACATACACTGGGGTGCAGGGGGAGATGTGAACTGTGTTGGCAGAAGGGAACTGAAATGAAGAAACTACAGACCGATAGATTATTACAAAACACTGAGTGATAACATAGACATCATTGTAATTATAAGCTGATTAAAATATGTATTGCAGTTAACCAATTTTGCATTGATATGTCTTTGAACTTCAATACCATCCACATATCAAAGCTTACACTTGCCCATCTTCCATGATACATGTCTTTTTTTTTTTTTTTTTTTTTTGCCATCCGTGCCTTACTGCATTTACACAGGACAAACAGGCCAGTCTCTGTGCAAAATAATAAATGGACACCAGTCTGAGATCGGGAATGGCAGTGTTCAGAAACTGGTGAAAACACTTCAATCTCCCAAAACATTCTATCAACTTGTTTTGTTTGATTTATTTATTCTATTCATACGCTGCCTTTTTTCCTTCCAAGAATTTAAGGTGGCTTACGTAATTCTCCATCTCCTCTCAATCTTATCCTCACAACTCTCTGGGAGGTAGGTTGAGCTGAGAATCCAAAGTCACCCAGTGAGCTGCATGGATGAGTAGGGACTGGAACCTCTGCCACAATGGCGCTCTATGACGGGCATGTGAGGTTTACACTGAATGACTCTGAATATATTTGTTTGCCAGAATACATTTTTAAATCTTTAAGGTGTCATGAGACTCTTTAATGCTTTTTGCTGCATGTCTCCAACAAAGTATTACTGCTGCCTCTGGAAATTGTAACTTAATGATGTATTTTTTGTTTTTTAATAGCCAGCAAACTGGGTGTACACAGAACAATAGCGCCTATGGAAAAAAGACGGCTAAGCATCATAGACCTGAAGCAGCACTGTCCATCAGTGTAGGAGCTTTCAGCTGACTCACTGGGACTAAACAAACTTCTCTAGTGTTTTACTGAACTCTAAAACAGTGTTGCCTCAATTGAACTAGCTGAAAAATGGTCTTCCTATTTTTACACGTGCACCTATGTATTAATGACAATTGGCAATGCCTGAACATAGCTGGGGCTTTATTGTGGGGAAATGCTTTTGTTCTGTTAATTTCAGCACTTATTCTCAGGGTGGGTCGCGACACTTTATTAATGAAAATGCATATGAATATGATTATCAGCCAATTGTTTTTAATAGGTCTGTGTTTTCATCTGATTGTGTTATATCATCACTACAAAGTTGTTTGCCTCCTTGATTCATCTGTATGTTTTTTGTATTATATTTTGAAGATGGAATTGTCCCTTGAAGATGATGCTTTATAAGGTGCTCTAGTCCTCTGCAGCCATTTTTTGAGAGCCAAGAGATAGATGACACAGGGTATTTAGGTCCCACTCATTCTTGATTACCCTGCAATTGAATCAGCCTGTATTCTCTCTCTGGCCTGTATGCTGTATGGTGGGTGATGAGATCATGCCTTTTTGTTCCACTCACCCAAATATGTCTGTCCCAACAAATATGTACAGGTACATGTACAGGTGCAGTCTTTGAATACAGCTTGTATGGATAAGCTGGCACAGTGCTATCTGGGAATACATTAGCCAAGGGATGTTGGATTTTATGCATGTACACCTTATTCAAATATTGGGCATTAAAGGTATAATATGGAATATACTCTATTACCATTTCTCACAGATAGGGAAAAGTATCATCTGAACCATGTGTGATTACATTTGCCCTGCCAAAATTCAGTATAATCCTACTTGAACATCACTGGGCTGAACCCAGAGTAAAACATCAGTGCTCAGAATGGTGGAGGGCTCCAGCAGAGGCACTCAATGTTCACTCATTCCTCCTCCTCCCTGCAAGCCTCAGCATGACCTGGGTGTTCTGGATGGTCCTGCAGCCCTCTTAACTGGGTGGGGGGTTGCAAAGGAGCCTGTAAGGAAGTAGAGCAACAAGGGGAAAATGCTTCCTACTTCTCCCTCTTTCAAATTCAGCTTTATATAACTTATTATTATGTAACATTGAGAAAAGTGTTGTGTTTCCAAAATGAACGAACAGAGATGGAAAACTGGCAAACAGAAACGGTGAGCAGTTAAGATCAGGATTCCTACAGACTTATGCATATCATTTCTTAAGATGCACCTAGCCTATGTGTCTCATGAGCCAATGCATCATGCATTTTGTTTATGTAATTGCAGAAATACAACTGAAACAAATAGTAGAATTGCACCTAGGATAATATTCCTTCTTAATGTACTGAACATTTGGCATTCAAGCAAGAGCTATTTTCTCAGTATTCATCCATCTTGGTATCTCATTAAAAAATGATGGTCCATGTCACAAAACTTGCTAGTTGAAGAATCTGGAAGTAGTCCTCAAATCCTATCGTGGTTTTTTGTTTTGTTTGCTTGCTTTTGGTATAAAGAAGTTAATACAAGCCTTAGCATTTATATATACGAAGAGTATGTGACTTTAATCAAATGTAATATGGCAAATGGCATCAGGAATCCAAAATCAAGTTGTTTGAGAGGCTGGCTTGATTTCTTGTTACAAAATTATGATGTATTCTGTAACTGAACATTTTGTTAAAACTGTCTTTAGAATGGGACTTGCAGGGTCCCATTGTTCTTGTATTACAGTGCAAATAATTTTCTATTTTTTTGTAAGTCTAATCTTTCTCATACTGGCAAAAAAGAATAAAGTGTTTAAATGTGTTGTTTTCTATTTTATTGTTTTATAACAATGACTTCTGAACAGACCAACCAGTGCTCTTCCTAGTCAAATAATTTTAATGAAAATAAAATGCTAACACCCCCCCCCCCCCGCTCTCACACACACCCTAAAAGACTCAAGGAATTCTCAGTTTTGAAAAGTTTAATCAATGAACACAAAATTAGCATTTAAAAAGACAAGAGATTACATTCCCTTAAAAAATGGAAAAAGATAAAAGCTCATCTTAGAAAGTGTTAGGGTGCCAGGTTCTCTTTCCTGTTCCTGGACCTGCAAATTGGCAACAGGAAGAGGTTGCTTTCAGGCCTTGCCCCATTTTTCTCAGTCTTCATCCTTCATCCCCAGAGTCTAGGTTTGTTATTTTTGTTCTCATCTCATCTTTCTATTTCTTCCCCCCATCTCTAGCCACCCCCCTTTCTCCCCTTCTAGCTTCCAAGCCTTGCTGCTTGTGTCTATTCCTTTGCCTTGCTCCTTTGTCTTCCCATTTTCCCACCGCCATCTTAGCTCACAGGCCCCCACACAGCCATGAGCTACATCCATCCCAACAGCTGTTTCTTGTGATGTCCATAGCAGTTTCTTAAATTTCTAAATGTGCCCATCCATCTGAAATGTTGGATACACCTGCTGGCTTGCTTAATTGGCCCCAGCGCTCTTCACTGCATCGGCAGACAACCACTGAACTAGAATGCGCGCGTTTAGTCTGTCACCCTCCAAAACTTTCGGACTCCAGCATGATGACACGACACGGCCACTAACGCCGCTCTCCCTCCCGCCACGGCCCAGGCCCAGGCCTAGGCCTCACTCGCACCCACGCCTAGCCTGCTTGCCCCTCGCCACAGCGCCGAACGAAGGGGGCGGCCGCGGCCTCGGCTATCGCCGCCTCGCGCCCCGCCGCCCAGTGGCGAGGCGGAGAGGCGGAGCCGGGCGCACCGCGAGGACGCCGCGGCCAGGCGCCCGTTGCTAGGGTCGCGAAGCCGGGTAGCAACGGGGACGGCGGCTGGAGCGCGCCGCCGCAACGCGGGGCGTGCCGGGAGTTTGCGGCGGCCTGGCGGGTCCTGGCTTTTCGCCGCTGCCATGCAGGGCTCCGTGGTGCGACGCACGCAGGAGTTGCTGGGGCGAGTGATTCGGAAGCCCCCTCTCACGGAGCGCCTTCTCAGCAAGCCGCCCTTCCGCTACCTGCACGACGTGATCGGAGAGGTCAGGCGGGGCGAGGGGGGGGGGGCGCGGTGCAGAGAGGCCGGGCCGCTGGCGTTCCCCAGTTGCCGGGCAACTAGGGGGAGAAGCCGAGGGAGCGGAGGCTGTGTGCGTGTGAAGGGGTGGTTACGCTGTCACCCCCACCCACATCCTCGGGAGAGTTGGTGCCACTTCTTCTCCCACCCCCCGCCCCATCTAGGGCTCCTCACTGGCTTCTTGGGCCACTCCGTTTAGGTAGAGAAAATGAATTACTGTGAACATAATATAAGCTGTCATTTAAACAATCCACCACACATATACAAAACTATCCTTCCAGTTAGTTGTTGGCTAATTGTACTTACCATTGTCTTTATAGGACAATGGTAACAAAAAGGGGTCGAGGACTTGCCTGCAACTCAGTCATTCGTATGTAGGGTTTGGTGCCTTTGTTATTTCCATGATATGAAAAAGCTCGGCTCGCTAGTCCCTGCTCAGTAAGCTACAGTTAAAGGCACAGGTACATGGTTACGATGGTGATAGGGAAGAACACTTGTAGTAATGGCAGTTAAAGCATGACCCTGCTGAGTGAAATCTGGCTAAGTCCTGCATGCCTGAAACTATGAAAACCATATTTTCCACCACTACTCCCTTTTATTCCTGCTAGTCATGTAACTAGAGCCCGCTTTCACTTAGATAATACATGTATGTATGGATATAGAAAGGAAAGAAAGGTAAGATGTTGGGGTCAAAAGACCATGAAATACAAAAGGTTTCTGGTTTTGATCTATGAGACTCAGTGTGCTGTTAGTGTGTTGGACTACAGAGACTGTGATTCACAGACCCACCCAGTCCTGATGGTCTGTGCATGATATCTGGCTATCATTCTCCTTCATCCTAATCTGCTTTACAGGGTTGTGAAATTAAAAGGGGTTAAGGAAGAACCATGAATGCCACATTGAGCTCCTTGGAGGAAAGGCAATATCAAGATGTAATAATGCTAAACTTAACAAAAATAAGCAGGAGTATCGTGGCACTTCAAAACAGATTTATTGCCATGGTTTGTATGATTGCCATAGCTTGAACAAGCTAGTGTCTTAATTAAGCTGCAGTGGTGTTGCTGCTTTGTCCAGACCTGGGTGGCATGACTTCTTTGAGGGGAAAACAGCTCTGTCAACCATGATTTGTTTTAGCTGTGGTGATTTTGCAGACCAGACTGTTGTAGCCTAAACTTTCATTAACTGCAGCACATTTCATGAGAGATATGAAATAGTATTCTAAACTGGCACTTGGGTACAGAGAAAATATGTGTAAAAGGTGGGGCCAAAAAATTATTGTTCCATCTAGCCAAGCTCACTTTTTGCTAGTTTGCTAGTCACAATGCCAAGGGGCTGTTTCTCAAGAGCTTTGCTGAAGTCTAGATATGCTATGTCCACAGACATACAGGAAGATTAGTCTGGAAGGATTTGTTCTTGAGAAAGCCATGTTGGCTTCTACTAATCACTGCATTGTGTTCAAGACTGGCTGCTTTATAATCTGCTTCAGGATTTTCCCAGGGATTGATGTCAAACTGGTTGCTCTGTAGTTCCCAGGTTCTTTTTCTATTTCCTTTCCTGAAGATAAGGAAAACATTTGCCCTTCTCTAGTCATCTGGCACTTCCCCTGATTTTCATGATTTCTCAAAGATAATAGACAGTGGTTCTGAGAGTTCTTCAGGTAGGTCCTTTTTGACTCTAGGATGAAGTTCATTGATCCCTGAGACTTGAACCCATTCAACCCTATGAACCTTGACCATTTGCCTATCAATCTTGAGCTTCCATCCTGTACCTTCAGCTTGTACTTCCCCTTCTTCAGGAAGGTCATGCATGTTCTTTTGAGAGAAGACTAATTCAAAGTAAGAATTGAGCACTTCTGCCTTTTCTTTGTCATTTGTTACTGTTTTACCATCCACACTGAGCAGCTGAACCCCCATTTCTTTCCTCTTTTACTTTGCACATATCTGAAGGCTTTTTGTTGCTTTTAGCATCCCTTGCTAGCTTCAGTTCACTTCTAGTTTTTGATTCCATTCTTCCTTTGTAGCCTTGCCTTCCTTCCTATACATGTCCGTTTTGTTTTCAGATGATCTCTAAGCATTTTGTGAAGCCACATGGGATACTTCTCTTCTACCCTTATTTCTTGGTGGAGCTGTTTGTAATTATGCCTTTAGAATTTCTTTCTTTTTTTTTTAAATTCCTGCCCGTCTTGGATTGCTTTTCTTATTGGAATCAATTGCCATGGAACTTATAATTGTTCTCAATTTATTAAAACTGGCTTGCCTAGAACCCATGGTACATATTTGGCTATATTTGGCTTTTGCTCTTTTTAGAATCAAGAATTCAATTATGGCACTGTCATTTTCTCCCAGAATTCCTGTAGCTGCCATTTGTCCTCTAGGCCTTCCCTGCTGGTTAGGATCAAGTCAAGGATAGAGCTTGTTCCTGTTCCTTCCTCCACTTTCTGTTGGAGGAAGTTATCAACAACATATGTTACGAATCTCTTAGAGGGACCACATTTGGCAGAATTTCTCTTCCAACAGATATTGACAAAATAGAAGCCCCCCAAAATAATGACATAATACCTCCTTGAAACACTGGCAATTTGTTTTTCAAAAGTTTCATCTTCGTCTTTTCCTAGGAATAGTCTCCACCCACTGTGTTCCTTTTATTGATTGTTCCATTTATAGTAATCCAGATGCTCTCAATGGAGCTACTAAGCTCATTTTCCTGTATTTCTCAGGATAGGTATCTTTTACATAGAGTATGACTCCACCTCCCTTTCTGTTCTTTCCATTCTTGAACAGACTGTGTCTTTCAGTTGATGATTTCTAGTCATGGGAATCATCCCACCAAGTTTCAGTTATAACTATCAGGTCATATTCACCTTTTTAAGAGCTCAGGTTTATACTGTTTGTTTCCCATACTGTGGGCATTAGCATATAGACATCAAAGACCACATGCTTTATATTCTAGCTTTCTTCCTACATTTTTGAAAGTTATTATTGGGCACTGTTAGAGCTGATTACTCTCTTGCGGTGCATAAGCCTTTGTCTGTTGTTACACCTCCCTCCCCTGTAAGATTCAGTTTTAAACACTCCTGCTTCTTCATGCTGTGGCCAAACACATCCTTTCCAGTCCTCGTAAGGGACATCCCATCCCTTGCTGGCAGTCCACCTATCAAGAAGTGTATCCCAAGGTCCGAGAATCTGAATTTCTCACATCTGTACCACTTTCATAGCCAGGTATTCACTTGGAGAATTTTTCTTTCCATGTCTATTTCTCTCCCCAAAACTGGAAGGATTGAAGAGAAAACTATCTGGGCCCCAAGTTCTTGACTTTCTTTCCTAAAACTTCAAAGTCTGATGTGATTTCTTCAAAGTTCCACTTGGAAGTGTCAATTGTTCCCACATGTACAGGAAGAAAGAGCTGTGTGTCAATGGGCTATATGAACCTTACCAATCTTTTGGTTATATCACTAAACTGTTCTCCAGGGAGACAGTACACCTGATAAGTCCATGGGTCTTCCGTGACATACCTGTGCCTCCATCCCTTCTCTTCTTGTTCTTGCAAGCCTTGCTATCATTGCCACTACTTGGTTAACCTTTAGCCTCTTATTCAGTGTTGCATGAGATTACTTGTATTTCTTCCACAGCATGCTTCCCTCCAGTCTCACCCTCCAGTAACTGAAAGCAGTTTGAGAGTTCCCCTGCTTCCACTGGTACAGAGTCTCTTCTAGTTCTTCTGCACCTGTCAACCTTTTCCAGGGAGTTTCCTCCTCATTTTCCCTTCGCTGAGGTTTCTCCTCTTTTGATGCAGATTGCTGTTCCACATCTAGCTTCTGTACTTCTCTTAGTTGTGCCATTCCATTGCTCTGTCTAAAAATTCTTCATCTTCTTTTATTACCTTGAGGGTGGACACTCAATACTTTAGTGCTCTCACCTTTTCTTTCAGGAGGGCTACCAGTTTGCCTGTGTAAGCCATGTTGATCTCAGGCAAGAAAACAAACATTGCACAGACGTCACCACCACTGAGGAGTCTTCTCGGTCCATATTCTCAACTGCCTTTTTGATTCTAGCTTGCTGGGCCTCTTGTGATAACCAGTGTTTTTGCCTGTCTTCCCTGAAGGTTAACAACACTTTCCTATTAGGAAATGGGAGTGTGTTACAAGGAATAAAACAAAGGGTGGAAAACTGAGGGGTGGAGAAGGGAAAAAGGTTAGGGACCTCCCCCACTGAATTCCACCATCACATTCTTGGTTGCTTACTCCTTGGGAGCTTGGCTGCTTGTACCCCAGAGTCCCTAGTCTAGCAGGGGCAGCTTTCTCTGATCTGTTCAGCTAAGAGTCAGGAACCAGAATGACTCTTCCACCCACACAGCTGCTGCTAATAATTAGGCCACTCTCAGCTGCAGCTCTCAGGAGCACACGGTCTCTTGGAAAAGAACATTTGCTGGACTAGTCGAGGCTCCTCACCCCTTTGCCTGTGGTTGTCTCCTCTTCCACTCCAATTCTGCTGCCATACTCCTGTTTACTTTCCCTGTTTGCTCACTCCCTGGAAGCTTGCTTGCTTGCTTGTTTGCTTGCTTGCTTGCTTGCTTATTTATTATTTATTTATTTATTTATTTATTTATTTAGGACACTTCTATGCCGCCCCATTTGCCGAAGCCTCGGGGCGGCTCACAACCATAAATAAACTTCAAAACAGAATAATATAAATTAACAATATAAATTAAGTCGCCCTGGCCAAAGAATAAAATGAATAAATAATATTAACAATTAAAATAACATTTGAATAAAAAGGTCTTTGCCTGGTGCTGAGAAACAAATAACGACGGCGCCAGGCGGACCTACAAGCTTGACTGCTTGTATAGCAGAGTTCCTAGATCAGGTGAGGCAGCTTCCTCTGATCTGCTCAGCTAGGAGTTGGGAATCAGTAGAATATTTTACTGCCCATAATAAATAGATTGTGCATTAAATTGCCAGGGCTGAGAGACAAGACTCTTAATTTGTTGTAACAAGCTATCCTCTGCAGTATATTTTATGGCTCTAGTATAAAAGAACAGGACTGGTGGATGGATCTGAGGGTTGTTTAAGGTCTGACATCCTTCCCCATTTTCAATGAAATGGGGGTATCAATTAAATGAGGTGTCAGATCAAAGCAAACAAACTGCGTCTTGATTATAATGAGATAGACAAATGACAAACATGGGTGGACCTCTGCTCTCTGGACATTCCTTCAGGGAAGAAGGGATATTCCACTGACCGTGTTATCCTTCTGGGTTGACTGACTGCATTGAGGGTGGAGCGGGGACTGCATTGCAGTGGTTCTGCTGCTACTTGTAGGGCCATTTCCAGAAGGTGGTGCTTGGGGCATATACTGTTCAGCCCTGCGGAATCTCCAGCATGGCGTTCCTCAAGGTCTGTTCTGTTCCTCATGCTATTCAACATCTACATCAGGGGTCCTCAGACTTTTTAAACAGGGCCAGTTCACTGTCCCTCATACCGTTGAAGGGGCAGACTATAGTTTGAAAAAAATGAACTAATTCCTACACACACTGCACATTAAAATGAATTAAAATTTAATTAATATTTTTAAAATGTTTGCTCCGCTCCCTTGGGGTGCAGCGAAAGCCCAAGATGAGATGGGGAAGAGCAAGTCCATATTCAAGGGACATAGCTACAACACAGCCAAGGCACTAAATATAGTATTTTGCATAATGCAGCTGAAGACTGCAACTGGCATTTACACAGAATGACACAAAAATCCTAAGGATAAATACTGTTAATGCCACTCTTAGCATTTGAAGCAAGTCAGCCCAGAACAATTTCCACAATACACAATGGCTATTTTGATGCAGAGTTTATGACTACCATATTTTAATGCAATCTTGCCAAAACTGGTACTGTCCAGATGAGTTGGACTACAACTTCCATTGGCCATGCTGGTTTTCTCCAGGCGAGTCCAAAAGCTCCGAGGCGGGCCGGGTAAATGAGCATGGCGGGCCGTAGTTTGAGGACCCATGATCTACATAAAACTACTGAGTGGGGTCATCCAGAGTTTTGGAGTGTATTACCATCAGTATGCTGAGGACACACAGCTCTATTTCTCCTTTTCAACATCAGCAGTGGAGGCTGTGGATGTGCAAAACCAGTGTCTGGCTACAACAGTGGACTAATTGAGGGCCAACAAACTGAATTTCAATCCGGATATGACTGAGATTCTGTTGGTGGTGGTTCCTCTGATAGGGTGGGGGAGTGTTTAACCTGCTCTAGATGTGGTTGCACTCCTGAAGGAATGGGATCATAGCTTGGGATGCACCCTGATCTTTGTCATTAGAGACTTGGCTGGCATTAGTGGCTCAAGTACCTCCCACCAGCTTCAGCTTGATGGCCCAGCTGTGTCCCTCTCTGGATGGAGACAGCCTGGCTTTGGTAGTCTACATTCTGGTAATCTCTGAACTGGATTGTTGCAGTGCACTTTATGTGGGGCTGCCCTTGAAGATGGTTCAGAAGCTGCAGTTGCTGCAAAATGTGGCAGCCAGATAAATAACAGACCTGTAGGTTTGAACAGGTTCAACAGCTGAGGATCTGAACTGTGTATCCAGGCATGATATACATTATATCAAATTACTAAGAAAGCAATTGTTTCTGTACAGAGACTAATATAACCAAAGGAAGCTTTGCAAAATTATAGATGACATAAGGCACAAACTTTTTCCATAAACACATTATCCATTTAATAGAATGTATACATGTAAATTCTCACTGAAAAGAGATAAATCTGATTCCGTATGGAAATGCAATTGTTTGAGAAATCCACTAACAAACATGTTGTTTTGTTGTTCTTTTAAGGTAATTAGATCAACTGGTTTCATGAAAGGATTATATACAGAAGCAGAGATGAACTCTGATAATGTTAAGGTATGTATGCACTTTCATTATTTAATTTTTATAAGGAAACAGTCCAGTATAGATTAACATAAACCTCTAAACACAGATGATTATGGACATCCTATGCAGGTCGGTAGCAGTCTCTGCCTTTGCATGGATGATTGATTCTGGCTGAAGCACTTCAAGCAGGGAAGGAAGTAGGCTCAAAGGTTGTCAGAGTATATTGTGTTTTGACAACTTTGGTTTCCTCCGCTCCCAGCCCCTCGCATGACTCTTTTATCCCTTTTCCAAGATTGTGCTTTTGACTTTGGAGGAATAGCTAGCATGGTTCTTTCCATACCAGCTGTTGGTGAGAGGAGGAATCAACGCTGTATGGTCATACCTAAAAAAAATCCTGTTCATTCATTCATTCATTCGATTTATATGCCACCCCATTAGGCAGCTTACATCATATTAAAAACCAAAAATGCCCCCCTATACTGTCTTGAAGCCATGGAATTGTTGTTCTTAGAAATATTGTGCATGCCCACACAAACTTTTAAGTATGATTTGATGTAGTGTCTCAATTGTGTCATAATCCATATGTCTTTATTACAGATTATATGACATAGAGCACAATTTGTGCTATAATCTGAGATCTTACTTTAACATGTTGCTCTAATAGGATAAAGATGCAAAAATCAACTTCCTTCAGAAAACTATTGATGTTGTCATCATGGTGACCGGGGAATCCTTGGCAGTGAAACCAGCACGTATTGTGGCTGGACACGAACCTGAAAGAACCAATGAACTGCTCCAAGCAATTGCTAAATGCTGTCTCAGTAAGGTAGAATCTCAACAGATATTTTTTTAATCTGTGGAATATAATATTACTAGTGTTTCTAATCATATAGAAGTCTGGAATCTCTGCTGGTGGAAAGGCAGGTCTGGAAAGTAGTAAAGGCTGAGTCAATGGGGAAAGGTAGCTTGGGTGGAAATTGCAGGGTAAGAGTTCAGTATCATTTCTTCATGCCTTGCCATGGACAGGTATTTATATACATGAGTTGGCTAGTGGCATGTTTGTTTGCACATCTATGCAGTTTGTCTGTGATTCACCTAATATAATCTGGCGTTTGCTTGACAGCTCAAAGAATGTAGGCTTCCTTGGGTACCTCAAAATATAAATAGAACACCTGTATAAATGTTTTAAAACTAACAATTGTGCCTGTTAGCACAATTAGTTCATTACTATCATACTCATCCCACCTAAGGTACTTCAGATAATATAATTCAGTTGCTATTGAGGTGTTTACAGAATACTATGCAATAACATTTTATTAAATAAAGAAGATTTTAAAAGAGAGAACATGAGGAAGATAGAACAAAGAGATAATTAACACTAGAACTTTTGAAATCTCTTGAGAAATAAACAAGTCTTTACCTTTATAGAAGTGGTTAGAAACAAGTATGAAGACTGGAATTCCACATTGAGATATGTGTCACAACAAGGGCCTAAGTATAACAAGGTGGGATAGCAGACATAGGATACCAAAATGATTTGGGATATCGGAATGCAACACTCTCCTGTATGTGCACCTTAACATGGTGAGCATGTTTGAGATTGTCAGAGAAGCTGAGAGCCATGCCACCAGAAGGTCAGACTGACTGGTCTCCTAACAGGGTTAATCAGTATTTTACATACATATCAGATCAGTCATTGATTCTGCAGCTGCAGAAAACTGAAGAAAATAGAGACTCAGAGAGGTGGCAATGAATAAACTAGAAAAGATCAAGAGTAAGGACATTTCACTGGAGACCAAGGCCAAGAAAACTGGACAGTGAAGAAAGCTGACAAGGAGAAAATTGATGCATTCAAAACATAGTTCTAAAGGAGAGCTTTGTGAATACCCTGGACTGACAGAAAGACAAACAAGTGGGTCATAGATAAAATCCAGCCAGAACTTTGACTAGAAGCATCAGTGACGAAACTGAGTTTGTTGTGCTTTGGGCACATCATGAGAAGGCAGAAGACTCACTGGAGAAGGCAGTCATGCTAGGGGAAATTGAAAGCAGAAGAAAAGGAAGACCAACTAAAAGATGGATTGACTCCATACACTTAGAATAGCTGAGCAGGGCTGTCGTGGACAGGAAATTTTTGGAGGGCTTTCATTTTCGTAGGGCTACTATAAGTCAGAAACGACTTGACGGCACATAATAATGTTTGAATGCAAAGAAGTGCCAGGATGAAAGGAGGTCTTTGATATAGCCAGAGGCCAGTAGCATGGATTTTTTAAAAAGTCCAGTACTCTAAATGGATCTGGGTCTGAGTTCACATACCTGACTTGTACTTAGTAAGCAAACATTGTTAGAAAGAACCTAGGGCTTACATAATTTCACTCTCTTTAAAGTCACTGAGTAGGGGAGAAGTCAAAAGAATATAAAAGAACTTTTCTCTGGCCCTGCAAGCTTGCTGAGCTTTGATTGTGGCAGAGCAACCACCGTGCCCATAGGCTTTTCTCCATAGGATTTCTCTGTCAATATGTGTGATATTAGAATCACACAAATTTCAAGTTTGATTTAAAATTGTTCCTCTTAGGAAACTAAATTTCCTTTTAAGAATTCTCCCTCATTTTGTTTAAATTTTAAGAACAAAATTGACCGTTAAGACTAATTTTAGGGAGCTTAAGAAGCTTGTTTTCTATATTTGTATTGTGTGTGTATGTGGCAGGGGTGGGGGACAGGGGGAGAGGAAGAGAGCTGTGTATGAGCATGGATCTTAGAGACAGTCACCTGAGGAAAGTCATTTACAACTTTGAAACTGCTCATTCAGTAACTAATTAATATTCTGACATAATTTTTAGAAATGGAAAATTTTCTATGGAAAATTACGTCTGTGAAACATTATATCGCATCATAGGCTGTCTTGTTTCTCTAATTGAGTTCAGTACAGTGTACTCCCTCTCAAGCAAGTTGGTATCCAAAAACAGAGTTACTGTATTTTATTTTTTATTAACTCAAGGTGGTTTACATAATTCTCCTCTTCCTCTCAACAACCCTATGAGATAGGTTGGACTAGGAGTCTGTGACTGTCCTAAAGTCATAAAGTTAGCTCTGTGGCTGAGCGGGGATTCGAATCCAGATCTCCTGAGTCCCAGTCCCACATTCTTATCCACTACAGCTGAGACTGTATGACTATTTTAAAGAAAGCATTGTATGTGAATTACAGTATGTGAATTTGCGAGTCCAAACTTTATGCATTGAGTTGAATTTTCTTTGAAGTTATCTAGTGATGAAGCTGTTCAAAAGGTTCTTGCTGGAGAGAAAGCTGATATCAAAGGACAGACACCTTCATCTTCCAAATCCCAGAACAGAGAATCTAGAACAGAAGAACAAAGGTTCTATAAAGAGGTGATGTATATAGTACAGTCTTTTCATCTGAAACATTATTCACATCTTATAGTGCAAATAATGTTTTTCAAACTTTTTTTATATTTTTGAATTTAGGGAAGAGGCGATTCTGAAATAAAAGATAAACGTACAAATCAAGACCAAAAACCTGAGAAAGAGAGCAAGCAAAAAGAAAAAGAAAGTGACCTACATAAAGATTATGGAAACCGTCATAAAAATGTTGATAAAGACAATTTTAAAGAAGGTGAAAAACATGAGAGAGAGAGAAACAAGAACAGAATGTCAAAACAGGGGAAAGAGGCAGAAAAAATTAGAGACAAAGAAAAAGGAGATGGGGAAGAAGAAAAAGAGTGGGATAAAGAAAGAGACAAGGAAAAGAAACAACAGGAGGGAAGAAGAGAAAAAGACAGATTAAGAGAAAAAGATAAAGAAAAGAATAGGGACAAGGATAAGGAACATGATAAGGTCAGAGAAAAGGGAAAGGATAGAGAAAAAGACAAAAGAAGAGAACGAAGCAGCAAAGATACGGAGCAGTTGCGAGATCAAGGAAAGGACAAAGATAAAAAGGTAAAGAATTCCTTGATGTGTAAACTGATGATTGAGGGCAATTGTAATTAAATCTCAAGCAAATATGATTATAAGCAACACACATATTTCAGGTTTTCTGCATGAGGCTTTTTTTAGTGTAGAAGAATTGCAGTCAGCTGTGTAGGTATATCTCCACATATTGCAGTGAGAAAAACCACATTCTCTAACTTGAACTTTTTGTAGTCTTTCTAATGTCTTATTTAATTTTGTATAAATATTTTAATTTATATTCTGCACCCATCATACCACATATTCAAATTATCCATTAATGTTATATAATTAGGATTAGATCTATTCCAAATTACTGATTACTAATTACTCTGAAAAGTTTTTGTCAAGCTATTTCTTCCTTGTCAAAGTTGTCTATAATTGATCATCTTATCAGAATCATATTCTAAATTATTTTTCTTCATTGACATGTAAGCATTGATTTCCATGAGTTTGCCAGCAGCATACAAGCCCCAATAGCATACGTACTACTGATATTACATGTTTTCTCCTAATTTGATATTTGCTTGTTCCCAGCAAGATTTATTTTAGGATTTAGTTTTAACTTGTTGCCAGTAATATCTTTTATACCATGAATGATATCCAGACAATATTGTTTTCACTTTCAGATATTCCCACCAAGTATAGGCAAATCTCTATCATGTCAAACTGTTTACATCCATTTTAGCCATTTTCTAGTCATATAGTTTTATTTGTAGAATACCTTATAAATACTCTTTCATATTGAATCAAGGAGGTGTTACAAAGATGTCTGACATCCCATCAAAGGAAAGCAGCAGTGGCTGCTAGGGTTGGGACAAACCCTGACAGAATCTGTCCTCCCAAGTATTCATGGGCTTCCTCTTGTGCTGAGCCCAGTCTTCCAAAGTGAGTTGGGCTGAACAGTCTGTGAATGCATAGAGAGCTCCAGTTTCACAACTGGAAACTATCCCATGATGGCTGTAGCAACTAGCATAGAAGAGGAAAGCTGCTTGTGCACTGACTGCTTTCCTGGCAAATCCCTTGCAAGTAGACCTTTCTTCCCCACCAGCTGCAGCTGCTTGCACAGCAGCTGTTCCTGGTGCAGGAGAAAGACAGTGCTATGGGAGGCCACTTTCCTGGCAATGCCCTCATAAGTACAGCTTTCTTCAACACCAGTTGCAGTCATTTGCATAATGGCTGTTCAGGAGTGGGGAGCACTACTTACATAGAGCCTGAGGCTCATTGGTGGCAGGTGCTCTGCAAATGCTGGGTGCGCTTGCCAGCAACTTGGACTCACACCCTTAGACAGATCCCTTGCACATCCCTAGTTGTTGCTGTCTGTTTGAAAATGTAAAATCTGCACAGATTGGTCTCTACTACTAATCCAGGACAGATAGGTTCCTTGCAAGGCAGACTGCGGAAAAAAAGAAATAAAACTCTGGTTGGTCTTATATTCACAATGATGCAAGTAAATTATCAAAATAAACATAAACACTAATCACTGAAAATCTAAGGTTGTGTTTCAGTTGATTGAGGCTGTATAGTATACCTATCATATATAGTCACTTGGTTTACCAATTTGGGTGGGATAATCATGATACATCCATGTAATGTATATGATCTAGAAGAGGGGGTGACCAGTCTGCTGATCAAATTCACAGACAATGCAAAAATGGGGGTGTTGGCCACAACTGAGGAGCAGGTACTCCAGATCCAGAAGGATCTGGACATGCCCTGGAAGTGACCAGGGGACAATAGGATGGCATTCAATGTGGATAAATTCAAAGTCTTGCACTTGGGGCATGGGAATAGGTGCCATACATAAGTACAGGTTATTGGGCAAGTGTCTGGAGAACAGCATTTGTGAACGGGATCTCGGGGTCCTGGTCAGCTGAAGACTAAACATGAGTCAGCAGTGTGATGACTGGAGGTCAGGAGGGCGAATCCCACCCTTGGTTGTATAGCCAGAAGTGTGGCTTCTGGATCAAGACAGGTATTACTGCCACTCTATACTACTCTGGTGTGCCCACAGCTGGAATATTGTGTTCAGTTCTGGGCTCCACATTACAGGAAGAATATAGCCAGGTTGGAATTGGTGTAATGTAGGGCCACAAGGATGGTGGCCGGATTGCAGAGGAAGCTGTATGAGGGGAGACTGAGGGAACTGGGTCTTTTCAGCCTGGGGAAGAGGCGACGCTAAGGGGATCTGTTTGGTGACATACAGGTAAGTGGGGTGGGGGGTGTCATGCGGGGATGAGTTGGGATCTGTTTTCTCCTGGGTAGGAGGGCAGGACACGTTCTAATGGAGTGAAGCTGAGTGAATCAAGGTTCAGTTTGGCTGCCAGGAGGTAGTTCCTGACAGTTGGGACCCCTAGAGTATGGAATGGGCTTCCACGGGAGGTGGTGTTCAGGGATAGGCTGGATATGCACATGGTAAGCATGTCACGAGTGGAGCCAGCTGGAGCCGGGGTCAGACTAGATGGCCTGGGAGACCCCATCTGACTTACTATGTTTGTCTCTATATATGGGAATGGCTGTGTTCTCCTTGAGGAGTAAATGCAGTGGCCGTTCTGATAGACCATATTAATGATATTAATATAACATTCCTGTCATATAAACAAATGAGTGATGCAGTCCTGACATTACTTAATGCTTAAGAGAAAGATACAGATGTAATAAGCATGAAATCCCATTGTTTTCAGTAGGTTAAGTGAAACATGTTCCTAATGAATGCTGCTTAACTGTGGTTGTATTATGCTCTGGTCTTTTGATTGAACAGGATATTGGCTTACAAAACTAATGTATAAATCCAGTGAGTGAGTAGACAAATTTAAAGAAATGAATCCAGACATGTATATGGCTATTTTAGCTATAATATGGCTATTGTTAGAAAAAGTATTCTGAACGTTGGTCATCAAGAGATTTCTACCAAAAAATGTAAAAAGACAAAAGGATATTATGCATGGATTATGCTATAGAAAACTGAAGCCTACTAACTTAGTTAATGGTAGTGGTTTCATGATACACACTTTAAAAGTAGAATTGCATGAATATAATGTGACCCATTGCTATGATTTAATTTTCCTAGAGAATTCTAACAACAAACACAATATTGTGTTCATTTTTTTTTCTTTTCCTAGCCAGGAACTGAGGAGATTTTAACTAAAAAATCAGTGGAAAGATCTATAAAAGATAAAGCTGAGCCAGATAAAGAAGTAAGTAATAAAAAATAAGCCTTTCCCCCAAACGTTTGGGAGCTCTCATTGTGATCCTCCTCAAACAATTGAAAATTGGCATGCCAAAATGACTTTTGATTTAAAAACATGAAGGGTGCATACTTGTGGTGGCTCCAGTCTCCTACCCTGCAAGAATACTCCCTATACCACTTTTCCAAGGCTGCTCATCTGTCCTTGGAGAAGCAGCTGGTATGTTTGTTTCTGTGCCAACTGTGAGGGCTGCAAGGGCACTCCAAGCATGAAGTGCTTGTGATCAGAGAGAGAGATGGAGAGATGTTGCCTGCTTAAAGTGTTAAGAAAACCATCGTTATAGCTTCCTGATTCTTAATTTGATTTACTCAAGCTGTAGCCAGAGATGATGGTATAATGAGGAAGTTGTAATTACTCAATGAAATCTCATGCTTGTTGCATTTTTCATTAAATATTAGCATTTTAGTTTTGAAAATTGGACTCTTTTTTGGTATTTCAAAATTGAACTTAATTTTTTTCTCGAATGCTGGTCTTCTTTGTACAAATAGCAATTGTAGTGCAGACAGAATATGATCACTGTTACAGTTTCTGTTTATTGTTTTTGTATATAGCTGATTGGACAGATAGGTGTTCCAGAGAAATGCTGGCACTTGTACTTTTGTTAGAGTGACGAGTGTCAAAGAAGGACAGAGTCTGTGTAGCTTTAGTAGTAGAGTAGAAAAGGGAATCGCAACTTGTTTAATGACAACTAGTACCTGCCAAAATTGCCATTTCTGTACAACTGCTACAGCTACAGGTTTGTCCCCCTTCATCCCAACTATATGTTAGTCCTTCTGGAGTCACTCCTGTATCTTTTTGCCTTTCCTTATGGTAACGGGATATGTTTGTGTACAAGTTCCCTCTCCTATCTTAATCCTTTCTGATAGGGGGAGTAGTCACACTGAATCCCTTTTTGGATCACAATGTTTCCACTATTGAACAGGGACAAAGTTGAGGCAGGGAGGTGGGCTTTATGGAATCCACAAGTCCCAACTGCTTTATCCATCTCCTAGTTAAGCCAAGCATGACATTATTTGCTCTTCTAAAAGCAGGAGCTAAAATGGCTTCCCCTAAAATTCCTTTGTCATTACAGTATGGACAAGATTGGCCATATTGTTTGCTGCTCTTTTGTTCTTCATCACTAGTGTTCATTAAGGCAGGGAGGATAACACAAATATACTATAGCATTTTCTAATTATCGCTTTCTTTCAAGAGTGAAAACTCAGCAAGATTATCAAAGCAACTTTCAACAAAGGGTCCAAGACAACGACCGAAACTAGGTGATGAAGGTAACTAAAACAAACCTTTTCTCTCATTATATACCAGGAGGAGGGGGGCCCACTCAACTTTTGGAGCACTTCATAGTTGTTTTATTGCGAATTTACCAAAATAAAACAATCATGAAAAACCCTGAAATTAATTTCTACTGTTAGGTAAATATCCAAATAACAGCATAAATCCAAATATATAAATTATACATAATTTATATGTATAAAGTCAAACCAAATCCCCATTGATACATTACTGCAAGAGTGACATCCTTATGACAGCTATTTAAGTACTCAAAATATAATTAAGTCTTCACTTCATTGCATTATGAGAGGTGAGCTTTTACATTTCCAGTGCTGTAGTATAAGTCAAACTTGGCTGTCGAAAGGGCACAGAAAAGCTTTAATTTTGAAAAAACCAACTAGATCACTTTAAAGCACATTTAAATTAGAAAATACAGAGTGTTCTAATACAAAGGTTTCACATATTATGCCAGAGCATAAAATTAAAAGGAGCATTAGCATTTTTATACCTCCAACAGTAGGTCAATTTAAACAACCTTTATTAACAAGATGTTGTTGGGTCCAATAAACCCTACAATTTTTGCTGTAAAGATGCTCAACTGTATGTGTTCAGTGACACCACATTTATCAGCTATTCCAATTTATCTTAAATATTTATGATATATCTCTAGGAATGAGTATTCCTGAGTAAGTAGTAGAACTCAGACACAATTAAAGTTATGTTATGTTATGTTAGTCATGAAGTCGTGTCCAACCCATCGTGACCCCATGGACAATATTCCTCCAGGCTCTCCTGTCCACCACCAACCCCCAAAGTCCACCAAAGCTCACATTGACAGCTTCATTGACTCCATCTAGCCACCTCATTCTCTGCCATCCCCATCTTCTTTTGCCATCTATTGTTCCCAACATTAGGCTCTTCTCCAGTGAGTCCTTCCTTCTCATTAGGTGGCCAAAGTATTTGAGTTTCATCTTCAGTATCTGGCCTTCTAAAGAGCACTCAGGGTTGATCTCCTCTAAGACTGACTGGTTTGATCTCCTTGCAGTCCAAGGGACTTTCAGAAATCTTCTCCAGCACCACAATTCAGAGGCCTCAATTCTTCAGCACTCAGCCTTCCTTATGGTCCAGCTTTCATAGCCATACATTGCAACTGGGAAAATCATAGCCTTGACTATACAAACTTTTGTTGGCAGGGTGATGTTTCTGCTTTTTAGTATGCATATAAATCCCAAAAAGCAAGCATCTTTTAATTTCTTGGCTGCAGTCACCATCTGGGGAGCCCAAGAAAATAAAATCTTTCACCACCTCCATTTCTTCCCCATCTATTTGCCAGGAAGTGATAGGACTGGATGCCAGGACCTTAGTTTTAAGAAACTAAATTGAGTTTCAAGCCAACCTTTGCACTCTCTTCTTTCACCCGCATCTTTAGTTCTTCTTCAATTTCTGCCATTAGAGTGGTATCATCTGCGTATCTGAGGTTGTTGATATTTCTCCCAGCAATCTTAATTCCAACTGGTGATTCATATAGTGTGGCCTTTCGCATGATGTGCTCTGTATAGACAATATACAGCCTTGTAGTATTCCTTTCCCAATTTTGAACCAATCAGTGATTCCATGTCCTGTTCTCACTGTTGCTTCTTAACCTGCATACAGGTTTCTCAAGAGACAAATAAGATGATCTGGTACTCCCATCTCTTTAAGAACTTGCCACAATTTGTTGTGATCCATACAATCAAAGGCTTTAGCATAGTCAATGAATCAGAAGTAGATGTTTTTCTGGAACTCCCTAGCTTTCTCCATGATTCAGCGTATGTTAGCAATTTGATCTCTAGTTCCTCTCCCTCTTCAAAACCCTGCCTGTTCTTCTGGTAGTTCTCGGTCCACATACTGCTGGAGCCTAGCTTGTCGGATTTTGAGCATCACTTTGCTAGCATGTGCAATGAGTGCAATGGTGTGGTAGTTCAAACGATCTTTGGCTTTGCCCTTCTTTGGGATTGGAATGTAAACTGATCTTTTCCAATCCTGTGGCCACTGCTGCGTTTTCCAAATTTGCTGGTATAATGCACTTTAACTGCATCATCTTTTAGGATTTTGAATAGCTCAGCTGGAATACTATCTTCTCCACTAGCTTTGTTTTTGTTAAGGCTTCCTAAGGCCCATTTGACTTCACATTCCAGGATGTCTGGCTCAAGGTCAGTGACCACCCCATTGTGGTTATCAGAGACATTAAGCTCTTTCTTGTATAGTTCTTCTGTGTAATCTTGCCATCTCTTCTTAATCTCTTCTGCCTTTGTTAGGCCTCTGCCATTTTTGTCCTTTATCATCCCCATCTTTGCATGAAACATTCCCTTCATATCTCCAGTTTTCTTGAAGAGATCTCTAGTCTTTCCCATTCTATTGTTTTCCTCTGTTTCTTTACACTGTTCATTTAAGAAGGCCTTCTTATCTCTTCTAGCTATTCTCTGGAATTCTGCATTCAATTGGGTGTATCTTTCTCCCTTTGCTTTCCTTCTATGTGTAAAGCCTCCTCAGACAGCCATTTTGCTTTCTTGCATTTCTTTTTCTTTGGGATGGTTTTAGTTGCTGCTTCCTGTACAATATTCTGAACCTCCGTCCATAGTTCTTCAGGTACTCTGTCTATCAGATCTAATTCCTTAAAACTTTTTGTCACCTCTACTTTATATTCATAAGGAATATGATTTAGGTCATACCTGAGTGGCCTAGTGCTCTTCCCTACTTTTAACAATTTAAGCCTAAATTTTGCAACAAGAAGCTCATGATCTGAGCCACAGTCAGTTCCTGGTCTTGTTTTTACTGACTGTATAGAGCGTCTCCATCTTTTCCTACAGAGCACATAGTCAATCGGATTTCAATCTGTTGTCCATCTGGTAATGTCCATGTTGCAGTCGTCTCTTGGGTTGTTGGAAAAGAGTGTTTGCTATGACCAGCGTGTTTTCTTGACAAAATTCTACCAGCCTTTGCCCTGCTTCATTTTGTACTCCAAGGCCAAAATTGCCTGCTATTCCGGTTATCTTTTGGCTTCCTACTTTAGCATTTCAATCCCCCATGATTATACAGACATTATTTTTGGTGTTATTTCTAGAAGGTGTTGTAGGCCTACATAGAACTGGTCAGCTTCAGCCTCTTCAGCATCAGTGGTTGGGGCATAGACTTGGACTACTGTGATGTTGAATGGTTTGCCTTGGATTCGAACTGAGATCATTCTGTCATTTTGGAGATTGTATCCCAGTATTGATTTTCCTGCTCTTTTTTTGACTGTGATGGCTACTCCATTTCTTCTGTGGGATTCTTGTCCACAGTAGTGTACCTGATGGTCATCTGAATTAAATTCACCCATTCCTGTCCTTTTTAGTTCGCTGATTCCCAATATGTCGATGTTCAGTCTTGTCATCTCATGTTTGACCACGTCCAGCTTACCTTGATTCATAGATCTTACGTTCAAGGTTCCTATGCAGTATAGATCTTTATAGCATCTGACTTTCCTTTCACCACCAGATACATCTGCAACTGAGTGTCCCTTCAGCTTTGACCCAGTCACTTCATTCTATCTGGCACTACTACTACTAGCCTTCTGCTTTTCCCCAGTAGCACATTGGACACCTTCTGACCTGAGGGGCTCGTCTTCTGGCGTCATATCTTTTTGCCTTTTGGTACTGTCCCTGGGGTTTTCATGGCAAGGGTACTGGAGTGGGTTTCCATTTCCTTCTCCAGTGGATCACCTTTTGTCAGAGCTGTCTGCTATGACCTGTTCTTCTTGGTTGCCCCTGCACAGCATAGCTCATAGCTTCATTGCGCTACACAAGCCCCTTTGCCACGGCAGGGCAGTGATTCATGAAGTGGACCATTGAAATTACTAATTGGCTAATGTACTATGAAAAATATTTCCATTTGGCATGATCTCAGTCTTGGACCAGTTAATTGAATAACCAGACAGTTTATCGAAAGCATTGTTGTACTGCATCAAAGTGGGAGTGGACACGTGGGGTTACAAAATAAACAATAAGCAGTTGTTCTGCATTCTAGTAGAATAGCACACACCAGGGATACCAGACTGTATTGCATGGACTCTACTAGACAAATGGTGAGAAGGTCATTAAGGTTCAACAGGTATTGCAGTGAGCTTTTCCAGTGTGCAAAAGCAGAATACTTTCCTGAAACCATGCTAAGGCCTTATGGTTGTCATCTTGTTAGAAAGAACACCAAGGATAATTGCCTTGAAACTGCATTCCCTTTCATGCTTTACTAGCTTCTCATGTTGTTGCTATGGAGATATTATTTGTATTGTTCAATCTAAAAAAATCTTCCAAATCTCTTTCACATTTCTTGAAAATGTCGTCTTTTAAAGAGTGTTTATTAGCAGCCTGTCAGTGTTTAATAAAGCATGTTTGATCTGGTCAATCTAGTGCTGTAATACCATATTGAAATCTACTGCCCAAAATTCTAGTCAGAATTTTAATACCAAGATTAATATTGAAATGGGTCAGCACTTAGTACAATAAATATGATCCTTTCCATGTTTGGAAATTAACTGTAATATAGGCCTCATTTAATGATGCAGAAATGAAGCTTAGTTCAAAATATAGAAATACAAATAAAGCAGTTTAGAACTAATAATCAAGAAAAGGATTCTGACCACTCATTTGGAAGCCCATCCAGAACAAGTGATTTCCAAATATACAATTTCCAAAACATAATTGCATTCACAATTTCTTCCACTGTTACAGGAGCTGAAAGAAATTGTACTTGTGAAAAGTGCATACAAGAAAGATTAACTGGAGGGGAAATGCATCTGTATTCTGTATATTCTACTACCCCCATTGTATTTCTCCTTGGGAGGAGTATATCTAATAATTCTCATCTTTAATTGTAACAGCTATGTTTCAGTCTTTCTACTGTTTAAGACAATGTGCCAAAGTCTTACTGGGACATTCCCATTCTCTCAGTAAGCCTGTCATAGCCAAGTTAAAGCAAGTTTCTCCTGCTGTGAAACAGTATTATTCAACTTGAATTTCACAGTTTACTACTCTTGGTAGAGCTTTGCAAATTACAAATTGGGTTATAAGTGCTTTCAACTCCTCATTTAATAATACTGCAAATTCAAAAATTCATATACGAAGCACAAGCACTTATTTGACCCTATATAAAAGGTTTACTAGCCTTCTCTTTGGTAGCATGAGAATCAATCATATCCTTATTATTTTCAAAATAATTTCAAAATCAAATTCATATATTAATCATATATGGGTGTAAAAGCCTCACCAGTATTTGGCACAGGGGGGCAGTATACTCTGGTCCGTTATAGGATCTAAGACCTCATTAAAATCCCCATATGCACATTCAAGTAATCACAGACAATTTCAAGCAGACTGCTAAAATAATGAGAAAACATGGCAGGAGAATCATTATTTTGCTCATATGCATTAATAACTGAATAATGTCATCAATGTTTTCTAACTAAAATCAAAGGATAACCATCAGTATCAGTTATCACCTCCTGAATTAGAGAAGAGAATTGATTGCGGATTAAAATCTTAATCTTTTTGAACTATGTTGATGTTATGAAGTTTACATAAACTTCTCCATCCAATTATTTTCTCAGCAAATTATTAAGCTTCATCAAGTGGGTTTCCTGTAGAAAACAACATAAGCATTAAGCCCTTTGCTTATTTATATTCCTTAGTCCCTTGGTATTCAAGGAAATTGTGTTAAGTATGGGAAGTAATGTAACAAATGTACGGCCCTTCCATACATACAAATTTTATACATTTTACACAGGTTCAATGTTTTGCACAGGTTCTTAAGTTTGTATTGCTGCCATGTGAAAGTGCTCAGATACTTGGTGGTAGTATACAGCTTTAATAAACGAGACCACATGAGCAAACAACTAGATAATTGTGCTGAAAGGTTTGATGAAGAAACTGCTGTTTAAATTATTCTGAACCTGTTTAAATGATTATTAACAGTATACAGTACACATTTCATTGTAAATTCTTTTATGTCAGGACAAAAGGAAACTAGTAAAAGTGTATTATCTAGTGGTACAATTGAAAGAGCAGCTGATATAGTAAAAGAGAAAGAGGAGCCAGTTATAACACCACAAGAACCAGGTAAGAGTAGGCAAGGGTCTCTTCAGTAAAGTTCATGTAAACTGCTTAGGGTTTTTTCTTAATATGTAGCAGTAGTAGAAGTAAATCAGTGCTGAACAGATGTTGGTATTTATACAATCACGTAGCCTCAGTTTACCATGTAATAAGTCTTAAATCTAGTGACGGGTAGTTGTTGAAAGACTAAGGTACAAATCAGAAAATCCCTGGTATAAATCTTGCATCTGTTGGAAACCTGCTACGTGAGTTGTACTCAGACTTAGTCACTTATCCGCAGTATAGGATATATACTGACCTACCTGATAAGTATTATTATTGTTGTTCTGTGACACGTATTGCCAAATTTATTTGTATAAATGGCTGGGGACTTTCAGAATGCAAGAATTTTTACAGGGGCTTGGCTGCTGGGTGGGAAGTTTGCAATTTACTTTCCTGTACCACCAGATGAATTTTTTCTCCTATATCTAATGGTAGGGAATTGGGGAGGGTGTGACAGAGAGCTCTAAACACCTAGAATCTAGAAATTCCACTGTAGTTTTTAGGTTCCTGGGAACTTGGGGAACATTTAAAACAATCTTCCAGATGGCTGGAGATGATGGTACTTACAGTGTTGAGGCTGCCAGGTTGAGAAAGGCAGTTTTAAGGGCTGGAAGGTGTATTCACTGGTGTTGCGCAGTAAGTTAAGGTAATACCTAGCACAGCACTAGCCCTCTAATGGCTTTCAACAAGTATGTATGTATGTATGCTTGGAATAATGGGAGCGAATACCCTTGCAGCTAGACTTGCAGATGAAAAATCAGCAACTGTTTTACTTGGAAAAGTTAAATCAGAAATTGCAGTAAAACAGAGAGGTAAGCAAAACAGTAGCCACTTCTTGAATAGTCTCTTTGGAAGATATATTTTGACTCATATGATTAAATTTTGTTTATGCTTTTTAAAACATTTTTTCTTTGTATCATAGGGTTCACAGTTCAAATGTTGCATATTTCATGTGGAAAAAAATTGCTTTCATTTTCATGCCTTCCAGAGAGTAACTTAAAGAAACCACCCATATTCACATACGGGGAATTCCTTACTGCAAATGAGCTAGTATATTCTTCCAGTATATAAACTTCCACGATTACAGTGGTAACTTGGCTCACACACTTAATCTGTTCCAGGACTCTGGTCGTGACCCAAATTGGTCATGAGCCAAGTCAAATTCCCCCATAAGGTTCAATGTAAATAAGGTTAACCCGTTCTGTAGCTTTTTTTTTTTACTCACAAAAATGTGAAGTAAAGTAACAAAGAACACAGATCGCAGCCGTCTCCCCCCCCTCCCAAGTGATCCTGCTGGGGGGGAGAGAGAGAGCCACGATTGTGCTCAGGGGTGGGGGGGGAGATGGGCACGATAGCAGCCACGCTCTTGCAGGGGAGACGGGTGCAATTGTGGCCATCTCCCCCCCCCGAGCATGATTGCGACCATCTTCCGCCCCCCTCCCCCAGCATGACCATGGTCGCACCTGTGCAGGGAAGGCGGGCGCAATCGCGATTGTCACCCGATGCGGAGTTCGTGACCTGTGGCAAAATTTTTATGACATTTCTGTTCGCGACCCGATTTGGTCGTGAACTGAGGCGTTTGTGAGCCGAGGTATCACTGTAATTATGGTGTATGAACCAGGAACTCTGGCTTGTTTCTGGCTTGTTCCTGGTTTGTAAATCACAATAAACAAAGCATGGGCAAAAGGTCTCTATTTTGTTTAGGTGCTTCTGTTTGCCAGTTGGGAAGCAAACAACAGCATGCACAAACACAACCCCTGCCTAATAATTATGTCAATTCCCTTTTCAAACACAATATGCTTGGGATGTTTTTTTTTCTTCACTAACTTAGTTATAAAGTATTGACTTTCTATTCAACAGTTTTTCTCTAGAGAAGAAATTGAAACTGATATGGGCAAGAGTTAGTACTTCTAATTAATGACTTACTATCCGTCCAGCTCAACCGGGGTGTGCTGTTTTTCCCATATCAAAATACATGGCACCCTGGCATGGGTAGGAAGAAACATGTATTGTTGCTGAATGCTTGAATGTTCCCTCCCCACCTCACTATAATAGAGCACACATACATCACCTAGTCTGACCTCAGAGCCTTCACTGGGCTTGTATCTTTTAGCAACTTCAGTAGAGTGAGTCAGTAATCAACAAGGAGATTTCCTGCCTCTATCCTGCATAGAAACTGCAAAATGTCTAATATATTTTTAAATTTCTCCTCTGTCTGAAAAATAATCATATGCATTTATATTGCAGATGAATCTTCCAGTGATGCAGGTAAAATGAATTTTAGAGATAACATACACTCTCATGTCTTCAGTGTATTTTAACTTCAGTAACATGGAACTTGAAAATATATTGTTTTCTATTCAGGTCACTGGATTTAGCATGAGTGTATTGTTAATTGCATTTTGTATTAGAATATAATAAGGTATATGTAGTAAAGGAGGAAGCTTTGGCCCTGATTTCCTTTACAATACTTGGTTTAACTTCACAACATGTCCAAATCTATGTGGGGAAGTCTATAGTCTGAACAGGATTAGAAAAGGAATGTTATAGGCATTTGATATTGATGTCTTTTTCAAAATTAGATGTAACAGATTTTTAAAAATTTAATAGAAGGAGATGTTCTGAACCCTGCAGCTCCTGAAAAAGCATTTGTTTCTGAGAACAATGAAATTGCGAATGAACTTCCATCTCAAGTCACCCCAAGGTCTGTCTTTATATTCTTTTTATCAGTTTTTGTATACTAATGTTATTACTATAGCTGAATATATAAACAGTCTTTATTCTTCCACTGAAATCAATGATATGCAAAGGTCCTTCACTTTAATTGGATTGTGCTCCATATATTTAAACTGACTCAAGACACATAACCTGATTCTGAAGCGACCCTGAATTGTGATTTAACATTATGTCGCAAGTAAAAATTGCCCAAGCGAGGCATACTCCCTACCACTCTTCTCTCCTCCAGCACAATTTGAAAAAGGATTTTATTAGTGTTTAGTTTCACTTAGAGTAATCCTGGTTTGTTGTTACATATAAACAAGAGTTTGATTTAAACCGTGATCTTTGTTTTGTATGTAATGATAGGCTTAGATGGATACAAAGTGAAACTATACACTAGCAAAGTCTCTTTCTTCAAACCACTCAGTAGAAGAAAAATGGAGAGGAAGAATGTGAACCTGAAGGTTCCTTCCACTTAGGCTTATTCCACTTTGGGCATGTAACTCTAAACCATGGTTTTATGTTGCATGCTGAGCCCATTAGCTATTGACCATAGTTACAGAATTTTTCACATACCATGAGTAGTAAAAAGTCTGATAGGGCTGTAAGATAACAAATGGGCAGCTAATTTCTGGGTCATAGGGGCCCTCTCTCATTTCCTTTAGAATACATTTCCCTTATCCATTCCTTGACTGATATAAAATATAGTTTAGAGTTGCATGTGAAGAAATGTCAACCTTCATTAATATTATTTAGGTTACCTTGTAAACAAACTTTTTAAACCATAATTGGAAAGTTCTGACTTTTAAATCACGATTACAAGGGAAGGTGGTTAGTGAGCTGCATATTTCTCTCCCTGTTTTACTGGGATAGGGTTGTTTCTGTTTTATATTTATATTTATTTATTTATTTATTAAAACATTTTTATGCCGCCCCATTCGCCGAAGCCTCGGGGCGGCTTACATCACTAAGTTAAAATAATTATAATATAAATTAAAAATATAAGTATTTATAAAAATAAAAATTAAGTATTATCTTGCTTTTTTAGTAATATGTTTTGTACTGAATCAAAGTTGAAATAAAAATTGTAAAATTTAGTGTGTGACATACATTTCAGACTAGAAGCATATTCACGTTTTACTCCTTAGATGCCACACTGTCTTTAAAAAGCAAGCCCAAAAACCCATGCTTACTAACATAGCAATACTGGTACGGAGTGCAGATGTGCACACTGACAGAAATTCAGATTCTCTGTTTCGTGGAGAAGACAGATGTGAGGAAAATCTTGCTATTAGATTGTTACTTCATTGATTGCCAAAGTTAATTCAGCTAGTCTGATGGCTAGGCAGGTCTCCCTTCCCCCTCTCAGTGTTCCATGTGTATTGTCCCAAAGCTGCCCACTCAATGAAAGAGCATCCCAGAGAGGAGTGTACCATCCTTTCATCAGTGAATTATGATAGCTGTGCTCTCCTGCTAGAACTCCAGAACAAGCTCTCAAGATCTATTTGTAGGAGAGTTCTGTCACGTATGCAGAATGGCTTGTAGGGTGAAGAATTTTAGGCCTAAGGTGCAAATCCAGCCTTCTGGAGTTCTTGTCAGGCTCTCCTTGATTCCCCAGATAGCTAGAAACCTTTTCCCTGGCCGCCAATCATCTGGTGGATTCTCTGCTTTGACATAGTTTTTTCCCATTCTAAAATGTCAAAAAGGCCCTGCAAAGGCTTAGTTACTGTCAGTAAGAACTTTAAGGTGGAATCCCATGTATCTGTAGACAGAAATATACAAATCCCAGCATTCTTCAGCCAGCATGGTGGTAAGTTCCAGGGCTTTTTTCTGTCTAGACATGCAGAGGATTGTACCCGTAAGCTAAAATATGTTGGCATTTTTTGCTCTTCCCCTTTTGCTTTCTCACCTGCCCACCACTAGTATGTAGCACCTGAGAGCTTCTCAAAAATGGAAGTTGCCCTCAGGTTAAAAGACGTTCAACACCCCAGCTATATTGAAATGAATGCGCATTAGCTATGTATACAGAAAGTGCATATTCCAAACTCTGGATCAAGAAAAACATAACCTGAAGAACAATGAAAAATACGTGTTGTGAGCCTAATTTTAATAATTGTAAGAAATACTCATATTGATTTGAGTTGCTCATGTTAAATTAATTGCAATATGTGAATCAGAATCTGCTCCTGTTTGGCTAAATTAGAATTTTCAAATGGTTTTAACTCTTACCACTCTAGTTTTAAAGGTTACACTTCTAGGGAAAATTGAGTTAGTTCTCTATATCCCTTAATCATCAGTTATGCAAACAAAAGGAGATTACTTCTCAGTCAAAATTAACTATTTTTCAATCCTATCGATTTCAGTAAAAGTTGTGCCTGTGTTAACATAAATGGAGATAATGAACAATTATTAGGATGGATTTTTATTTGGACTTAAATCATCCCCCCTTGTGGTTGGAATTACTGAACTATAATTACTTAAGAATTAGAGGTTTCTGTTATAATAATGCATTCTTTATTGAGAAAGGTTTGAAATGAAGGGGGGGGTTGGTATTTATTCCAGTTAAATGGCTTCATGAACTAATTTGTGCAAATTGAGACAACTTTTAACTAACTTCACAGAAGGCTCCCACGGCCGAGCAGTGCAAGACCCGCTCCACCCCGGATAAAACACCAAGAAATTACAGAGGTTTCACTGCTAGAGAAGTAAGGACAACATTAGGAGTTACTATTATTATTAGTAATATTAGTATTGCTAAATGTTCTGTTGTGTTATCAGTAAATACTGCCCAGTTTCAAAACTTTCATGTATGTTGAATAAAATGACAGTCTATTTTTCTGATCTATATGGCATTTTCTAATACATCCAGTTAGGAGACAAGATCCAGCACAATATTTGTGAAAATGCATTTAGTATATGTATATTGTGTATATTAAATGTCTTAATTGCATGATTGCACAGCAATCTCATGTTCTTAATAAATTAGGTTTGTTTTAAAAAGTATTGCATACATTTCTGTTTTCTCTCGAATGTCAGCTTTTTTTGGAAATTGCCCTCCCCAAGATACTCCATCATTAAATAACTGAATGTTTATGCTCACTTTTCTGTTAGAGACAGCTCTGAATTCTTCTTGGAATGCTCATCAGTCAGAACATTCTACCAAAGTTTAGCTTTTTACCTTCTTTCTTCTAGAAATGGCAGCAGCAAAATAGTGTCAAATGTCATTATAGACAAAGAGAATGAGGATGAGGATGACCAGTTTGTTGTTGAGGCAACAGTGCAGCTGCCCGAAATGGCAGAAATGGCAATGGTGGGTTAACAATTTTCTCATTCAAATACGGAACTAAAGTTAATGTGGTGCTGTCCATTTTTGTTCTTTCTTCTTCCTTCAACGATTCTTGTAGATTGCTTTATTTACTTTGTTACTGAAGGCAGCCAGTTTGGAAATAGAAGTCTGGAGAATCAGCATTGAAGGCAACCTAGAGACTGCTTTCTTCAAATCTTGTCTAAACAAGATATGACCCAGATACCTGGAAATACCTGATGTAAAGTTTTCCTCCATGGCATATATCCCAGGGATCTGGTGTAAATCCGAATGATAGCCACATTTCAGGCTCCACTTGCATTGGTACCTAACTTAGCAGAGACTGTGATCTCCAAGTTGGACACTAATTTTAAACTTAACTTACAGAGATAAAACAACAATGCTGGAAAATACAGCTGAATGATGAACTGCTAATTTTCAGTTTGTATGTGTGTTGTGGTGGGATTAATCACTTTTTTGAGAAAAAGAGCTCAGTGCCATTCCAAGTATTGTCTCTTTATATTAAGAAGCTTGCAAGCATTAATGTAAACTTTCTTTCTATCTTCTTTTCAACTGCTATTACCAGGAGGCAACAGTGGAGCTGGAAGGAGATGAGAAACATGGTAAGTGTTTGGTTTGATTTTTTTTCTCAGCTTACTGCGTACCAGTAATTTCAGAAAGCAAAATCTTTATCATTGCTTAGAGACATATCCCTTCTATTCCACTCTTGTTTTTTCCTGCTGCCACTATCCACATTCTTATTTTACTGGCCTCCTTTCTGAATTCATTATGATGCTGCTTGATGCAGTTCTGCTCTCTTATCACCTGCTTGCTTTGGCCTAGAAGATTCTGAAGGTGGACTAGCCCTTCTTATCCTGTTTGTTCCATCTCCAGCCGGGTAGACGATACCCAGCACTGTGCAAGCAGATGTATCCCCCATCCCAAAAAGCCTTTCCAGGGTGTCAGGGAAGCCACAGAACATTCTCCACTCCCGGGCAGTAGTGGGACTGGGAAATTTATGATATCAGGCAGAGGAACCTTTGATGTTTCTCCTTTTTGCACCTCAGTTCTGGAAGACATAGTTCACAGTGTTATGTAAGTCACTACAACCCTGTAGTGAGCCTTTGGGGACTGGGACGCAGAGGGCTGCAGTGAGGAGAAAGGGAAGGGAAAGAGCTGTTGCATGAATTTGCCTTGTACTCATGCCGTAATGAATTTCACCCCTGAAAGTTGGCCCAATCCTTCGATTTTGACATTGACCTTATAGGTGGGACTTAAATGGATGCAGTGTTCTCAAGAATGTTATACTGGTCATTGTTGCCTCACCATTCATTATCTTCAGCAGTATAACGACATCATACGGATTCAACAGTATAAGGACATCTTACGGATTACAGAAAGAATATTTTTCTGAAATTCAGAAAAAAATTGTTTTAACAAACCCAACATGAATCACTGTGTCTGCTTAGGATTTAGTGTCTTTTCAGGTTGTAAATGCATGCATGTTTAGCAAGAAAAACGTCTTAAGAGGTCCCAACATCCCCCATGCAATTTATTTATTTATTTTTCAATTTATATCCTGCCTTTTTCCTACAAAGGGCTCAAGGCAGCTTATATCTGCTCCTCCATCTTATCCCCACAACAACAACCCTGTGAGGTAGGTTGGGCTGAGAGTCTGTGACTGGCCCAAAGTCACCCAGTCGGCTCCATGGCTGAGCGGGGACTAGAACCCAGATCGTCTGAGTCCCAGTCCCACGCTCTTAACCACTACACCACACATCCTATATAAATAGGATGATACACATACAGAATTCTTCTGCAGTTAATAAATACATTATTTTTTATCTTCAACAGGTGGGCTCGTCAAAAGAATATTGGAAACAAAAAAAGATTATGAATTGTCTCAGATGTCAAAATCTTCCGAGAAGGTAATATGCTAGCTTACTTTAAAGAATTGTTTATGTCAGATTTTTAGTTCCTGCTCTCTTGTCACCTCACCCGGCTCCGAGAGGGGGAGCAGGAGCAGGAGAGGGCTGAGAGGAGGGAGGTAAGGGTTGCTTTCCAAGGCGAGGGGAGGTGAGGGACAGGGCCGCAGCTGGCTGAACAGGTTGCCTCCCGCCTCTCCCTCCTGCGGGGGAGAGAAGCATGGCAGCCACTCGATGGCAGCAGTTTGCCCATAGAAGGCCACGGCAGAGGTGTGGGAACCGTGGCCCTACTCCACCTCAGCCTGTCCACCCCATGACTCGGGAGGCAGCCGCGGCTTGACCCGCATCCCGGGGACGTGGCTCACAAAGTTAAAAAAAATAGATTTAAAAAGTTGTATTTTTCTTACCTTCTATCCTTTTTTAGTGTCTTTGTCTCTCTCTCTCTTCCGCCCTCCTCTCTTCTGTATCCCTGCTCTGTATTCAGAACCAACGGATGCATGCAATGGGGGGAAGAGCTGCTGCCCTCGCAATTGAATGGAGCTGTTACAATTTGGCATGTTAAGATCTTTCTTGTATAGTTCTTCTGTGTACTCTTGCTGCCTCTTCTTTATCTCTTCTACCTCTGTTAGGTCCCTGCCATTTTTCCCCTTTATCATGCCCATCATCTTTGTATGAAATGTTCCCTTCATATCTCCAATTTTCTTGAAGAGATCTCTAGTCTTTCCCATTCTATTCTTGTCCTCTATTTTTTTGCATTGTTCATTTAAGAAGGCCTTCTTATCTCTTCTAGTTATTCTCTGGAATTCTGCAACTTACTATTCCTTCTCCTGTTTTGTAAAATTATTTTAGTAGTTGAATGTCAAAAGATATCATTAAAGTTTAGATACAATATATAATCTAGTATTTTTTATGTTTTAGCAGTGAGTCACCAGACTGTTCTATTTTGAGAAAGGTAGATTTTTATTTGTAAAAATGTACTTTTCAAAACCATTTACAGTTCCAGTTCACCTGCATTGATCTATAAAGCAAAGAACGCATATTTAGAATTATGTATCTTTATAAATTTTATTTATTTATTATTATTTATTATTTGCATTTATATACCCCCCTAATAGCCCAGAGCGCTCTCACAGTATTTTGTGAAGTACTATGAAAAATTGTGAGAAATCACAGTATTTTACAATGACATCAGACTCTATCCACAATGTGTATATTATTAAACTAAACATGGGGGCGGGGGGCAGAATCTTGCTATGGAAACTTTTTTCTATACTTAAAATATGATTTCATTTGTAAACCAGTGACTGCTGAAATATCTTTGGCAATTGTCCCTGTTGCCTTCAAGCACAGCTGAATGTACAAATGATTGATGTACATAGAAAGTATGATGAAAGAAGAAACCTCTAAAAAAATTGGATCCCAGCAAGGGAGATATATGCATACTTTGCATGAACTGCTTTTACTAATAGGAAGTAGGATTCCAGAAAGATCATTTTGCCACTTTTAAAGAAAATCATTGTTTAATCAAGTTCTATTTATGACTGAATGCTGCCTTGAGTGCCATTTTGCCTAGTAGAAAGTCAGGCTACAAATCAAATAATTAATATAAATCACAAATAAAATAAAATCTGATATTTCCTCTTCATATGCTAAAAGAAGGCCTTGAACAGCTTTTGACGTTTTAAAAAAACTGAAATTATGAAAATAACTGGTTTAGGAAGCTTTCCATGTGTGTAATTAGTTTCATTTCATTACAAGGTTATATTAGTGAGGCATTGACTAAAATCATATAAAATATTTTATGAACACTACCCTACAGGGTAATCCCATGCATGCTTACTCAGGCATAAATCTCAATTAGCTTATGGCTGATAAGCTGTATGTATCACTACAGCTTGGCAGAGCACTCCTGTGGCCCCTAGATGGTGTCTAGAGTACAATAGGATTGTTCAGATTCCCCCATCTGAAGTTGGAAACAAGCTTTGACCTTGAAGCTGGGGGTCCACACTTGGATTACCCTCTTCACCCTTACAGATGGCATGGAAAGAACTGCAGCATCTGTTACTCCAGAGTCATAAGAACAAAACCTCAGTACAGGTGATGAGAGTGTTCCAGGGTAGGGCAGGAAGGAAAGGGAATTTGCTGGGTTACAACATATTATGGTAGCACACCAGCCTCCTTACCTCCCTGTTTGAACAGTTGAAGCTAGACAGCAAAGATTGGTTTGCAGGGCATGAACAGCATGGAGGCAATCCCCTGCATGGGATGTACATAAACATTTAGAAAGTTTAGAAAGTTTTGGGTATTGCTGCTGATTGCCCTAAGTCACAAACTCTCAAGCTAACCTACCTCACAGGATCGTTGAGGGAAAAAATGGAGAGGAGGAAAACTTCGTAAGAAACCATGGGTTCCTTGTTAGAAGAAAAATGGCAGGGTATAAATATAATGTAATTTTTAAAATAGATTATTTTTGATGCTGCTTCAATTTTCATATTGCTGTGTGAGAATCAATTATACTGATTTCACTGTATAATTGAGCATTTCATACAATCATAGAATAGTAAAGTTGAAAGGCTAGAGTTGACTTGTGGAGTCAAAATGAAGGCCATGGGGTCCAGCCCCCTGCTATTGCAGGACACCAGTTTGTACCATCCCACTCAGATGGCTGTCCAGTTTCTTTTTGAATTTCCCTAGTGTGGGAGAGCCCACCACCTCTCTAGGTAACTGGTCCCACTATCAAATTGCTCTGACCATGAGGAAGCTTTTCCTGATGTCCAGCCTGAATCTTGGTTGTCACAACTTGAACTGATTATTCCATGTCCTGCATCCTGGCATCAGTGAGAAGAGATCTTGAGCTTCCTCGTTGTGACAGCCTTTGAGGTAGTTATAGAGGGATATCATGTCCTCCCTCAGTCTTCTCTTCGCAAGGCTGCCCAGTTCTCTCAGTCTCTCTTCATAGGCTAGTGTTTCCAAAGCTTGGATGATTTTTGTTGCCCTCCTCTGGACCCTTTCTAATTTCTTCATGGTTGTCTTTGTGCATCACACATATGGGTGCTGCACCTGCAGATTTCTCTAGCTTAGCCTAGAACTTGCCATGGAGCCCCAGCCACCCACCCCCCATATAAAAGGCGGGCTCCCACCATTTTTTCAGGTTGCTTTCGACTGCTATTTGCCTCTGTATCAGGATCTCTAGCATTTCTTGCCTTTTCTCTTCAACCCTTGTTCATACTTTTCAACTTTCCTTTACATTTCGATTTAATCTCAGCTTTGATTATCTTGTTTACTGCCCAATCCTTTATTCCCCAAAATCCCTTCTTACCCTCTCCCTTCCCTTACAACCCTTAAACTCAATCACTCCCCATATAAAATAAATTTTAAAAACCCCTTCTGTTTTGAATTTTCTTTATTTCTTTCCTTGTTCCTCTTTATTTCTTTTCCTTGTTCCACTCAGCAAATGGGCCTTCAGAAGCTGGCCTTCTGGTTGTGGAGTCAAAATGCCATCTTCTGATGGGTACTCTCTCTGCCTGTTCTGCCTTGGCCAGGAACATTGAGTGGACAAGTGCCAACACTGTCAGGCGTTCACTGAACAGGCACATAGAAATAGAGCCGGGAAGCCCCAGATGAAGATGTGGGAGTGGACTTTGGGTGTGATGAGAGATGTTGCTGGAGAAGGAGGTCCATCCTTTGAAAGGGCTTGAAAGAGCCCTCAAGGAAACACCCTCCCACTGACACCTCCACTAAAACTAACCCCTCTGCCGATCATGGGGAATTGGAGGAACTGAGAAAGAAGGAGGAGAAAGGCAAACATCTCCAATCCAAGGCATCAGAACTGAAGAAAGGGGCTAAGAAGACCAAAGGCCACACTGTTTGGAATGTCACCATTCCGCAATTCCAGAACAAAGAAAGTCTCCAAAGAGGCTACTACCATTGTCCTCTTGGAACTGAGCTCTCCAGCTCGTAAGGCTGCGATCTGATTGCTACTGAGTCAGGCTTCTTTAGACCAATGTTCCTCAGCCCAAGGAGCTCAGTGTCGTTCGCCCATCTGAACACAGTCTACAAATAAACCAGCTCTGGCATCATTCTCAAATGGTGAAATCAAAGAATCTCTGGCCCCTGCTCACCCGAGATCTTCACCTTGCCAGCAGGATCTGTCAAATGCCATTCCCTTGACTTTGTGCTTGCACACTGTCCATGTAACCATCTCCGATGTCTTTGCACAGATCAATTTCAGCCATGGATCCATACTGTGGACGACCCTATTGGTTCTCTGGTCCAGGACAGTGCTATCTCAAATATCCTTGGGACCCAATGGCAGATCCTTGTTGGTACGGTTGGCCAGATCCACCTGTGACCACTCACCATCACTGGTCACCACCAAGACCCATCCGTCGACAAGACGTCTTAACAGGAACAGCATGAGAGATCTCCTTCTCTATTTCCTGCCACCAACTCTACAAACATGGACTATGTGGACTCTGACACCTCTGAAGTGACTGAACCAGTCTCCACATCCCCGGATAAAGTGATTTCTGTTCAGGGTCAGGGATCTCTAGGAGAAAACCTGGGCCAGGTCCTCCATATGGCAAGGACTCACAAAATACCGGTCCAAGAATCAGTTGAGCAGACTGAGGTTATAGTCTGTGACCCCATCCATTTAGAGGACACTGTTTATACCGGCCCTATGGAAGGCTATGAAAGAGCCCTGGGAGATCCCTAACAACCCTCACCTGACATCACGCCATCTCAAGGAGATGCACAGAGTCCAGGAGCAGGATATTCCTTTTTTGCTCCATCATCCTCACCCAAACTTCATGATCATGGAGTTAACTCAGGGAAGGCAACAGCATGACCATACCACATCAACAGACCGGGAAGGTTGACGCCTTGATGTGATGGTGTGCTACATCTACTCAGCGATGGGCCTGGGCCTCTGCATATTGAATTATGAGGTGATGATGGGGAGGTACCAGGCCTTCTTATGGCAGCAGATGGAGGCTCTAGCA